AGTCGATGGTCAGTCGAGCAGTCAGCTCCTCTCATAGCCTTGGTGATTTTCACATCTGCAATGTCCCTCTTCATGATTATAATATAATCAATCAGGTGCCAATGTTTTGAACGGGGATGCATCCATGACGTTTTGTTTTTATTTTGCATTCCTGCAGTTGGTATGCTTGCTGTGTGAGTAAGTTGTCGACATTTCGTTTTGATGATCACTCACGGTAGAAAGATCGTCCTGGAGGATGTGTCTGTGTGTGGGGGGGGGGGGGGGGAAGCGGTGGAGATGTTACGCCACCTGCGCATGACTTTGATTTAAGTGAAGAAGATTTGCGCTGAGTCAACCTCACTCTATTGGCTTCGCTGATCTGGGGCCAGAGGCAAGACAGAGTCGAGACGTCTGGAGATGGGTTCAGCTGTAGTGGATGGCCTGCAGTACCTTGTGCGCCCGTACCGATGACCTGAGCTCTCCACAAAGCTTCGCTGCTGTGCCATCTAAGCCGGTTGATGTAGCATATCTGCTGGGTCCGCCTTATCTGCCACAGTAGACTTCATGCACTAAGGTGTACTGAGAGAGAGATGGGCGTCTCTATTTCTCAGAAGAGTTCGTATCCAAGGTGAAATGTGCTACATGGTCCTTACTTCAGTGACGTCAACAGTGGAATACTGGTAGCGTATAGCTCAACGCACACAACTCCCAGCAAGATAGAACACGATACAGTTAGTTCAGCGCATGATATGTTGTCAGATTGTTCTATATGACGCTGCTGATGTACGCGCACGTATACAGCCGTTGCCCAAAAAGTTCAAAAGTTTCACCTTGTTTTGTCAAAAAACACTTCAAGAATCTCCTCAAGTCGTCACCAAACTTCCCTGTGCCGTCCATACGCCCACATCTTGGTGTTGTCGGATAAAGGTGAGCAAATATTGGCGGGAACAGAAATTTTGGGACGTCAGTTTACTCTTAGAACTGGTCATCAAGCTCTGACTACATTGCTGTCCACACGTGGCACTGGCCACAAACCAATGCGGATCGCCAGGTGGGCTGCTCGTCTGCTGAATTTCAACTGCAATCTTGAGAATTTCGTGCTGGTGCACACAATAGAGTTGGCTGACGCTCTATCTAGACTGCCACTGCCTACTACAGTGCACGCAACCGAACATACTGATGATGAAATCATCGTTCAGTGGATTTCAGCACTGCTTGTTGATGCTTCCGCTATCACAAAAACTGAACTCCAAAATGCTACAATGAAGGATACAGTCCTTACGTCCGTGTCAGAATACATCACATCCGGTTGGTCTGCTAAACAGCACATTAAAACTGAATTACAACCCTACTTCAACTTCCAGGATGAACTCTCAGTTGCTGATGACTGTATTAAGCAAGGTGACCGTTTTGTCATACCTACTGCTCTTCAGCCAAGCCTGATTACCATTGTGCACCAAGGACATCAGGGAATTGTACGCACCAAGCAACGACTTCGTGACTGCTAGGGTGGCCAGGTATGGACAAACAGATAGAACACCAAGTTCACCACTGTGCAGTTTGTCAAGTTAAAGACAAGACAGCATACATTCGCACTCCACCATTGCAACCAGTACCTCTTCCAAACTCATCCATGGCAAAAGCTTGCCATTGCCATTTGTGGTCCCTTGAGCATGGTCCCAAAAAATGCCAATTTGCAATTGTCTTGATGGACTACTACAGTAAGTGGCCAGAAGTTGCGTTTGCAGCTGATGCCACTTCACATTCCGTCTGCTCCATACTTGATTCTATTTTCGTGAGGGAAGGGTTGCCTAACGAGTTGATTTCTGACATTGGGAGCCAGTTCCTCTCCACCGCGTTTGAGTCATATTTGAGCTAGCAAGGAATTAAGCACATCCGCAGTTCACTTTACCATCCGCATTTTCAAACAAACACTCCAAATTGTAACTCGCGAACACCGACACTGACAACATACAGATCCACTGCTCATGCAACTACAGGTAAATCGTCAGTAGAACTCTTACACAGTCGCCGAATGACAACTACTCTGAACCCAAGGCCCCCCCCCCCCCCCGGGTGCGCCACTGCAATAGCGCCCTCTTGTGTCCTTCCTACCCATAGTGCCCCGTGGCATGCGTGCCTCCTGAGCATCCTCTTTTCTCCAGTGCTTAGTTAGAGCACTGCAACATCGCGGATAGTGGTGTACGTAGGAGGGAGGGATGCTCTACAGGTAAGTATTCTTTTGTAGACCCCATCCACACTTCTGTGGTGGGGGGAGTCTACATCACTCTACTTATCTATAGAGCCATTTACTTATGCATAGACTAGCACCGCAGTGTAGGCGAAGGGTCATGCGAGATGCTATTGTGCACTCACAGGGGCATGTGACATGAGACATGGGCCCTGTTTCTCCACTTGTAGGTGTACAAGCAAGCCCAGAGCCCAGGTCTGTATGTTCAAGACAATAACTATTCGGTAGTCTTTACATACCAACCGACACGCGGGTCCTGTGATGGGGAATTGCATCGTATTAAACCAGAGCCCACTGGTACATAATTGCAAGTGTACGGGGCACAAAATGATCATAAGAGGCAAATTAAGCATTATGACATAATGTCAAGGATTCAATGTCACATCGTGCGTGCGAACTGATCTAACGGTATCTGCCGTTGTTGCGTCCGCGGTCGACTTGATGGCCATAACTAGCCAACGGGTAATCCTGTCGCGCGGGGACATCCGGTATGACAAGGTTGTCGCTACAAATAGCTGCGGGCGCGAATGACTGAATTAAAGTGTCTTTGTGCGGTTAATGCACCACTAAAGGGTCCTGGCTGGACACAAAAATCTGTCACCATCAGGAACGGACAAGAAAGACTTGATACCCAGGACAAAATTGTCTGGAGGCGCAAAGGACTCCGACTGATTCTTAGTCGAAATCCCTGTTTTAGGGATTAGACGAACACCTCTGGTTCCCACCGGATGCGGTCCGTCCGAAATGCAGTTAGCTACGTCGTCTGAATGCAGCCACTGTTAAACTAGAACAGCGAAGCCGCCATGGCTCGCTGTCGAAGGCGGGAAGGGAGGCTGAAGGTACATGTAGGGTTGGGGATGGGCTTTTTAAATGCCAACATAAAAAGTCAACATATGTCCTAATAAATGCATGCGTACATCACTGCTTTATGGGGAAGTTTCCCATGGTTAGGGTAATTAGGACCCAATTGTGGAGCCTTTTTGCAGCCCCCACAGCGTCTTCTGCCCCATACACATGAAGGTGGGTGTAGGGGTTGGTTAGGAGGGGGTGTACATACACATGTATTTTGTAATACATGTGCATTACCATGGGAGAACATTTGTGTATAGTCCCCACAAATACGGAACAAGAATGGGTGTACATGTACATGTAGACACACCACCATCACCACATGCCCCAAACCATATCCCATTCCCGACGCGCCCCCTCACCCCCTACCCACACCCACCCAATCTGCCCCCTACCCATCCCCACTCCATCACCTACACATCCCCACCCCACCCAAAATTCCAACCTCTATTCCCCACCCAACAATAAGAAAAAGCTTATTGTGTTCTTTTTCAGAAACCGTGCCAGGTAATTGTATGCAACAGGGTTCACACGTGTGCCGTTCGAAGAAGTAAACCCGCACCCTAAAAAATCGGGAAAATGTGCCGTGACCTCCATAGGAAACGCGAAATTCTCACTGAGTTGCCCGTTTTTTAATGGAAAAGTGCACATAATTATTCGCCTTTAATCATGAAGAAATTATATTCATGTGAAAGAGGAAAATCTGTATTTTGTGATGCGATGCGAGGAAGTAAAGTTTAACCAACACATTTTCCACATATTAACAAAAGTTTGCTCAGAGCGCCTAGACATGAGCCAGTCTTCCCACGTAAACAGAGCTGCACTAGTGGCGAGTGAGCAAATGCTTCCTATATAGTTCTCCATATGTTAACATTTTTATCTGAACGTGGACGAACGGCCGGACGGACGGATGCCCGGTACCCCGGACGGACAGACGGACAAAAATTGGTATTACATAGGCTTGCATCTGCTTCGCAGCTTGCCAAAAAGAAAAGTTAATGGATAATTGCAACAAAGCTGAATTACACTTTGGTTCAAATGGGAGTTTCGATAACATGAATAATACAGAGGACCCATGATGGCACCAGCCTACACGTCAGGGGGCCTGAAACAAACTGACAAGTTGACTAGTTGGTTGAGAGTCCGACTCTCTGACACGGATGTTCTGTCTGGGAAGTCTCTGTGAATAGCCTCAATGGCCAAACGATAGTTCTTAATCACGGCTGTAGCGAGGTTACTCTCAAATAGGTATATCAAAAAGTCTGCAACCTCCCCTACAGAAGTATCGGGGGTGCAGAGATTTATTTCTTTGCCATTGTAAAAATGACTTAGTCTACTGTTGTAAATGTTTGTGGTGTTTTTTGTGTTCTCTGTGGTACTGTGGTACATGAAGTCTCAAATCGTGCATTCAGATTAGTACGTTAGCCTCTGTGAAGACTGAAGGAATAGTAGAACTATACAGGTGTAAACAAACATGTACTAACTAAAATCTGCAAAACAGGATTGAAAACAACAAAAACAGAAAGCGCGATTTTTAATCGGGTCTCCTAAAAACTTTTTCTCTACACCAGACAAAATGACCTAATTCCTGATGTTTGTCAATAACGCGTTGAATATAGTTTTCGTCTACAGAGGGCAATACATTTAATGGTTTTACAAGTTAGTCCGATTGTCTTAAAACTTGGTGGGTAGGTAGATACTGTTAAAAGTATGCAAAATCTGAAGTGACGTCATGATGAAGTCATCACCTAATTGTTTTGTTAATTCATCAAGTTTTTTATATATTGAAGAAAAGATGCGGAAAAGCCTATGTCCTGTTCATCGAACAGCCATAGCTGTAGTTTTCTTTTCAATTGTAATTTGGATCTAATGACAAGACCTTTGCAATAACTGACTGGGCATGTCAATTTTTTAATACTACCTGTGCTTTCATGGACACGAGGGCAACAGATACTGGTATCTTCATGTCAAAGAAACCTCCTGCTTCAATGGCTGAAACAAGAAGGAAAAAAAACATCAATAGTATGAGACAATTGTTAGCATTTCTACCATTAAATTCTATATGAATTTCATTCTTAAAATTTGTAAAAAGGCATTTTTTCATACACAGTAAACTCCGGCTAAACCGACATCATACAACTTGTCAAATCGCTGAAGTCGGCTGTCTGACTAAAGTCCCAATTGTCCGTAATGCATTTCTATTGAATTTTTTATTTCTAAGTTGGCTTTTATAAGTCGCCATTTCGCTCCAGTCGTCGTGTTACTCTCAGTCCCCTTTCCATAAAAAGCATTACAAAATCCTTTGTGTAAGTCGGTATTCGACAAATCATGCATTGGCATCGACTTCCTGTATTGCGGTTGGCAAAGTGTCGAGTGAGAAGTGGTTTCGCACGGCCCGTAATCGCTAGCACTGCGTGTATCGGTGTTGAAAAAGGGTGTCCTACTGCATACATCGCATATGCATCGTGAGCATATCAATACCAGTACCCCTCTAGGCTGTACGCATGCGCTCTGTCCACTTTGGGGGTCGTCTTATTGAATGACCAGTGCTGCAGTCAATGCGTGCGTGGTATATACCGGACCATGCACGCATTTAATTCGTTACTGTACACGTACATATGTATCGTGGTCTCCACGATACATATGTAATACCTCAAACGTGATGATACAATTCGAGGATTATTTTGCTGGATTCAATTCAAGCATTAAGGAGACTATCCAGGGTAAATCAAAGCCAATTAGTGCAATGAATCATGTGTGCAAAAGACGATGCATGTAAGCCGGCAAAATGACGACTTACAGATATCGGCATTTGCGTAAGTCGTCACAAATTCTCGGGTCCCGAGAGTGCCGACTTAGCCGGAGTTTACTGTACTATTAATTTTTGTTGAAGAGCCAGTCTGTATCAGCATATACAACAACACTTAGGGATCATGATGGCCAAAAAGAAACGATGGGAAGCAATCATACGTAAGACAGAGGATCTGCAGGAGAGGCCCCTGGGGTTGCAATCGCTGGGTTTGTAATAAGCCAGGACAAACATCCAAACAAACATCCAAACAGAGACTTGCGTATTTTTATATAGATATTAAATTTGGCCCACTTGTGATCAGACAGATATGGTTGAAATAGTTGAAATAGCGAGTGTAACACAGCAAATATTAAGATTTTGTTTAAGTATTCTTTCAAACTTGAGCTAGTTGGATAAGGACCTATAACTAGGTGACTTGGCTAGCTCAACCGTTGTTGACTTGCTAGGTTTGGATCAAAATTCAGAGTCAAAGTAATCAGTCAATCTTTGCTTAATCACATGTCTCAAACATGCTCTATGATGGTACTTACTAAATTCCAGGAAGATAAATGCACCGATTGGTACGCCCCAGCCAGCTTCCAAAAATTTAGCATGTCGTCTTGGGAAAGGAATTGTCCCACTCAGGACAAGGTCAAATTGCTTAAAGTTGTCATCTGCCTTGCCATTGATGATGACATCGATGAGCTCCTCAATCTTCCAATAAAATGAAAATGATTGCAAATTAAGGGTTTCAATTTGTTAGGTCTGCTACCATTAGCAAAGAATCCAAGCTCACAACGGCAAAATATGCTGTGCCAACTGCTGGTGTATTTCACAGGTTAGCAAGGAATTTCAGCTTCTGTGCAGGCGTACTTTGTACATCCTAGGACTTAAGATTCTGTGCTTAAGCACAAGCAAACCACAGAAGTAGTTTTAAATGAAATGTTAACGTTTGTTAACTTACAAAGGTCCTAAAGAGAGCACGTAGGTCTTTCATCAACTGAACCACAGTGAATGGGTCGATATTCTGCAGATCCAGCATTGCTTCTAACTCCCCTACGGTCATGTTGGCAATACGTCGGCCAAGAGCATCCAAACCTTTCTCTGTTGAGGTAAGTGAGTCAACAAAATTAATCCCAATTATGTAGCATGGGTGGAAGTCTCTACTAGTAAGGATGTAAAAAACCTCCACATCCACTAAGGGTTATAATTTTACACTATAATTAGACATTTCAATCTGTGGAGCATAGTGGCCTCGTGGTCTGGGGCATTGAATTTGTCATCTGCGGGTTATTTTGAGGGTTATTTTGCAGGTTGTGGGCTTGAGTCCAGCATGGGGTAATGGTGCGTGTGTCCTTGGGCAAGGCACTTTGTCACTCATTGCTTCTCCCCACCCAGTGGTAAATGGGTACCTGTGAGGCAGAGATGGTTATTGTGTTTGAATGTGCTCTGCACCGAAATGGCTGCATCAGAGCTGTTTACTCCCCAGGGAGCTGAGATGTTATTTGGAATGTTTAAATGGCCCAATGATCAGGGGTAGTAATGATGTAAAGCGTTTTTATCTAAAAAAAAAAAGTGCTATATAAGAACCTGTTATTATTATTATTATTATTAATGTATAACTTGCACTACAATACTGAACAACTTTATTAAAACTAAACATACTCTTCATGAAAAAACGTATTGCTTATTTTTAATGAGTCATTTTCTTTTAATACACATCAATGTGAACAGCATTGTGATGCGTGATGTACGACAATATGACACAAACTAGAAATGTTCTGGGAACAAGCTTGAATCTCTAGAAATTTTCTTGTTCAGGGAAAATATCATTTTGGTAAACTAGAAATGCATTTTGCTTTATTTGTTGGTAGATTGAAATGTACATACGCGTTAATCCTCCACCAATGATGACATCTCCCTGCCATGTGCCCGAGTCAGCGCCAGGACTGAGACTAAGGTCAAACAAGCTAGCTCCTCCTGAAACGAAACAAGCACACCACTTGGACTGTATATCATTAAACATGCTGCCATGAGTGGAATTGAACCTGTAGCCTTCCAAGTGGATGTCATACATGTTAATAGGGTTAACCAAACTTCAGATTCATTTCTTGCTTCAACTTCATCTCAGGTTGGAGAATCATTTAAAAGATGTTGGTGAAGATTGGTTGAAGAAATGGTAATTATCAGCATCCAGACTCCAGCCCAACGAACAGAGTGTTTACTGACCAAGCACAGGTTTATTCCAATACCTTTTTTGGGAAAGAAAAAAATCAAAACCTTTTGGTCCAACAGTCAGAACAAGTCCAAACTTATAAATTTCCAACAATTTTGATCAACAAAACACCCCTCTGGCTATATAATGGTAAGGACCTCTGGAAAACAACTCCTGGATTGATGCACGCATCACGCTTACCGGTACTGCATATGTGACACACAACGCAGATGTACCGGTGTAGTGTGAATTTAGGGCTATGACATACTGCTTCACTGGTAGTACTGTGCATGCCAATGTGAAGATTGTGAACATTCAACCAATGAAACGGTGCTGGCACCAAATTTCATGAGTCAAAATTGCATGTGACACTGGAAAAGTGCTTAAGACCAGCCAGCCATGTCTTTATCAACCGTTTAAAACTAACCACGTGACAGGCTCTCGACCAATAGGAATGGGTAAACTGTCTCTATGAATACATGTTTATCACTCACTAGTTCATTCATATTTTAGCACTGACAGTCAAACACCTTTAAAGAGGGCCTTGGGACTTTGCAAATTACCTTGTTATTACAGGTACCTTGTATTATCAGTAATGGAAAACAAAGGAAAACAGAGACTTGGGACCTAACATTTTCCTTGTTATAAGCAAGATGTTGTATTAACAGTGCTCTTCTTATCAGGGTTCGACTGTAGTACTGTACCTGCAGTCACTGAGAGTGACAGGTCCCTTCTCCTTCTCCTGGTAACTGGAGTTTCATCTTCATCACCAAAGATGAGAAGACCCATGGAGCGACGGCTTGCTGTACCTGATTCAGCAATCCCTGTAACAATGACAAAGCTAGACTGAAATATCCATACATACCTCAGACAGTTGGACCATCAGCTTTATCATCAGTAATACAAACCTCAAGTTTATAACTGCTTCATCACACTTTTATCCCCATATGAGCTCCGTACTTAGACAGATTTGGGAGGACCAAGGGGAGGAACTTGAATGTATTGCTATCGTACTCCTCACGCTCACACAAAGAAGATACAGCTAGTCCCACAAGGGGAAAATTAGACAGATGTAGTCAACAACCAGTTAATAAAGGTATATTGCATGTGAGTTTTTGAATATTTTTAAAATTATCTCTTAAAGTCAGATAACCAATCTACCATACAAACACTCACATGAGCACGATCATCGCATCCACTGGGACCAAATCTAGCGGTAATAGCCTATGGCCTATAAGGAATAATGCATATGTAGGAATTAGCAGGTAAGAGAGGGCCCGAAGTGAACCAGTGACTCATTACTACTCTGCTTTAGGATCCCTCTGGGTTCAACACTTGGTTATTAAAACCAACTTTTGTAGCTTTATCCTCAATTAACTTCAGACAAAACAGAAGAATGAAACTTACTGGGCTTGACAGCTTTCTCTGGCTGCAGCTTAGTCATGGTGTTATCCTCTGCTGAATACGAGGTGGAGCCTCCACTAAGAATGGTCTTAAAGTAGGCCCTGGCCTTGTCTATAGGATTAGCTGTCAGGTCTTCCGTGCTGTCCAGTTCCTCAGCAGATTCACTAGCATTACATGGAGTACACCAAAGAAGTTTGTTACAAGAACGTTATTTTAATGGACTCTTGAATACATCCAAATCAGGTCATGGGTTTGAGATGTGATGGTGAAAGGCTTTCAAGTAGAAGTAGCCTGGGTACAGAACCTTTGAAGCTGAAGCCACCTTTACGAAAATTGTCTAAAACTTCCCTGAAATGACATTCTTTACCTTGTGAATGACTGTTATTCTTGAGCTTGTTACATTATCAAGGACCTTTCTTAAAAATCTTAATATTTAATATAAAATTTGAAACTTTTCAAATATAAGAGCCTTAAATACTGATCACATGCCAACAACAATAAGTCCACATATTGCCACGAACCATCCTGCCTGTTACTCCCTCAACCAAAACCCTTTTCAGCCCTTTTGTAATTATGGATACATTGGGGAAAACATAAAATGTAATACAGTATAATAAAAGTTATAATGTGCTATATAAAGCCATCTTAAAGTTTTTGTCTTAACCCATGTCAGAGTACAAGATGGCGGGGAGAAATGGACTGTATCCAAAAAAGTAGGGCTTGAATCCCTATAGCAATGTACTTTTAACTCTTTTAACTTTACACATATTCTCATGAGAAGTGTGATTTTGTCTTACAGTTACACTTACACACTTAGTTTAATGGGCAATTATCAGGCTTAAGCCTTTAAGACCAAATATTTTTCCTTCCAAAACCTATCCAGCTGCATCTTGAACTGGTTTGTGGTCTTAGCTGAGAAATATTTTCTACAGTTCAGCCCTTTTTCAGAGCTGTCTACTTTACTTTTGTGATGAAAGAGCTTAGTCTGGATTAAACATTGGGTTTTAAGTCCACTCACAGGTCGTCCACACTTCTTCGCTTCCTCCTTGTGCTGCTGCCTCCTCCTTGATCATCACAATGAGATCCTGAGAACATTGCATCTCTGAGAATGACCATGGGTTCAGCACATGCACCCTGCCAGCACAAGCTGATGTCTAGATCCACGTCATAGATAGTATTATGGGGCCGCTCTACATCATACCTACATGCATACAGACAATTGTAGAGGAATGTTCAAATTTAATGTAGCATGGAAACTCGAGGCCCCAGGTGTTCTTTTTGTGGTAAAAAAAACCAACGCCCCCAAAAGGTCAATAATGTCATACAAAAGCTAAGCACTAAGAGCTTCAGATTAGCTGCTAATTTGAAATGCATTCAAAGACTATTTATTGCTGAGATCATAACAGTTGAGTATTGCATTAAGGATACATTGTTTTTGCATATGCTGTTGTCATGCTTGCCCGACAGTAGGTACCCTGACATGCCTGATATAAAAGTGTCTGTGGGAGGTGTCCTGAAACTGATTAAATCAATGGATGTCTCCAAAGCAGCTGGGCCAGACCAAATACCAAATAGAGGCCTCAAATTGGCTGCAGATGAATCGCCCCCATCCTTGCGCACATCTTCAAACAATCTTTGGACACAGGTGAGCTAACGGCAGATTGGAAAAATAACAGCGTTGCTGTTGAAACCCCTCAGCCAGAGTCAAGTTATCATCCGACAACCATTAACCTTTAACTCAACATGATGACCTTGACCTTCGGCCTTTGACCCCAGAACCAGTCCCAACTTAATTGCCTGTACCCAAGGGCAACCCCCTACCTAAGTCAGACACCAAAATCTCATTTCTAACTCAAGTTAGCATCCGGAAACCATTTACATTTAACTTACCACGGTGACCTTGACCTTTGACCTTTTGACCCCAAAACCAATCCCAACTTGCCTACTCCCAAGGGCAACCCTCTACCAAAGTTAGACACCAAAATCTCATTTCTAAGTCAAGTTATCATCCGGAAACCATTTACCTTTAACTCACCACGGTGACCTTGACCTTTGACTTTTTGACCTCAAAACCAATCCCAACTTGCCTATTCCCAAGGGCAACCCCCTACCGAAGTTACAACCCCAAACAACATTTCTAACTCAAGTTATCATCCGGAAACTAAGCTGCCCGGACGGACAGACGGACGGTCTAGCCAGACGAAATTGTGGGGTGATAGCATTGTGTTTCCATTATCCCTTTTTCTAAAGATTCCCTTCTGGGGTGATGTTTTTCTATTGTGAAAATAGTGGGGTGATGTGTCCTGAAAGGAACATCACCCCACAAGGGTGGTATGGTCAGAACGGACACACAGACATACGGACGGACGGACGGACGCCCTAGGCGATGACAATACCCCTCGAGCCTCTCGGCTGAGGGGTAAAAAGGCCAACGTAACCCCTTTGTTCAAGAAGGGTGCTACATCTGATCCAGCTAATTATAGACCAGTGTCCCTAACTTCAATGTGTTGCAAATTTCTGGAGCATCTTGTTGACAGTCAGTTGATGAAGCACCTGGACCAGCATCAAATTATATCTGAAAATCAGCATGCCTTCTGTAGAGGACGTTCATGTGAGAGTCAACTCATTTTGACTTTCAATGATCTTGCCCGCAATCACAACAATGGTATCACCACAGATGTAGCAGTGTTGGACTTTTCAAAGGCGTTCGACACAGTACCACACCAGAAACTCCTTCAGAAGATCGATCATTACAGCATCAGGGGCAAGATTAAAAACTGGATCTCTGAATTCCTAAGGCGAGCCATCAGATAACAGACCGTTCGGGTACCGGGTCCGGTATGCTAATTTCTTTCACCCCAATCGCGTCGGTACGAAGCCAGAAGCCACCCGGTCACTGAAGCGTGACGCCCCAATCGGTCCAACGTGGTGACTCAGGGTTTCACAATAGGCAACATAAATTGATGTCTGGCCATTGTTGGAGGATTTTTCGGCCCGCTGGGATTACCAGCGGCAACTTCTATAAAGCTCATCACAGTCATTGTTGCCTGCTGGAGGATTAGCGCGTCGCAAATTGGTTCCTTTGTGATGAGCCAGAGCAATGGTGCAGAAGCCTGGTGGAGTTAATCCAGGCCGATCGGTTCCATGCAAGGTCCCGATCCCTTCAACATACTGGGCGGGCTCAACCCCGAACGGTCCGGGGAGGGATTCTAATTTGAGGGCTCGCCTAAACAACTGGCTACAGAGGGTTGTTGTCAACGGGGTATTGTCCAGCTGGCATAAAGTTCTTAGCGGTGTGCCACAGGGGACTGTGTTGGGACCGCACTTGTTCCTCCTTTTCATCAACGACATTCAATCAGCTGTGAGGGGCGTTACCAGGCTATTTGCCTACAACTGCCTCATATACCATCAGATCAACTCCAATGAAGATGAGAAATTGCTGCAGGCCAACCTCGACAACCTCATTGGATGGGCTACTACGTGGGGTATGCGATTTAATGCGAGCAAATGTAAATCAATGCGAGTCTCTTGTAAACGCAACCCTGGTGAACCTGCCTATGAGATGGATGGAGTGGGTTTTGAAGCAACCAAGGAATTCACGTACCTGGGCATAAAAATCCAACATGATGTGGGATGGGAAAACCAGATGCAGCATGCTGTTACTAAGGCATCATGAGTCCTTAACTTCATCAAACGAAATTTCTACATGAGCTTTAAAAATGTAAAGGAAAGGTTATATTTCACACTTGTCCGGCCACTCTTAGAATATGGTGTAGCTGAATGGAACCCTTATAACATCAGTCATCAGTCTGCGATAGAGCAAATTCAGCGCAGAGCTGCACGCTTCATTCCTGGAGATTACGCCAGACAGAGTAATGTCTCCAAAATGTTATCTTCTCTTGGATGGGAGAAGTTAACTGACAGAAGGGAAACCCACCAGATGACTCAACTCTACAAGATAATCACTCACACCGTTGACATCGATGCCTCAGATTATCTTCAACCAAAAATGCAGAGATCCAGGAGGGGGAAGAACATCCTCAACTGCATTCAAGAACTCATTTTTTCCAAGGACAATTAAATTATGGAGTGACCTGCCCCAACACATCACTGACTCTTTGACGAACAAGACCTTTAGAGACAACTATTATAACCACATCGTAACCGAGACCTAGATGCCGACACCTCCCCGTGACCTCCTAGTCAAGATCCCTAGAGGATGTTTCAGGTGGAAACCAACCAAGTACCAGTACAGTGTGTCAGCAATGAAGTCTGTCACTCATACAGCAGGTGTGAGCAAGATTTTTATTTTAAAGAAACTTGAATCCTGGATCCTGAATGGTCTATCCATGGTAAGAATACTGTGATATTATCCTCATACCATGGTCAATATAGCGCTCTGTGTATCACGCTATTCCGAGATGTATGTGTTTACATGCCACATATATGCAAGTGTAGTTGAATAAGCACTGAAAAGTGATCACAGCATGCACATTGCATCTTTACTGTGTGTCATGTTTGCTTCAAGAAAAATGTGTTATCCCACTCGGCCTTAGCCTCATAGCACGTGCCACAGACGTACCATTATTCTGTGTCCCACTCGTGCTCGTTTGATAAAAAGAATCACTTTTTACACTCTAACACCACATCTTTACACTCAAACACCACAACAAAAGGCAATTTTTTACAAAGAGCAAAGGTGAGTGAAACTTCAGTGTTTGAGAAGTTGCAGAATCAGACCTATTGATTCTGAATTTAATTTGTTACCCCACAGACCAACTCCCATTTTCAAGCTTGTGATTCCCTTAAAAAAGGCTAATCTTATCTCAAGAATTTTGATACTGAGTTCTGCCAGGAATGTTGCAACTGTGTACTGACGGATGATTGACCTTACCTGATCTTCAGAACTCCTAGGGTTTTCTCAAAGGAATGAGCTGGGGAGAAAAGAAACAAAATAACCATAAGTTAGTCATTAAATTCTAGCAGGGATCTCAAACCAATATTCAAGCTCCACTTGGAAAGTTTCAACAGAAACAACATTGGGAACACTTGTATAAGATACATCCAACTAAAATAATAACAGTCTCAAAGTGAATACATGCAGGCTGAAAGTGTTGCAATGTTATGGGAGCCACAGAAGTGCCAGAAATATTTCCCAAGAGGACAACAAAAGGCAGACAGGAGAAAACAAAGGGAAATGTTTCCAGCAGGATATTCATAGCACATCAGTGATTGATCTTCTTCACATTATATCACTGTTTCAATTAATAACAAATCAGTGGGACGCTCAACTATTTTGATAAATTTTAGTTACACTCATTAATGAAAAAAGTGCATCTTTTGAAGCAACAAGGTTGATAATGGAATTGTTTCCTTACTCTGCAGTAGTTGTATGCCAATCGTCTCAACATGACTCCATTTCTCAAATCCAAATGAGAAAGTGCGAGCACACGGATCCAGCTTCACCCAGACAGAAAATGACCTCTGAACTATGCCCAGGTCAAAGTTCAAGCAACAACCAACCCCAAGGCATGACTGATCCAGGGAACAGAATGGTGCGACAGCTGATGGTACAGCAAGTGAACTGCAGCCTGTTTAAAAACAAAAGTAAAACAGAGCTGTTACTAATTATGCTGTATTAGATTATGGTTAAAACGATCAAAACTCTGCCCATGTATTTTTGGCTCAAACTAAACATTTGGAACAATATTAGGTTTTGCCCTTCACCGACGTATAAACACAGTATACTAAGTGTGTTATTACCTCCCAAGTGAAAGTTGGAAACAAAAAATCACTCGGGTGGGAATCAAACCCAAGATCTGCTTTCTAGTGAAGACATCTTACCCATCTAACAACATAAAAATATAAGGAAAAAAAATACAGGCAAATCATCCAGAGGAACCCTCAGTCTACAAACATTCCAACTGGATGTAAAATGGGTAAACTGAGTATCTACTTGGAGCTTAACCCCTAAAGTCCATAAGCTTGCAGCTTTGGTCCGATGTCCATAAACTTGCCTGTGGTTGCTGGTGTGATTTGCTCTGGTGGACCACTGCATGGTTGAGGTAGGAGAACATCAGCGCTGACACTCAGACGGTTCACTACAAGGCCACTAGCATAATCTCCGATATCACCTACTCAGAAATAGTGATAAAATTCTGTGTTAGATTGCGTAAACATCTCAAGCATTTTCTATGGTCACAAAATTAAGTTTGATTTGCGAGACAGAGGCTGATTCAGGTGGTCAAGGGGGTACTGGGATCATTTTTGATCACAATGTGTCAACTGATTTCTCAAACCTAAAATGGATGAGATAGTTCTGTCATGAACTCAATAAATAATGCCAAGGAGAAGCAGTTTTAACTTAAAGAACGAAAATATAAATTTAATAATACAAAATGAAATGACATATTTACTAAGAATATTTTTAAAATAATCAAATTAAATCAGAGGATCTGTACAAATCAAAGAACTCTAAAACTCAAGAATGATCTAACAATGCAGGTTTTTTCCCCTCAAAATAATGAACACAAAACTGAACGAAATGTAACAGAATTCAACCTGGGCTAATGGTAACGCAGGCAACTCCTTAAAATCAAACCAAATTAAAAAGCAAGTTAACTATAGCAAGTTAATAACAAAGTTAATCCGCAAGGCATACAAAATGCAAACTGTGCAAGTACAAATATACAAACAAAACAAAAAATTTGTAACTTCTCAACTGAGTTTCAAACAAATGCCAATGGAAAATAAGCTTATCCAGCCAATAAATTGATAAAAAAAAATACAAATCAATGACTTTAAATAATGTCAAACTGGTTATAGAAAGCAAACTAAACTCAAAAACTTATCACTCCTTAGCAATTTAATCAATTTAATTTCAAAGAAAATATATCTCCTCGTGTTTAGCTTCAAATTCCAATTACAGATATTTACTATGATTCTAAATATATTTTTATGGTACAACCGTCCCCCCTCAGAATTCGGATCAGGTGGGTGACGCTGACTGGGCTGTCCTCCTTGACGCCATGTATGATGTCAGTTGTAAACCGGATCAGTCACAGCCTGGTTCAAGTGAATCCCTGGATGCCTGGCATAGTATAGATTCGGGCTCACAGGAATAGAGTTGGTTGTTTCCACCGGGGTAAATGGTTATCTAAAAGATTTTAAATCACCCCAAAACACTCTAAATCTCTGTTCTCTTTGAACCATTGGACAAATCAGTCAAAATGCTCCATAAAAATCAGTTAACAGTCTAAAGATCGACTTTGACTTGCTTCATGTCACAAACTTACTTAACAATGACACGCATGCACAATCAATGCCAATTCAACTTTAAAATAGACAAATCTTAAAATCAAGCAGTTTTCACGACTGGAAACAATAAAATGAAACTTACGGTAATTCTGGAGAATACACCCTTGGTTTTCAGGCTAACGCCGTGTGACATCTGGTCAAAGTCAAACGATGACGAGAGTGGCACATAGTACTGTTGTACTTTAAACTGTGGCTCTCTGCATCATCGATTTTGGTTGGCCGGCCCTGTACCTGCAGTTGCTGTATCCACTCGCCTGCTGGTTACGGTGGCAGCAAACCAACAACACTTGACAAATTCGAATCTTGGACACTTCTCTCTCTCTCAAACGCACACATGGTTCTCTCACATTCCGCCTTACACGTCAAGCGTTAACATTGCTAAAATTTGGTTGCAACTTCCAATAGTGTACCACAAACGAATTACCAAAAAAAGGGACAGCAAATTACCATAACCATTGTCTACGAGGGGTGTCTTCACACTAGACCATCAAATAAACAAAATAATTGGGGTGTTCTAAAAAATCAGGTGTGTATTCTGCGGAGACATCACTTTTGAAACCAGTATTGCGTCAATTCCATGAGGGATAAATGAAAAGAAAAACATTTATGCACAAAAACAAAAGGAACTCAGATATGAAGGCATAAAAATCACAGGCATAAAAATGAAAATAACTTGACAATAAGCCACTTAGGTATTTCAACAGGTATTTTTAACCTCCTCCAAAACTAATTTACTCCACCAGGGCAGAAGCATTAAAGGTCCCCATCCCTTTCTATAAATCCTTGATCCATGCCTGCTGGATTGTAACAAACTATTGGACATGCGCATTCAAAAGGGCAGGGGACAGGGCCTTCTCAGTGTCTGGTATTCCTTATCCAACATCCGCAACATCAGTTCAACATCAACTTTAAGGGTAGATTGAAAACTGATCTGTTCTTAGGTCTCAATCTGATACTTCTCGTTTACATGTGACAATCAACACAAAGGCTGCAGCTGACAAAGCGTTCTCCATCGCAGGTCCAAAAGAATGGAACAGAATCCCTCAGATCACATCCAAGACTCAACATCAATGCAGACTTTCAAAAATCACCACAGTATCCACTTTCCTGTACATTTCCAAGTGTCTGATCTAAGTTGTTTATTGTTTTGTTTTTCATTGTAAAGCGCTTTGATCTTGTTAAAAGCGCTATATAAGAACCTGTATAATACATACATGCAAATGTACCATTAAAGAGACACGGTATCGTAATATCTTCGAACGGTGGGAGACATCGGTCATTAGGGAAACATTTTCATGTCTCCCTAATGTCACAGCCCCCCTTTAGAGGCTTAATTTTACTGTCGCAATGGGTTATTTTTGTTGCTCGTGGTCTAATTAGTAAACATACCGAAATTCGTGGAAAAAGGACGAGGGAATATTGGGTTAGGACACATTTAAGTTTAAAAAATTTTGTGCACAAGTCTATGGGAATGTCTCCCAAATGTCCAATCCAAGGAAATTATTATTATTATTATTATTATTCTTTCCACGCAATCTGTAACTTTGTGCTCTGTAATTGTCTTCAGTTGCGCATTGTAACTTGCGGAATTGCACGCTATAAATTGTGTTGTTATTATTATTAAGACTTACCCAAGTCTTGAGCCCACTCCAAAGTTCCATTGGGAGTACAGAATGGTATTGGTGCTGTGAAGTCCTGAAGGATGACAATGTCAGGAGCACAGCCTCCAGCGATGCAGAGTTGCAGGGAGAGGGAGAGGAGCAAGTTACGGTTGTCTGTGGTCTTGTCGATTGTGAAGGTAAGCAAGACAACATCACTCAGTCTTTCCCTTGTCACTTTGCCCCACTTGTAACTGCAGAAATGTGAGAAATCTTGTATTACAATCACTGCCAGTAATGACTCAATTTAAACATTTTGAGTATTTGAAAAGTAACCTTCCTTAGAGCAGGCTTCAATATTGACAGTCAAGAGAGTGTGATTCTATCCTGGATTGCATTAAATAGTCAACAAAATAAACTACATACCTTAAAAGGGTGACATTGTAACTCCAGTTCTCAAATCCAACACTCAGTTTGAAATCACAGGGGTCTACAATCAGCCATGCCCTCAGAGTGCGACTGATAATGCCGAGGTCTACTGCTAGACAACACTCCACCCCTAGGCAGGCATCTGAATAGTGACATACACCTCCTGACGGAAGTGTGGGCAGAGAGGGGAGGTGTGGACACACTACAGGAAATAAGGGAGTAAAAAGGACATTGACGATAGTTGAATAAGAATCACAAGTGTAATTTTGTAATGTTTATTTATTGTTTGGGAAACATGAGGCACGATTCTATTGAATGGAAATGTGAAATTGAAATGGAAGGAAATTGGAAGCTTGAATAGGCTAAGAGGAAAAAAGGAAGACTGTAACATTTTGAAACACCTTTAGTTTAGTTTAGTCAAAATTGTACACCTTATTCTTTTTTCACTTGGGGATTCTTTGAAAGTGGAAGATAATCATAGGTGATAGGTAGACTTTTTCAAGTAATGAAAAAACAAGGACAGCTACACAAATCCACTTTTGCCACTAGGTTTCGTCATTTCCTGATGTACAGGACAGCTTCCACTTCTCAGTGCCAATCGCGCGGTTCTCCGATTTTGAGTTGCATGTGGGTTTTGTAAAGCTTTAAAAATGTCAAGTTAACATGTCACTGAAAGCGAATGCATTGTGTAAAATCTTATGAAAGCAAGCTTTTAATTTAAATGCTTGGGGCATCCCAGTGACGAAACAGCGACCCACTAATGGGCACCTCAATTTAGCCTATACCATTCAAACTTAACTTAAAGCCCTTATACAGGTCATGGGACAATACTAATGTCCCTACCTCCAGACTGACTAGGCTGGATCACAGGTGGGCAAGGTGTGGCCGAGACTAGACGAGATGGTAAGCCAAGAGCCTGAGCCACAACCTCAAATCCAGCGTCCAGGCTTCCGAGCTGAGAGATTGAGGTTATACCTAGCAGTAATAAAACAAACACTGCATTATTTGATGTCAGTGAACACAATATAAGCTTACAACAGTGGGCTACATGCACAAGTACCCCCTCAACAGTGAAAAACTAAGAGTTGAGAAAGACCACTGGGAGAGACAGTGGAAGTATTGCCGATGACGCTTGATGCTCTCATGAAGCCGCTTTAGCTTTGTGAACGTTAAAAATAAAATTAGTCATGCGTACTTCATGCTATACACGCATGAACCAATACGTACATGTTTCTTATGAAGCAGGAAGTTAACAGAGCAATAGAACCCATAAGGTAGTCTTTAGAAATCAATCTACCCCATAAGGGAAACGCTATGGAGTTTGAGATTTTAATAGGAACAAAAGGGAACAAAAGAAGGAAAACAAAGGTCTGCCCCACAGGTATGTGCATGTAAAGCTGCGTGAGTGTCCCTTCCACTGGGCACTAAGAGGTTGTCAAAACTCTTACTAAAATGCTCCTGCAGGCCAGAACAAGCTCTACAGCTATAGAGTGATACATTAAGCCCTGCCTCTTGACATCTGATCAATCAAATCCATGATTACTGGCTGACATGCTTGCACAAAGTCTGACATTTGTGCATGTGTGAATGACGGGCTCAGCTACAACATGTACTACATGTAGAGTGGCATCGAAGAGGTGTGCGGTGGGGGCTTAATGGATCAGCCAAACTACTTGACCAGTTCTCGTCAGATGACGTGTATACATGCAAAGGTTTTGCGGTATTCTGACTGGATGACGGAAAACATGCAGTAAGTGAGGCCAGAAATATCCGTCAGCGATCCACTGGTAGTGAGCGAGGCCAGAAATATTAGGGTATGCTACCTGCAGATGACGGCCTGAACCCACCTGGCATCGAGGTTCGTGAAAAACAATCCCGCGCATGGGTCTGGTCAATGTCAAAATAATCCCAGCACAAAGTGGTTAACATGAAATTCATATACTAACAACAATACTCATATACTCAGAATACAAAGCAATAAAGTAACAGAAAAGAGGGAAAACGTAGATTAGAGGGGGGGGGGGCCCAAAACCAAGATGCAAATAAGGAGCATGGGAAGGGTGGAAAGAAATCTTGAAAAGCGACTGCTACTGAGTCTCAGAATGAAAATGATCACACTTGCCTCAACACTATCAGCCCATTTCATGGCACATTAATACAATGCAAACTTGTTTCATGGAACCGTTCTCAATGATTTGCCCATCTGTTTTCATGACTCAAGGGAGCTACTAGCTTTACAGCTACCGGTAGAGTCCATCATTTGCAGCTATCCAAAAGTAACTGAAATACTTATTGTTGAAAAGCATACTTGGTTTAAAGATAGTAATGGGACTAAAACTCCCTGTGAAATCACTCTTTTTGGCATGCGGTCATTTTGAAGAAAGCAGTGAAAGAAGTCCATTTCCAATGATGCGTCTACAGTACGAATTCTTGGAAATTTCCGTTAGTAGTTTGTTTTTAATTCGGTGAAGCGCGGGCAAGCGTTGGCACGACACGCGTGTGCAGTTGTTGGTACAGTACGCGACATTGCGTAGCTACAATCAGCTCAGTGAGAATGTGTCTCGGACGTGAGGCCCCATTCAAAACATGACTCAGCAACTTTTGATTTGAAATCGAGATCCTAGAATATTGTTTTCTCGGAATACACAGCATTCACTAAGCTGAAACTTCATCAGGTTAGTTGTTAAGCACCCTACTTTAGATGATAATGTATGTTATCAGTCATCCAGTAGTAGTAGATGATTTTTCTTAATTGAATCAAATACTGGAACTTACTTAATTTTTTTGCAACTGTGCGACGAACAGGTGCCTTTCTTTGAACACATCAATAACATTGATGAACACATCAAGTTCACCCAGGAGCCCTGCAAGGAGAACAAACTTGCTTTCCTAGATTGCCTGGTCAAACGCAATAGCGATGGTACTCTCTCTTCTGACATATACAGAAAACCCACACACACAGACCAGTACCTGCAGTTTGATTCTCACCACCCCTTGGTTCATAAACTAGGGGTCATCAGAACACTGCAATATAGGGCAGACACCATCATAAGTGACGAGGACCAGATCCCCAAGGAGAAGGACCACATCCAAACTTCACTCCATCAATGTGGATACCCCAACTGGGCTTTCCACAAAGTCAACAAGAACAAACACCAACGTAAAGACAAAGGCAGGGTAAAGCCAGTTAAAGCCCGGGTCACCATCCCCTACATTGCCGGACTGTCTGAACGGATCAAGAACTCTTTCAAGTCACGTGGCATTGCCACTTGCTTCAAACCGTGCAACACCTTACGGGGGAAAGTGGTTCGAGTGAAGGACAGACAGCCCAAAGATACACGTTCCAACGTGGTATACGGGATCATCTGCGGGGATAAAGACTGCTCGGAGTCTTACGTTGGGGAAACCAAACAATCCCTAAAATCCAAGACCTACCAACATCGGCGGCCTAGCACAAACGAGGCACAAAACTCTGCTGTCTTCTTACACCTACGAGACTCTGGTCACACTCTCAGAAATGAGGATGTTGTGATCCTTGATAAGGAAGAGCAGTGGCACAAAAGAGGCATCAAGGAAGCCATTTGGGAAAGGGTCGAACAACCAACACTCAACAAAAGAGGGGGGCTACGCTTCAACCTTTCACATGCATGGGACCGGGCCATTCAAGGGATTCCAAGCCGTCTCACACGTGACCAGTCCACCGGGTCACCAGTTGCCTGACGAAGTCCGATGGTTTCGGACGCAACGTCGCACAGTTGCAAAAAAATTAAGTAAGTTCCAGTATTTGATTCAATTAAGAAAAATCACCCTACTTTAGATTTCAAGCTCTTTTGTTGCTTCACACAAACATAATGCAGAAATTACAAATGATGGACTGTACCTCTCATGTAGGGACCATGGACCAAAGCTGACCACAAGATGTGTCAGCATATCTGTTCTCATACATAACGTCGGTTGCACCACAAAGCGACGTATTGTCTATGGACTTTGTGCACATAATTTGTCACCTCATTGTGCGACCAGCAAAATACATGCAAAGATAGCTTCTTCTATGGTTCACTAAAGCATAAATATAATCAAGTTTCCCAGAATAAGAGCTGATGGAATTCACATAAACGTTCTGTGAAGGCAATTGAGCCTTACCTGGTAGATTATTCCAGGAGATGGTTCCGTTGGGGAAGCACATAGGAAGAGGGGATACTGCACCATCTAAGATCATGAGTTGTCCTGTACAATGACCATGGATGCATGCATCTATGGAGAGACTCATTGATATCTCACCATCCATGAGCTCCAAGGTGAACCTGCATTGTTAAACACATAGCAAAAGAGAAATTTCGTGTGAAAATATTGTTTTTGTAGGATGGTGTGAGCACTTTTGGCATTATAGATGTTGGGACTCAAAAAGGTTCTTATAGAGTGCTACAGTTAAAGTACTGTAACACAAAGTACAGGCAATCAAAAACTACATGTTACTTCCAATTTGTCCATGTGGACTAAATTGATTTGATATGATTTGATTTTATTCTGATAATAATTACCAAGAATGGGTCACTGGGGAGTTGTGCACAAAGTCTACTTCACTCTACTTACCTGTAGAGCAATACTACTTATGCATATTCCCCCTACCGGCAGGTATTTTCCGCTAAGAGTTATAAACAATAGCGCCCTCTGTCGCCCTACCCATAATAACCCGCGGCATGCGTGCCTCGTGAGCGTCCTCTTTTCTCTTAGCGGCAGGTCGGGTAGGACGTGCGTTAAATAGCTCGCTGTTTTCCTCGTCATTTACTACCCTTTTTTGTGCTTAAGAGAAGTTTATAATAAAAAGAGTTAGTAATCATCAGTTTGTAGAGTGTCATCATCTTCTTGGTTCTATTTATTTCATAAATATGAAGCGTTTGGGGAGGGCCGATCTGTCACAAACCGGGGGGAATTCCTCTCCCACGGGACGGACCGAGTTCTCGCCGTTAACGCTACGACGTTACCGTGGCAGCAGTCTCTCGTCCGGCACCCTCAGCCACAGTCGGCTGGGGGAGTTGGCAGTTCCGCCGATCAGTTAAGGGGACCTCGGTCACCTTCTCCGGTCAATTCAGGCGGAACACCCAAACTAAAGGCACACTCCGGCAAGGTTCCTCCAAAACATATCTCCTGTGCCGGAGCAAAGCCTAAGAAGGGCCGTCAGGGCAAGCATGGCTCGGCAACGAGCGCCGCTGTGTCACCTGGTCCTCCCCCGATCACGGGGCAGCCCGAGGGGACTAGCCGTCACACTTCGGTGGGCTCTAGTCACCCGTGCCCTCCCGACACAGTGCCGAACACCACTGGTTGTCGGGATGGGCTATTGCACGGGCTACCGGTCCGTTCAGCGCTCGCTCAGCCCACGGGGCCTGAGGCGCTGTCGGCCGGGTGCATTATGAGCGATACGGAGCCGGTCGCCCGGGGGGATCCCGGGCCGACGGCCCCCGTGCTAGCTTGCTCAGAGGGACTACTCTCATCATCGGATTTTTTCCGTTGTTCGGGGGTCCCGGTGTCCCAGGTGTCTTCCGATTTTTCCTCGGACACACCTCGGGGCCGTTCTTCTAAGAACAAGAATAAGAAGAAGGCTGCACGTCGATCGCGCCGTTCTTCTTCGGGTTCTGACGACTCCTCTGACCGGTCCCGCCGGGGCAAACGCTCCCGGGGGGAGGACGCGGTTTCTAGAGCAGATTTCCTGCAGGCTTTTCAGTCGATTTCCGATACGCTATCGGCTATGTCGGCAGGCCGTCGGGCGGGCCCTATTGGGGGCCCCCCTGCAGCGGTGGACTACGGCCCACAACCATCGGTCGTTGGTCCCGCATCGCAGTCTTCAGTCACCGGTCACGCTTGGGTGGCCCGGGAACAGAGGGACATACCGCAACACAATTAGTCGTGCTCCGGCGTCCCCGCCTGCGGTGAGGGCTTCACAGTCGTCGTTCGTTGGTCACGGTTGGGTGGCCCAAGCACAGCGGGATATACCACACGCGGTTGACCGTACACCGGAGGCCCGGCCTGCAGCGAGTGTCTCGCATGCATCGGCCGTGAGCCACGGTTGGGTGGATCAGAGGCCACGGGACCTACCGCATACGCTGGGATCCCCGCCTATATTGAGCATTCATCCATCCATGCCGTTTGACTCTGAGGAAGTTGTCCAGCTGCTAGCGCGTGGTTCGGTACAACTCGCCCCTCCAGACGGCGTTCGTTCACCGGAGTCAACTCGGCCCTCACAATCGGCTGAGTCATCCGGTGACAACGAGGAACCAGACCGATTACAGCGGCTGTCTATCTCTGAAACGGAGCTCCGTTTAGTACAGAGGGATATGATAAGAGTACTTAATTTACCCTCCACTGATGAGCCCCCTCTGCCCGATCATAAATCTTTCAAGCAAAGGACGGGCTCCACATCTAGCAGCGATAAAATATTCCCCATACTTCCTTTAGATCAAGTATGCCTGGAACATATCGACAACATCATCAACGGATAAATGGCGTCCGTTTCTCAGACGGGAACGAGATTATTTTCGTTTCCCGGCTGAAGATTTTGCGAAGTTTTTCACTCCACCTACTCTCCCGACGCAGCAAAAGATAAACTTGCGGCCGATGAGAGTGGTTCGTCTTCCAAGCGACCCTTTGTGGACAAAACACGGGGTAAACTTGAGGACGTTTTGAAGAAGATAGACGCAGCTTCACGTTTCGGTTTGCGATCAACGTCTTTCTTACTTCTTCTCACGGAATATTTGGCCGTGGGCTATGAAGAGGACTCGCCGATTCCGGCAGATATGCTGACTGCGGCCCTGCATTGCCTCGACCATGGTCTACGCTCAGTGTTTGATCAATTCGCACACGTGTCGACCCTATCAACGTCCACCCGCCGGGGTAACGTGCTCGATGCACTTTTCCTCCCGTCGCAGGGTGCTCGCAAAAGACTTGAGGATCCCTTGACGGGCACGGATCTATTTGACGGTAAATTCGAAGATCAGATGCGAGATGAGGCCAAACGTCTGAAGGCTACGGAGAAAATCAACTTCAAGAAGCTTCCAGCACTGGCGCCCAAACAACAGCGGGGCAGGGGCAAAACATTTGTCATTCCCCGCTGCAAACCTCTGAAATCTGGTCGCAGTGGTTTTCGTGGCCGCACGGATAAAACTTCCGGTGCGCGCGCCACGCAGGCCCGCACGTTCTCTGGACAACAACGGCCCCAATCCGGCCGTGGTTTCCGGGCACCGGCCCCCCGCTATCCCGGGGGCTGGCGCAAGTGACTTAGTAGACTTGTGGCGGCCTCCCGCCGTCGGACCCGTGGGAGGCCGTCTCCGAGACTTTGCGGGGTCCTGGGGTTTAATTACGTCCGACCGGTGGGTGCTCGACATGATCGGGTGAGGCTACGCACTCGAGTTCTCGAGCACCCCTCCGTCGGACATGATCGTTCGACCGACGGAAGTTCCGTCCGATCCTACCAAAAGTCTCTCCCTCGAAGGAGAGATCAATTCCCTCCTCGGGAAACGGGCAATTCGCCCGCTCCCTCCGGGGGAGACACGGTCGGGCTTCATGTCGACCTTCTTCCTGGTACCCAAGAAGGAGACCGGCATGTGGCGCCCGATTTTAAATCTAAAACCCCTAAACAAATTTATTCGGCCAAGACGTTTTCGCATGGATACGCTCAACATCATACTCCAATCGATCCATACACCTGCACGAGGAGCCAGTCTAGATCTAAAAGATGCATATCTACACATTCCTGTCAGACCAGACCACTGGGAGTTTCTCCGTTTTCCAAACGAGAACGTCCAGTAGGAGTTCATGGTTCTTCCATTTGGTCTAGCCACCTCACCCCGAGTCTTCACGCGTGTGGTGAAGACAATCGGGGCCGCATTAAGAAAACAAGGTGTGATGATTTTCATGTATTTGGACGATTAGATCATTATCGCTCAGTCTCAGATGGCCGCGTTGGCGGCACTCAATCTGACTTGGCGGCTAGCAGCGGACCTTGGGTTTATTATCAACGCCGAGAAATCCCATCCACATCCATCCCAATTCCCAATCTTTCTGGGAGCGTCTCTCGATCTCCAGAAGGGATTGGTTCGGCCTACGGAGGAACGAATTGTAAATCTCCAACAGTGTGTGTCTCTGTTTTTCCCGACGACCATGGCCCCAGCACAAGCCTGGCTAAGGTTGCTAGGTCTCATGGCCAGTATGGTAGATGTGGTGAACTTTTGCAGACTCAGGATGCGTCCCATCCAGTTACATCTGCTGTCCTTTTATCGTCCCAGTCGTCACCACATACGTCATCTGGTGCCGACCACACCTTGGCTGGTACCGCACCTTCGTTGGTGGCTCAACAGTGCCAACCTCACGGAGGGGCGCACGTTTCACAATCCCAAACCGTCAGTGACCATCACGACAGACACGTCACTTTTTGGCTGGGGGGCCACCCTCCACCCGCGCCAAGTAGCGGGTCGGTGGGGTCCCGAAGATTGCTCAAAACACATAAACGTGCTGGAGATGTTGGCAGTCATCAATGCTCTCCAACGTTTTCAAACATCAGTGGCGAACCAGGTAGTTAACATTCGATGTGACAATGCCACAGTAGTGGCCTACATCATTCGGGAAGGGGGCACGCGATCCGCCCAATTATGCGCGCTCACGTGGAATCTCTTCCATTGGTGTATGAGCCACAGAGTAACACTCTTGGCAAGTCATCTCCCATGCGAGGAGAACGTCACAGCCGACGCTCTCTCCAGGGAGTGGGTCGTTCCGACGGAATGGACACTGCGTCCGCAGGTTGTCCAGTCACTCTTCCTACTGATCGATCGACCTCATGTCAACCTGTTTGCCTCTCGAAACAACCACCAGTTACCGGTATATTGCGCAAGACACAACGATCCCAGCGCATGGCAGACGGATGCACTGGCGATACGGTGGGACAGACTACTTGCATACGCCTTTCCCCCGTTCTCCCTCATACCTCGAGTACTGACCAAAGTGGAACAGGAGGACTGCAAGATCCTCCTCATAGCTCCTTTTTGGCCACGCCAGCCTTGGTTCCCGAGACTCATCAAGCTCTTGGTTCACCACCCGGTGACTCTTCCGAAGAGGGCGGACATACTGTTCCAGCCCAGCTCGGGTTTTTTCACCCGGCCCCGGAGGATCTCCACCTGACGTGCTGGGTATTATCAAGCAATCCCTCCGCACGGCGGACCTTTCTGAACAAGCTGCGGCCATTGCAGCCTGCAACTGGCAGGAATCTACCAGGAAAATTTATAGCAGTAGATTACACCATTTTTACAAATGGTGTAGAGCCAGGTCTCTGCGTCCCTTTGATACTTCTATAGGAGAGGTTGCAGACTTCCTGGTAGGCCTCTTTGAAAGTGATCTTGCTACAGCCACAGTTAAAAATTATCGTTCGGCTATAGCGGCTATTCATGGAAGCTTCTCTGACGGTTCCTCGGTGTCAGATAATCAGAGTCTTAGCCAACTTATCAGGGGGATGTTTGTGTCACGCCCCCCGACACGTAGGCTATTACCATCGTGGGATCTCTTTGCCGTTTTATCAACCTTATAGAGACCCCCATTTGAACCAATGGGCAGCTCAACCTTGTTGCAGCTGTCTTTTAAAGTGTCATTTCTATTAGCAGTGGCTACGTCTAGACGACGTAGCGAGCTGCATTCACTTACGGTGGAGGCAGGTCATATCCGGTGGGAACCAGGGGGTGTACGCCTGGTTCCTAAAACAGGTTTTCTGACTAAAAATCAGTCGGAATCATTTTCGCCTCCTGACATTTTTGTGCCGGACATCAAATCCTTTTCGTCTGTCTCTCGTGACAAACTTTGGTGTCCGGTCAGGGCCCTGAAATGGTACGTTGATAGAACTAAAACGCTCCGAAACGGCCATTCACAGCTGTTTATAACAACGACTCCACCATACTGACCGGCCTCGTGTGATACGATTTCCCGTTGGTTGGTTACGGCCATCAAATCAGCAGTAGACTCACCAACAACAGATTCCGTTGGGTCAGTCCATGCACATGAGGTCAGGGCGACTTCTACTTCCTGGGCCTTTTTTAAGGGTGTTTCTGTTAAAGATATCACACAGGCAGCGTGTTGGAAGACCCCCAACACCTTCACGGAGTGCTATTTGAAGGATGTCCTCCAGACGGAAGGTAGAGCCGGGAGAGTGGTGCTGAAGGCGGCGAGCCGAGCATCATCGTGTCCACAGGATCCTCTCCTACCCAGGACTTCCCTAGAATAGGTGAGTCTCCTCATCCTGACTATTTACATTCATACATTACATTGTATTGGGTATAAATGTATAGCTTAACACTCTTGTAGCAAGGTCATTGGTCTTTGACAAATTACCTTTTTTGTATCAGTTTCCTTGTACATGGGCTTGGTTTGAAGTGTTTTAGAACTTGCTTTAAGAAGTGTCTTGTACTAACGGTACTCTTCTTTGCAGGATTCAACTGTATTATATCATAATACTTTACATTATGAGGCGTTCCCCCTAACAAGGGCTGACGTCTCGGTTAACATGTGAGGGTAATTAATATCCTTTACATGTAGATTTCTTGGTTTTTCCCCTGTCCGCCTTTGGACGGAACAGTGGGAGCCATCTGGGGTTACATTTCCATGTTTCGTGCCCCTGTGAGTAAGCAATAGCATCTCGCATGACCCACCTCCTTGACGGTGCTAGTCTATGCATAAAATAGTATTGCTCTACAGGTAAGTAGAGTGAAGTAGACTCCCACCCCCCCCCCCCCACAGAAGTGTGGTTGGGGTCTACGAACGAATACTTACCTGTAGAGCATCCCTCCCCCCTACCCCACTCTTCTCGATGCCTTGGGTACCTTGTTGTATTCTGACTTAGCGCTCGAGAAAAGAGGAGGCTCTCGAGGCACGCATGCCGCGGGGTATTATGGGTAGGGCGCCAGAGGGCGCTATTGTATAACTCTTAGCGGAAAATACCTGCCGGTAGGGGGAATAAGCATAAGTAGTATTGCTCTACAGGTAAGTATTCATTCGTAGACACCAACCACACTTCTGTGGGGGGGGGGGGGGGAAATTTTACCCCAATTTTTCCTTATCCTACCCCCATAAATTTTAGTATTTTACCAAATGGGCCACGAACATTCGATATAGTCTATTTGCAACAGTAATAGTTTGCCTCCAAAAGGGAGCTGAGCCTAATACAGCCATGTCCCAAACGTATTTACTTATGATGTTTAACCAGTTCACGACATTTAACAAGTTCAAGACAAGAACGGAAGGCGGCGTGGGATTAATTTTTATTCGACCTCATGCCAGGCGGGTTGAAGCCATCACCCTCAGGCAGCGTGCTGATATTTCTGGCCTTGCTTGCTGTGAGCAGGTCGCTGACAGATATTTCTGGCCTCACTCCCTGCGTGTTTATCTGTCATCCGTTCTGGATACTGCAAAACCTTGGCGGGTATACATGTCATCCAGTGAGAACTGGGTAAGTGTCTCCCTAAGGGCCCTTTTGTAAACTGAAGATCAACAACAACTTACGCATAATAATACAAAGATAAGAAAACAAAGAGCAGTTGATTTCGTCCGGAATAGCCCCTAGAGCCAATTGTAGAGGCTGACCCCCAGTTTAGACTGGCATTCCAGAGTCAAGCCAAACCAAATTAAATCAAGATGTAAATTAAGTATATGAAAAATCTGATGTCTGAAACAATTAGGAGCGACTAGATATGCTAGATGGTTATGACTGCCAAAACAGGCCCAATAAAAAAATGCAGACATGTTAATGCTTTTACGATGAACATTTTTGATATCAAAATGCTGCGTCCTACGGTAACATTAATTCTGCTCATAACTAATGAGCACACATTGTGCAACCATCCCCTTGAGCCTACAATGTGCATTCGCGTAAAATGGTGGGTATGAGAGAGGCAGCATTTTGTTATGTCAGTTCTAAGCTTTTTTAAGATGTCTATAGTGTTGCTAAGATCGTGTGTTCAAGACATTTGTGATTCAAGCACATGGCTGGGAAATGCTATGTGGCATTGGAGAGGCACACCTGTTGTTCCCCACATACAGAGTGGGCGGGGCCTAATGGATTCTTAAAGAGTTAAAACAGTTTACCTGAGCATGACAAAGTTTCCGATAGTGATCTCCTGACTTGTATCAAAATCCAGGTGTGAGAGGGATTTACTGTACTGCCAGTTGCCAAACTGTAGCGTCAGCTGGCCAAGGCATGGATCTATCACCATAGAGGTACTGAATGAATGATGTAACGGTCCAAGGTTCACATCCAGGCAGCACTGTATGCCAAAGCAAGTGTTGAGGATGCCACAGTGAGCCAAAGGGGTCAGGCTACTGGGAAACTGCATGCTGGGACAATCTGGAAGAAAATGAGGTTACAATGTAACATTTGATTGAATGGTTCAAGGTTCACATCCAGGCAGCATTGTATGCCAAAGCAAATGTCGAGGATGCCACAGTGAGCCACAGTGTATTACTTAATAGATTCTCAGGGGCACACATGCACCAGGATGTAAATAACATCCAATTTGGTGGAGTGTGTTTTGGGTGTCCTCATATTCTGGAGTAGGAGCTCATAGGTGCGGTCATAATTTCCTACAATAGGCAGAGAACATCCAGACAGCCTCACAGTTATAGCCAGCCTGGTGGGAGGGAAGGGTCATTTTTAACATGAAGTGGACATTTTAATGTCTAATAAACAGTTGATTACCCATGGAAATTGAGAAATTTGGATGTGTCATGTCAATTACGAGGAAAAAGTGGACATGTTGCTGATTGGTGGGGGGTTTTTTTGAGGGGGGGGGGGGGTTCCCCGACTTCCGGCCTGATTCATCACATGTTGTATTAGGAATAGATTACAAGAAACCTACTGCCATAAGACTGAGGCCCCATGGGGTTGAGACACGGTTGACTGCTGAAGAAGTCTGGGTCGATTCCAAGCTGTGATAGAAGGGCTAGCGATGCTCCCTGGATGACCTGTCCTGATACTGTCTCTATGAAACCGTCCACTGGAGAAATAAACACCAAAGATAGTGACAAATTTAAAGTTGCCTTGTGTTGTGAGGATGAGGATTGTGAGTTATTGAATGTGCCTTTTGCTAGTCACATCTTAGTGAAATTTCAGCCATTCAAACTGTGTCTGAAACTGTCATTTTGTCTAGGGGTATATATTTACTGAAGTCACAGCTGTGAAATGGCAGATTGTAACATAGACTTACTTCGCTCACTTTGGGTAAAAGAGCCTTGAAATACACAACATTACCAATGTCATTAGGGATAGGCTTAAGTAATTATATCTTAATCTCCTGTTGGCTGGACAGATGCATCCCCAAACTCTGTTTTGGGAACTGAAGCGGTGACCTGACTGCAAGTTATAGCTTGTGTCTTTTCTTGTCTGCTCTAACTTTAAAAATAATCATTTGCGATGGCCTTTTGATCAATATAATGCAAACATCACAATAAAAGTCTTTGAAGTATACATGTATGTTGATGCGAAAGTTAATTCACATGTAGTATTAATTTACAGTAGTATTTAGGGAAACAGTGTGATGAGCCAGTCTTCACTGGGTGGTAATGACTGGGTTCAAGGATGGCCGTTGTTAATGAACCAAACCGAAAAAAGGTTAATTAACAACGGCCATCCCCCAAGCAGGTCATTATCACTCAATGAAGACTGGGTCACCACACTGTTATTCCCATAAATAAATACCTTTTTAACGGAAAAAACAATTAAAATACCCAAATTTTGTGACTTTTCTTTCAGCAATATTTCCAGACTTTTTGTGTTCATGTTGAGGGGCCATATTTTAGCTTAAGCCTGCGATATGCTACCCTGTCTATTCAATGTGTAATTCGTCTAGCTTCATTGCATTACGACTGACGTCCAGGGTATGAACTTCTGCTGCAATAGTGAAACAAATTACAACAATTCTTTTCTTCATATTCTTACCTGACGGAGGAAGCTGAAATTTCGTTAAAATATTCCTCGCGCCAAGAATAAAAAAGATGCTCAGTTTAGAAAAAGTAAGTACATGTATGTACGTGGCCGATGTGATTACAGAAAATAAATTGCAGATCCACTCTTTCGTTGTACACGTAAACATCCTCAGTACAAACATGTTGTGTGAAGACTTATTCCGCGCGTACATAGCAACTGTGCTGCAAACACGCACGTAAGTCTCATGGTGGTTGAGCACATGTGAAATGCTGTATTGTTACAAGCTACGATGGGACTGTTGTATATTTGGCCAATCATTGGCTTACATGATGCTTGATCAATGCTGTTTCAGGGGCCATTTATTCGATTGTTTTTGAAGCCAGTTTTTATATCACCGTTAATGCATCCCCATGAGAGCAAGTCTCAACTATTCAGAAGCTGTCAACTCTCCAAGGTATTTATTAATATTCTTTATGGGCTTTCAATGATTATGGTTGTTGTATAAAAGGCAATCATAGTTTCATGCCTTAATAGGTGACCCATGACACACCTGTCTGTAAACTCACCAGATAGACTGTAACTGCTGAAGCCTGGGTTGCATACAGGGATTGGGACGTAATGCGTTATGTTGATGTCAGTGCACAGTCCATCAATGCAATATTCTAGCACCATGCTCAACTTCAACTCTTGAGTATCATTCTGCTTGTTGATAGAGTATCTGGAAGGGGAGCAATAGTCATACACTAGTCAAAACATTGCATGGGTGCTTATACCTAAAGCCAAAACTGCTAACACTGATTTAATATCGCTTTTTTAACCTTTTCTGATGAAATTACTTGAACAACATTTACTCAATATTGCACATGCGGATGGACTACAAGCGCTCCAAAACATCATTTCAGCCAACAATAGCAGTGCTACAATCTACCAACTCACAGAGTTTGCTCAGTGGTAATTGTTTCATCTTTAGAGACAACTGTACTTCCAAATGAGTGGTACTACCATGGGTGCAAGCATGGCCCAACAATATGGAAACATCAATGACATTTTCATGATCTGGACACACAGGTATGAATCACTTCAACATTTCCATCCAAGCTTGAATGAATTCCAGCCCACTATCAAACTTACTTTGGAGCACTCTGACCAAGTCAATTTTCTGGACACCATTGTCAAGATTGACGGGGGCGGCCTCACAACCTCAGTCTTCCAGAAACCCACAGATTGTAACGGTTATCTCCATACCTCCAGTTTCCACCCACCACACTCTCATGTATACAGCCGAGCATTGAGCTACAACCGCATAGCTGCTCTGACCCAGAGGATCTTGACAACCAGCTAGCCAATCTCCAACAATCATTCTTGGATACGAAGCACAAGCCCAGGACTGTATGTGGCCGAAGAGATCAACAAACCCAAATGCAAACCCTGGGATCAGTTACATCAGTATAATCGATCACAAGACAGCACAGATGGGACACCCCTTGTGATTACATACAGCCCTCTACTAAAAACAATACGACGCATAATTCATGAACTTAATCCAATCCCCCAGGATGATGACACACTCAAACAGATCTACAAAGAAAAACCTACAGACCATTCCTCAATTTTTGAGCCAAACTTGTCAGAAGTACATTTGCCCTCCCCGTCAACAATGAAACCACCCCATGCAACAGCTCAAGATGTCAACTTTGCCTCCACATAAATTCCAGTATCACCGGACCCAAAAGTGTGACATACAACATCAAAGGATCATTCAGGTACTTCCAGTAATGTGACTTATGCAATCACCTGCAAGCAATACCCCACAGCAGTACACATAGGACAAACTGGCAGTCATTTAAACGTATGAATGGACACAAGTTTGATATCACAAACAAGGATATACAGAAAGCTTTAGCTGAAGATTTCAATTTACCAGGCCACACATTAGGTTCAGAGTAGCTGTACTCCAACAGATAAGATTCAAACCAAGAGTGGACAGGCAAACCGCAGAACAAAAGATTATTCATCTCGACTACACTTTATTCAACAAGGCAAATAGGGATTGTTGCTTTTTGTCACACTACACCATTGCTAACTGATTAATCACTGCCCTGTTTTGACTGTACATGTACCCCTATATACATGTAAACCTTGTATGCTGATGCCCCTCTTCATTGCATCTGATGAAGTAGTCGTTATGAAAGCTTCAATATAATCCTTCATTCTAGTTTAGTAATTAAAAGTGCTACCCACTTTACTCAATGATGTCTGTGAGCTTTGTGAAAAAATGTCAAAAGCAAGCTAGTGACTATGCAGTGCTTGCGACATTATGTTGATTTTTCATACTTACCTCAGATTCAATCCTGAAGCAATTTTGACTTTCATCTCTTTTCCTACAAATAAAAAAAGGTTTTAGTATTATGCTCCAGTATCCATTAAATTCCTGAATTTTGACATGATTTCTTTAACAAAAATTAAATTCAGTACAAACAAATGTTACTCCACAGCCATAAAAGAGCCCACACAGTACATGAGGTAAGGGCAGAGACAACTGGATTCAGAAATACAAAAAGTATTTACAGAACTGAAAGAAAGCCTTTTAGGTTGAATTTGCACTTGAATTTTTAATGTGTATTTTAAACTTCAATTTGACACACCTATTCAAGTAAATATTGTAAAGAATGAGTGGAAATCATAATTCAAAGTACATCTTAATAAATAGGTTCTAAATCTGTATTTTTCTCATAAAATTAACTTCATTGGCAGAATCTTCAAATTCGTCCCTTAAATTAAAATAAATATTTAGGCCGCCTAAAAAGATTTTTTTCAAAAAATTGCTCTGTCTTGTTAGTGGGCATCAATCCCTTATGCAATTTGGCACCGCCTTTACTTGATATTCTCCTAAACCACTCTTTCTTATGGGAGTCTGGTGGGGACAATAGTTGCGTAGCCCCATAGAAACATGGACAAGTAAACAATTAAAGTGTGACATCATCAGTACAGAGGCTTATATCACCAAAGACACAGCCTGCTCTTACCCCACTGATAGCTAAAGACAGAGCCATGGAAGGACCACTTCTCCAGACCCAATGAGAAGGTGAAGTCACAGGGATCAAACTTGAACCACGCCGTGGCTGAGACATCAGCTATCTTCAGGTCCAGGTCCAGGCAGCATCGGAGCTCTGTGCAGGTCTCACCAATCACAGTGCAGTTGCCTAGGATACTAGTGGAGCTGGCACAGACATCTAGAGAGGAAGACAAACAAGTGACTGATCCATTCCACCCCGCACACTGTGCACGAGGGCGACTACAAGTGCACCTCCCCACAGTCACACTACACATTCTGGGTGTAAACTTCATACAGACAGACTGTTTCCTGGCCCCTGAAAATATTTGAACCAGTAGCTAGCTTCCATTTAAAGCCATTGATTGGATCACCCCTGCGTGCACATCATGATTGTTAATTTTCAAATCATCGTTTAGCTCTGTGCATTGATGGTGATTGAACACATGATTATAAAAAACTTCACTATTGCCTTTTAATACCACAAAATTATGCAAAATCATCAGTGCCTGCATGATAATGAAAAGTAGCGCGCATCTGCTCAACCGGAAATGTCCACACAAGCTTTAACGTGGGAAATGACCACAAAGATAGCCCATTTTTTACACTAAATTCCCTGTATCTTCAGAACGAACAGTCGCACAAATCTGGGGGTTGCAGATTATGAACATTCATTCTTCTGGCTTTAAGTCTAACTAAGTCTGGCTTGGAAAAGCAGAAAAACCACTGATCATTTTTTCTTGAAAATGTGGGGCATGAGGCATTTTCCTATGGAGCGGAACAGAAAATGACCGTTTGTGACAGACCTTTGGTTGTTTATCTCAACGTATCTCGAGAACCCAATGTCACAGCACACTAGGGGTAGCGGTTTTGTAAAGAGGATGAAGTTCTCTTTCTATTCATATAAGTCTCAATTTTATTGGTTAAGAAACCACTGATCATTTTTTCATCAAAGTTTTCCCCAAATGACTGGATTTGTTGCAGAGGTCAGTCTTGTGAGTGCACTGACCTAAGCCCGCATTGTTGTGTTGGGCCGTTCCACTGACTCGGGGGGTATTACAATGTTTGCCGTGGACCATCATGCAGTATGTACGTGTACATGTCTTAGAGCTGTATCATAATGCTCTATATGTTACATGTACATGCACATGAGGACCACTGATTTCGTTTAAGTTTGACGTGTATTTTTCAGGCCCTAATGTTCACTTTTGTGACATGTTCGTGGACTTGTCGAAGCTATACTTGATGCACCAACTTGCCATTGCACTAAATGTTTTGTTTTTATAACCTGTTTACCTTAGTCTAGTTTGTTTTCTTGTTCATTTAACAATGTAATTTTATGCATACTTTATGTGTTTGAACACTCGTGGTTTGTGACAAAAAAGGGTTACACAAAGGCTGCTTGCTATATGCATGGAGGACGGATGAACGTGTCCCTCAGTTTGCATGATGTACCTGTGGGGGATCCTACGTGGTACTGGCCAGCGTGTTGCGTGTGGTATGCAAACCGCAAGGTCATTTGGACAAGCTGTGGAGCTGTCTCACACACAGTGTTCTTTTGCGCGTTTGGGCCCCAAACTTTTCATTATAGGTAACTTTCAAGCATTTTAACTGCAGTGCATAGGTTTAAATTACCGGACATAGTAAGGTCTCTCTCTTTAGTGATATTTGCCAGAGACAATTTCGAATTCAGCAAAAATTGAAGCTCATCACCTCCAACATTGTAAATTTGTGGTGCAGCCTATTGCCATTTTACAATGGTTGCAGGCAAACATTACCGATGTGATTTTTTATTCAGGAGGCGAGATTCAGACGTTTTGGAACGCCACATACAGTCTAGAAATATATCGAGATACAACGCACCACCAAATAGCTCAAAATACACAGCTATTGCTTGAATACCGGTATATACTGAAAAAAACACTTGAAGAACTAATGAAAACTCCACAGAACTGTTTTCTAAGAAAACCATTACTTAGCTAAGTTGAATTGGTTGGACTAAAAAACACATCTATCTCGCCTGCGTCACTAAGAGAAAAGAGGCAGATGCAATATGGCGGTGACGCCGGGTGGCATGATGGGTAGGCGCCAAGAGACGCATTATTGTGTGATTAAACGCTTAGCGAATTGGCCTGCTGGCAAAGGGTAATATGCAAATGTAGTTGCTATTTGGGTAAGATGAACGAAGTTAATGGCAGAATGTAACAACACAATTGTTGACGGCTTTGCCTCCTGTGCTATACATCCCTTGGGTGTTAAATTATCTGGCTGTATCTCAAAATATGGCCATGCGACTTCCGACTGGTATTGTACTGATAAAGGGCCACAAAAATCATTCCATGTAGAGTTATCTAAAATCACCTCTCAATAACAAAAAAGAACACATAATTTGTACTTTCTTGAGCCTGTTCTGAATGCATTTAGCTGCACATACCCTGTGTGTCATAGCTGCATGCATTTCCTGTCAGGAAGCCAGTCAGATTAAGATGACCCAGGGCTGCATCTATGGCAAACTGACCAACATTACCACCAAGGTAACTCAAAAAGCCTGACACTGAGCCATCACCTGAGAAGTAGAAAACAAGTTACGAAATGTTACACGTGCGTAAGGACATTCTTAAGATGAGAGTCATAGTTCTTTATGTAGTTCCTTATGGGACAGTAAACACAATAGAACAATAGACACCACAAAGAAGTCCCCATAAGGGAAATGCTATGGAGACTGAGATTTCAATAGGAACCAAGGAGAACAAAAAAAAGGAGGAAAAAAGGTCTTCCCCCCACAAGAACCTGTATGTGCGACCGGGTCATCACCGGGTTATGGGAAAGGTTTGTTTTATTGTTAGACAAATGAGGACCGATTTGTGGGGGCTTTCTGCTAGCTGTCCCCACAGCGTCTTCGGTCCCCAGTACCATGTGACAACTCCTATGTAGTTCCCACAACTATGAAACAAGAATGGGTATACAAGTATCAAGTCACACACTATTCAAATGTGCTGTGATAAGGGCATTCTTGTTATTGCTTATCCAATTTTACTTGTGATGGGCCTTATTAAAGTGAATTGAGTGTCAAGTACGCTTGACTGGACCTTGATGCACATGATTAAAACAATGCATGCAGCCTTTTTAGTGGGAACCTGTGGAGTCAAAGCAGAAACGTTGTGAGACCACTGTGGGCTCCCCAGCAAGAAAGGGAGAGTTGGGAGAGAGACATTGGCATTGCCGACGCCTTACTCTCACCTGAACATGCCATGGCTTTGTGTACATTTAAAATAAAATAAGTCGTGCGTATTTCATACGCGTGTGAACCAGTACGCACATGTGGTGCATCCCGTCTACAAGGCTCTCAAAAGTGGTAAAAAAGCGCCCTCTCTCGTTCGCACACAGAGCCCATAGAGAGTCCGAATGTAGGATTTCTTGCATGCACTAGGGTGTCATTGACGGAGTACAATACACTTGACTATTTCAAAGTCTCTATGGGTGGACACCGAGTACAAAGTAGCAATCGTGTTCACCTCATCATTAAGGGACCATGCACAGAGTCTATAAAGAACCAGTGCCACCAAACTGCTTACTACAAATATTTTCTTCTCATCACTGAAGCAACTTTTGGATAGTAATCAGAGAAATGCAAATGTCAATTGAAATTGTTGCAAGTGACTTGCCACCACAATTTACTTTGTGTACTTTTGACCAATGCCATATAAGTCACAATAACCCAAAGTCACATGTTTATAAGATTGTCCTCTTCCAAAGTTACACATGGAGATAAGCTGTAAACATACCAGGCAGAGTGAATGTATCTCGGGTGTTACACAGCGGTATGGGCAGACGACTGCCAGCAAACACCGTCAAGGTGTCACATGCTCCATCTAGACAGAGGACTAGGGACAAGTCTATCTCAAACTGCTTGTCTTCGGTGATCTTAGCCACTCTCCATCTATATGTTTAAATGCAAATTACACAGTCAAGAAGGAAATGCAACAATGTTAAACTATTAGGAACTAGTGGTGTGTATTTATGGGTAGTACAGGAACCGGGTACCCTATTGAATTTAAACACAGGTACACACAGGTACCCGGAAGAGAAACCCAACCCCTAAATTCAAACCCTGGAAGTTGTCTGAAGGTCTTTTTCATTTCTTCTCCTTCGATGCTCAATTATCTACAGATTTTACCCGATCGGTGCCTTTACCCAGCCCGATCTTCTATACATTTGCTTGGTTCAGGACATAGACGGCACCTTTGCCATTTCTGGAAATGTAAGTGTTGGGTACTGATTGATATATGTATTTGTATTTTGAGATCTTCCCGCACTGGGGTTCTGTGATCGATCTTGCAACGTACCATTACGTCACCTGAACAATAGATCACCAGCCTGAACAATAGATCTTCTATACATTTGCTTGGTTCAGGACATAGACGGCACCTTTGCCATTTCTGGAAATGTAAGTGTTGGGTACTGATTGATATATGTATTTGTATTTTGAGATCTTCCCGCACTGGGGTTCTGTGATCGATCTTGCAACGTACCATTACGTCACCTGAACAATAGATCACCAGCCTGAACAATAGATCACACAGTGGGACCACTAAACCCAAGAATGCACTTGTCTCCTTTGTTATAGCTGATCATCGCCATCATCAGTACGTCATCTTCTGCAACCACCTTTGGCGATAGGCAAACCTTGCCACCCAAAGCAAACAAAGGTTTGTAATCAAGGGATATTCCAAGGCTTGCGTATTATACTACAAGAACTCGGTACCAACATTTTCCGTACCCCTGCTTTCATGTGGTGGCATAAACCCAAATCCTGGCCCCGATACAACCCAAGATCATCATACTTCGAATAATATAACCTGCTTATTTAGCAACAAAGGTCCTGAACTTGAAGTATTTCTGAGTTCTACTTTGCCTGACATCCTGTGTTTCACAAAAACTTGGTTAACACCAACTGACACAGACGGAGTACTCTGCTTGCCTGATGATTACATTATCATACGCAGGACTGTTGCCAAGGATGCTGTGAAGGTGGTATTTTAGCAGCTATTAAATGTCATTTTCACCTACTAGACTATGTATCCATGACCAAAACGACCTCGAGCTTCTGTGGGTATCACTGAAAATGGGCTCCAAATTGTGGCTACTTGGGCTTCTCTACCAACCACCCTCTTCAACATCAGCATACTGGACCAAGTTCAAGGACGCCATTGAATCCCTCAACATTGATGAATACAACAGATGCATGATCATTGGTGACTTTAATGTTGACCCCTCCACCTCACACATCATCTCCCCATCGATCTCGACTTTTTGATACTGCTGCCGAATTTAACCTGGATCAGCTAGTGACTTCAGTCACGAGATCGAACACAAACAGCCCCTATCAAGGTTCCATCATTGATTTTTTTTTCACCAATCGTGCTGACCATGTCTCGTCTGTGTCCACTGTCCCCAATCCCGTAAACTCTGATCTTTTTGCAGTCATTGTTATATTTCGCTCAACTCAACTTCCCCCTCGTCTAGCGGTATTGCGATCGTTCCTGCAAACTAGATGTGGAGACTTTCAACATCCACGGCAGTTAATTTATCTCATTCTCTGGTCTGTCTTCATCGACTCCAGTGCCATCAATCAGTTAACTGACAACATTCTGGACTTGTTAGATGCTATGATCAGAGATTCTGTCCCAAGGGTCACCAAACGCCGATCACGATGCTCACCCTGGATCACTCCGAAACTCAAGAAACTCATCAATAAGAAACATAAACTCTTCAACTCAGCTTGTAGATCCGGTCTTTAACTGATTGGAATTTGTACAAATCTGTTTGTAATAATGTGCAAGCATCTATTCGTAGAGCCTATTGGCATTTTGTCAAATTAATATGTTGTTTGAGTCTGATGATAACAGTCATTTGTTAGAAGCCGAATACAGTCACCTCCGCCACCATCATTTAATCATAACAACCGTAAATTGACCCATCCTGATACAAGTATTTCAGCTTTCAGTGATTATTTGAGATGCAATCAAGCTAAATGAGTCATTTGTCGGGAATATTTATTTGGAGAAACAGGCCAAAATAAGGCCACTTCATCACATCACTTCATTGCATCTCTTGGTTTCCAACTTCTATAATTTTTGAACTAAAGATGGTATCAGCATGCAATTTCACAGCAGTAATGCTGAGACTGAGCTCTTTTCAAATCTGTAATAAAAACAATTTTGACCAGGGTCGACAAACCACTCATGTAGCTTGATCGCGTCACATTTTTCCTCTGTGTGTAAACCTGCCGGTCCAGTTTCCCATAACCCTCCTCCTTGCTTGCTTCCCATTCGTTGTTTATCGCATATTGATGTTACCGCAGGTCAAATTGCTGCTTTGCCCTGGACCTGCTGGTATATTTATTTACCTGGTATTCTTAACAAAATTGCCCCGGAAATATCCCATCCTCTCAGTTTGGTGCATCGCTGTGCGGGTGTATTACCCGACACCTGGCGATGAGCCAATACAACACCTGTTCACAAAAAGGGCGACAAATCTTTGCTGACCAACTAAAGGCCTGTCACTCTGAAATCTGTGTTAGTAAAGTGCTCGAGCGGATTATCTCTGTAGCCATTAATGACCATTTAACCACATTGAATCTCCTCAACCCCAATCAACATGGTTTTGTTAAGCACGGAAGCTGTGTAACCCAGCTGGTCAACATTATTCATTCTTGATCATCCACTCTGGACAGACAATATCCTCCTAGAATAGATGCCGTTTTTCTAGACATGTCTAAGGCATTCAATGCAATGCCGCATCATATCCTTCTTGCAAAGCTGGCAACAGCATTCAACTTGCGGGGTAAGTTGTGGCATTGGAATCGATCGTTTTTGACCGGTCGCAGTCAACGGGTCCTCTTTTGGGGTACTGTCTCCCCATGGGTGGACGTTACTTCTGGCGTACCCAAGGGTAGCGTACTTGGTCCTTTGTTGTTAAACCTCTTTGTCAACGACATATCCCACTCTATTTCCTCCCGTTGTGTTTTATTTGCTGATGACATCCTCTTACACCGTGACATACAATGCCCCGATGATGAGCTTGAGCTTCAGACCAATTTAAACAGGCTTAATTATACTGGTGTGACGTAAACGACATGATCTTCAATGCTGGTAAAACTAAAGTCATGCACATCACTAGAAGCCGTCACATCAACCCTCCAGTCTATATTCTTGGAAATATCCCTCTCAACACTATGAACTCGTTTCAATACCTGCGTCTCACGACAGATGCTAAACTCAGCTAGACGACACACTGACTACATGCTCGTCTAGTTGCCCTGCTGTCATCATCTTTGTTGTATATTGTACATGTTTATAGCTTTTTTGTCTGTATTTGTCTCGTTATTTTTGTACATCTAGTATCTGGATTTGTTCTGTACATGTATATGTATTTTGTCTGTTCTTATTTTCTTTTTTTAAGGTCAAATAAATAATAATGATAATAATAGCCTGGTTTAATTTAGAAAATTCTCACAAATGGCATTCACTATTAGGAACTGTCACCAGAGTGTTCAAGTTGAAGAAAAGTACCAAATGCCAACAAAGTTGTGATCGACTAGATTATACATTAGTTCAGGAATTGCCATTTTCTTAAGTAATCAAATAATTGCCATGCCATCGTCATCTTACACTAGTCCTTCACCCATTGTTGTTATATTGTGTGCTTGGATACTGGAATTTCATTGGATACTGTAATTTCACCAGTCTGGACAATAACAATGTACGATACATACATACACTGAGGGTGATCGCACTGCGTTCATACGTCGCGCGTTGCGCGCACGCATGTGGAACCTGCCAGCACACTAGCTTTGTGCAATGAGAACTGCAATGTCAAACCCTCAGTCTCATGTACGGTAGGATATTAAACCCTTCAGTTATCAAAGGTTACATCACAGTGATTTTGATTTATTTCTCACACAGTATGTTACAACCATTTATTTTTTGGAGTTATTGTCATGATATAACAAAACAATTGTTGACTGCTGTGATGTGGGATATGCAGAAGCATACGCAAGAAGAAGTGGTACTCTCCTTGCCTTCCAACTCTGTGACCTGTGTTCGATTCTTGCCTTGGTTTTTCTGTCCCTACTTGATTCTGTAGGTTTTCCCTGGAATATCCTTCCAGGTTTTCCTCCCATCTTTTAAACTTGACATTTCTTCTTGTCTACCCTTCTAAGTATTTAAGTCATCCAAGCTACAGTGCTTGTACACTTTTAAGGAATACTTCGTTTCATTAACAGACAAATTCAAAAAAATAATTGAAATAACATTGAACACAATAGATCAAATATTTAAAATCATCGCGATAACATATTTGTACACATAGTGGTCATTTTTCATTAAATATTACCACAATCAAGAAAGATGAATTGGTGACAAAAATGCTTTTTTGTCGTACCTTACTCTCAGGACGCTATTCACAACTTCCTCCATGACATCTCCCAGTGGGTAGTGGAACAAGGTGACACTACGTTCCCACTTCTCAAAGCCCACAGACAGGGTGAAGTTGCAGGGATCCAGGATGACCCAGGCACTGACGCTGCGAGTCGTTATCTTCAAGTCCATCTCCAGACAGCATCTGATGCCCAGGCACGAGTCAGTGACAGTGCAAGACAGGAAGTCAGGCAGCTGGGTGACATCAACGGCTGGACAGCCTTGAAGAAAGAGAATCCATTAGAAATATTACAAACGACAGTGACAGTGAAGATTCAGCCTGTAATAGGTGACATTGCATGTGAGGAAGTCAGGAAGTTGGGTGACATCAACGGCTGGGCAGCCTTGAAGAAAGAGAATCAATAACAAATATTAAAATGACAGTGACAGTGACGATTCAGCCTGTAATAGTTGACATTGCATGTGAGGAATGCAGGAAGCTTGGTGACACCAACGGCTGGACAGCCTTGAAAAAGAGAATCAATGACAAATATTAGAAATGACAGTGACAGTGACGATTCAGCCTGTAATAGTTGACATTGCACATGAGGAAGTCGGGAAACTGGGTGACACCAATGCCTGACAAGCTGGGAAAGACTAGAATCAGTGACAAATAACAACAGTCACCGTGACAATGTACAAGTTGGATTTGGAGATGCTGACAGAAAGAGAATATGAAGAACAAACAAAGCTAAGTCACAATATACAGCTGGGTCAGAGAGGAACATTACAAAATCAGTACAATTGAACTTTTCGTAACCCAAGATTCTGTACGAATTTGTATGGTACACAACACCAGCGAATGTCAACATGTTAGTGTTCTTTCATGGTATTGTTTTTTAAACAAGGTTTGTTCTTCAAAGTCCTGCTCTTATTTGACACTTTTTAGGTTATTAATTATTACTGGCAAATACTCCAATCAAACTTACCACTCCTCAAGGTGCCTGGTGTTCCCCTGTCACAAGGTACACTCTGCAGATAATGCTGCAGTCGGGGTAAAAGCAGAAAGAACTTACATGTTTACTCAGTTCAAAAAATGTATTAATAGATAAAGCTGTTGTCAGTAGGTATTGTGGAAATTACAGTTGGTTACTGACAAAAAAAGCTACATGTAGATGTATATATGAAGTAAAGCAACAACATGGTGTTGTGCCAATTTGTGTCTAGTTCTCCCTCCACTAACCAGACACAGGGGCGGATCAAGGTTTTGAGCAAGGGGCAGGGGTTAAGCTATAAATGGGCACTGAAGTCATGCGCCCCTGTTAGAGATGCTTTGCATTTGGGGCATATTAAAGAGAATGTCTGGATTATGAGTGATGGATTGTTGTCTCACCTACATGTGTAAGAGGGAGGGGTTAAACCCCCTAATGCCCTCATAGATCCTCCATTCCAATAAATTCTATCTGATCATGGAGGTACGTAGGCTACCCACATTTTTTGCAATTCATTTATAGGATTTTATGAAAGAGAGCATCCACCACCAATAACCTTTGATAGGGCAGTGGTTAAAAGCCAATAAGACAACTGAAACACACTATGCACACTCACACTCAGGCCAAACTTCTCCAGCACCAGGTCAATGGCAGAGTTTCCGATGCGACCGCCTAGCTCTCGTATGAATCCCTCCACTGTACCATCACCAGGCAAGGTGAAAGATGTAGCGTTAGTGTTACACAGGGGTATAGGAACCCAGACGTGGTCAAGTATTGGGTTCATGGTGCAGGTGTCATCAATGCACAGCGTGAGACCCAAAGTCACAGAGAAGACTTTCTTGGCTGTCAGCTTCTCAATTGAATAGCTGCGAATAGCAAATAGTACAAATTTGAATCATTAGAACCTAGTCACATGAAGCAATTTTCACGGGCAGTTTTTCTTTGTTGAATTCTTACAGAAATATGGGGTTTTTTGGTATTGAATTCTTGCAATAATTAATACAATTTACAAATCATTTATACTGTTATCCGTTGACAATATAAAAGTACAGTATCATATTTGTCTGTACGGATACTCTAAATGGATTTCAAATAAAACATCTTAAAGGGACTTTTTATGTTTTATCAATAAATTACATTTTCAAGTCCGATTTTAAAGATTAAAGAGTGTTACAAATGTTTAAGGTTTAATTCTTAAAATTTGATGACTTAAAGAAAAAAATCACCAGAACACATTTTTTCCCTTCAATTCTCTAATCCTTAAGAAACAGAAGAAACATAAGAACCAAACCCACCTCAACATTACAGCGTTTCCAATGTTCACAGTTTCCACCTTTCCCCAGGTGTAGCTGAAGAGAGTGATGTTCATTTCCCAGTTCTCAAAGGCCACGTACAGCTGGAAGTTGCAAGGGTCGACTTGAATCCTTGCACTCAGCATGAGTTCAGTGATGACAAAGTCAAGATGGATGCAGCACTGGATGCCGAGGCAGCGATCATCAATGGAGCATTGGATGACATTCTCCAGAAAGGGTAGAGAGATCATCGGGCAGTCTAGTCCCAAAAAAACCCACAAAAAAACAAAAGACCAAAGATTTGGATATAAACACTGGGACCAGTGCTTTTGCTTTAACTAAGAAGAAAGCAATAGTTTCTCTGTTTGATAACAATCTGTTTATAGAGATGTGTTGGTTATAAAACAAGTGGTCCATGGACCGCATGTGTCACCCTTTTTTGCAGTCGATCCTCATAGAACTATGTTTTGTGTATAAAAAATAAAAAGTTACGCATAAATTTGTAACGATGCAAAATGAACTGTAGATGACCTTTGACCTCCAATTTTGGAAGTGTTGTGATCAACCCTCAATCCAAGGAACACTCCATGAAAGTTACGTTAAAATACATCAAATTAACATTTAATTTAAACAACGACCTCTAATGACCCCTACATGACCTGTGACCTTAGTAATCCTATGAAGAATTGTGGCTTCCCACCCAAACGTCACTGCATCCATGTTTCATCCAAATCTATGAAAGCATGTAGAAGTTATAAATTTGTGTCAAATATAGAACCTAAACTTCTGTGAATTACATAATAATTGACCTTCTTTGACCTTTAACCTAAAATATTTCCACGTTATCTTTGGTACTCAATGACCCCTGTGTCCAAGTTTCATGGCATTATGGCAAATAATTGGGCAACGAAAGAAATTTGAAAAACTTTAACATAAACATTAACATACAGACATATATGGCCGTACTCACCAGAGGTACTTGTGGGGTACTCGAACAAAGGGAAATGTACCCCAAAAGTGAAATCTTGAGGAAAAAGGGTACCCCACAAAATGAAATCTTTAGAAATAGGGATAAAAGCACAACAATGCTCCTACCCTGGAACTCCTATCCGCTGGAACGGCCATAAGGCCATACGGCGATACGGACAGTTATATACAGAATTTAGGACTGGTAGATGTCTCTCGAAATATTCAAATTTTGTTTGGGCGTTACAAAAAGAAATAAGCCTCTGTTACTGATGATGTCACACATTGTTTACACATGTGCTTTTCTATAAGAGCTTGGTGGGGACCACAGTTTCATAGCCCCACACACCGCGTTTACACTGGATCTTCCAAAGGAGGATCGCATCCTGCCATCGCATAAAACTACAGGGAAGCTAAGCACAAGTAAACTGTGCCGTCTTTACACCCGATCCTGATCCCCCTCCAATCCCCCATTTACATCAAAAGGAAGGTCATTGAGTGTGCACAGAAGATATGGCCAATTTCGCACGCTAATCACTGCAAAAATTAATATATATTGTTCATCGCTATCTCACTGCTTGACAACTTATGATTACTTTACTCGCACTTGTCCGCCAATTTTTGTCGCAATCTAGCTTCATCCTCCACGCAATGTCCACAATAACATCGCAGTAATGTTAAGTATATAAGCCATGACTTCCAAACGAAGTTAAGTCACTTTGCAAAGCAATTGTTTATACCACTGAGGTAGGAATTAAGCAATATTTAACTCCGAAACTTTAAAAAATTTATTGGGAATATGAAAAGATTTACAGAATCAAATCACGAAACTAAAAAAACACAAAATCGGCATAAACATGACTACACAAAATGATCGGATTTGGGAACACGTCGTGGGTAGCGATTTCAAGGTGATTGTGTAGTGAAGGCCCCGTTCCAAAAGAAAGAGAATGTAACTCTGCGATCCAGGAGTCACCCAACTACTAATTAATATTAAAAACCAACCAGGGTTTGAAGTTTTTAATAAATCTTCGGAGGTAAAATAACAATGAAGACGACGAAACGCAACACGAAAACAATTTGTTGATGGCGAGCAGTAGATCGAGTGACCATGCTGAACAGCATTGGTATCAGCTGAAAATGCGTGAGAAAATCTCATTTTCAAACCAAGGATAATGTTCAAACCTACCCCCAAAAATGGACTTTAAAGGACACTTGAAGACACAAATGGACACTTGAAGGACAAAAACGAAACTCCTACAAAAGATGGGCCCATGACTACACAGTCTCCACTTTCATGCACGTGGACGAAACACCGATTGATTCTGGCCGAGTACCAACCGTGCATATGTACTGTGCACAGAACCGCGTTGGGAGCCATCGCAGCATTCATGCGGGCCTCACGCCGGCGACTCATCAATAACAACATATTTTTCGCGGACTTTTCTACGCTGGCAGGTTGTGGCTGGGTCAAATTGTGGGGTCCAATCCACCTACTGCAATCGGATCCCGCAATTGCAGGGTCCAATCCTGCCCGAAAGTATAGTTTATGAGAAATTGAGACCCATTATATGTAGCACCTTATAAGGGTTTACAAGGTGCTGCGGCACATATTGCAGCCACTGCCAGAAACACCGGGGCAAAACCCTTTAACGTAAATTACACAACACACGGGACCTACGGCTTCATGTCCCATCCGAAGGACGAAGCAATAATGGTAAAGTGCCTTGGTCAAGAGCACAAGCACCATGTTCCCACGGTCAGGATTCGAACCCATGTACCACGGCACACGAGTCGAACACCGTAACCATGGGACCACAGCACCCCACAATTATACATTGTCTGGAAGTCAGAAGGGCTGTACCTCACATCTGAACCAGGTACCCGTATACCCAACCGCTGACAATCCTGTTACTGTACTTCTCTTACAATGAAAGAAAGGTTAGAATGCCATTATGAATGAAAATCAGTCTACAATGAAAACCAAAACAGATTTAACGTTTATGTGCATTTTAAATACACTACAGATGAAGCTCACGGAAATAGCAGTTTCAACCATTAAGCTATAAAGCCCTTACATCGTCAGTTTTGATAAGTACCCGTGTTTTACTTCAATAGGGTCCCCATTTCCCATACTACCTGCAAATGCACACCATTAGAAGTCAGCAGTTCAATCAGATCTTAACCAATACCAGGTCATGGTTACAGTAATATTAAGTCCACCACTGACTGGGCCATGTTTCAAAATTTAATTTGCTAAGTAGAAACTAATCAATCAAAAACAGACTTACGGGGGCCTGTCATCATCTCTGAAGGCAACTGGCATGTCGTTCCAATGATCGTATCCTGAGAAAATGACATACCAATAAAGGGGATAAATGTGTGATTGGGAGGTTTTAAACACTATGTTTAAGACCGGTTGGAGTCTGGACACTTATAATGACCCGAGCTAACGGCAAAAGTCATTATCACCATCCAAAGGAGCTGGGGCTGGACTCTACATTAGAGGGGCTGGACACCACATTACACTGGGGGCGCTCTTCAGGATATAGATGTATATCAATATGTATACTCGCGCTTACATCAAAACAACACATTTAAAAGCTTTTGTACTTTGTTTCTCCACTTTTCAGTGCTTTTGAATACATTTCATTTGTTGGGATGCTCTAAGAAAAAATTGGTCGTTGTGCACGACCAATTTACGCTTAAGTGCACACCCCAGAGTATTGAAACATATGAAGTTTTGGCAAGAAATATTGTACAAATACTGCAGAATCAGTATTTGTGGCATTTGATTGTATATCAGAAGGTGGCACGAAAATTTTGCCTTTTGTGAAAATCAAAAATTCTGGCGCGAAGTGGTTAAGACACTAAATCCCCCTTCGGTGTTCCAGCGTGTCAATCTCACCTGTAGGTTGAGTTTTGTCAGTACCAGCTGGATAGCTGCCTGTCCCACATTGTCTCCCAGCTCCTTCAGGAAACCTTTGACCGAGCCATCCCCAGGCAAGGCCAGGGAGAAGTTAGCATTACACAGAGGTATTGGGATTCTCTGGTCTGCCATAATAGGGAAGTCTGTAGCGATGCCATCGATGAGGAGAGAGAAGGCCAGATCCACTTCATACTCCTTGGTGGCATCAAGTTTGTCAATGGAAAACCTGGACGAAATGAATCCAATTTGGTACTTGTTTGTTAGAAGTCTTCAAATTTTACTGCTAAAATTGACTGAAAATACATATGGTCATGTATATAAGTTTATGGTGGTCACAACAAATAATCACATCAGGTACTCTAAAAAAATAAACAGAGACAATCGTAAACCAGTCTTAGGAAACAAACCAAAATACAAACAAATTGGAAGAGGGGAATTTCAAATCAAGATACCTGAATTTACCTTATCAAACTCTCCACTGTTGAAACAGAAATAACTCTGTTTGAGGTCATACAAACCACAAACTTTAACCCTCAACATAATTTTGTTGTTGTGCAATGCTATTATTATAGAGGGTGTCAGCTGTGCTGTAAGTGTGGGTATTAACTAATTGCATACAATGATCATTCTGGTGTTAAATTTAGTCTTGATGTCTTTTCGCAAGTTTACATGTCTAGATGTCACATTTATGAAAGCATTCACAAAGCTTAGAGACAAGCACTATTGTATTAGCTTGAAATATACTATTTTTACATAAACTCACCTGATGCTCAGTGCATCTCCAATCATGAAACTTTCTATCATTCCCCACTCGTAAGAAAACAGTGAGACATTGAAGAACCACGACTCTAGCCCAACAGACAGCGTATAGTCACAGGGGTCAATGATAAACCAGGCCTTGGAGCTGATCTGGGTCACCTTCAAGTCTAGATTCAGACAGCAGTGGAGACTCGTGCAACGACTGCTGATGTGACAGGACAAACTGGGAAGGCTGTCAGGAACCTGCACAGGACAACCTGAAACAGGAATTTAAAATGTAGGAGTTCAACAAGGGTACTCATGCAAATGAGAAAGTATACAAAAGAAGGTTTCAACCAGGAAAACTGTAAATTGAACTAGATGAACACCTCAGAAACTTGTACTTGCAATTGCAAGTCCAGTACTGCATTTAGGCTGTTTTTAAATTCCTCTATTTTAAGAAAAATGAGTATCCTTATCTCATTTTTCTTAAAATATTAACGACACAAGTCCTGAATTCTCCTACTTTAATATGAAGTTGTACAAACCCTAGGGGTTTGAGATTAATTATAAGTTAAGTACTCAGCGTGACTGTCGGAAAAAAGTTTGTTGAAGTCTTTCTACTGCAGTACAACATGTCAGTACTTACTGTCACTACCAAGTCTTTCTACTGCAGTACATGTCAGTACTTACTGTCACTACCTAGTCTTTCTACTGCAGTACAACATGTCATCACTTACTGTCACTACCAAGTCTTTCTACTGCAGTACAACATGTCAGTACTTACTGTCACTACCAAGTCTTTCTACTGCAGTACAACATGTCATCACTTACTGTCACTACCAAGTCTTTCTACTGCAGTACAACATGTCAGTACTTACTGTCACTACCAAGTCTTTCTACTGCAGTACATGTCAGTACTTACTGTCACTACCAAGTCTTTCTACTGCAGTACAACATGTCATCACTTACTGTCACTACCAAGTCTTTCTACTGCAGTACAACATGTCATCACTTACTGTCACTACCAAGTCTTTCTACTGCAGTACAACATGTCAGTACTTACTGTCACTACCAAGTCTTTCTACTGCAGTACAACATGTCATCACTTACTGTCACTACCAAGTCTTTCTACTGCAGTACATGTCAGTACTTACTGTCACTACCAAGTCTTTCTACTGCAGTACAACATGTCATCACTTACTGTCACTACCAAGTCTTTCTACTGCAGTAAAACATGTCAGTACTTACTGTCACTACCAAGTCTTTCTACTGCAGTACAACATGTCAGTACTTACTGTCACTACCAACCGGGAGTGCTGGAGGAAGAGAACAGGTATCTCTGGACAGGAAGTTCTAGAAATAAGCATGAAAAAACACCCACTTAAATCTACTCACATCCATACCATTGAGATTTCAATTTTGTTGACAACGTTACTGGTCAAGTACATTCCTCTATTTTCCATAATGTCTTTAAACTTTCCTCTTTCTATTTTAAGGGTTCATTTGCACAAACATGGAGGTCCAAAATCTTACCTTCAGACCCAAATAGTCCAGTACCAAGTCTACAGCTGCATCAGTGACATGGCCCGCCAAGCTATCCAGGTAGCTAGATATGGTACCATCCCCAGGCAGGGTGAAGGTGGCATTGGGGTTGCAGATTGGTATGGGTACATGAGCTGCCTGCAGCAGGTGGATGGGTCGACAGGTGCCGTCTATGCACAGGGTTACTGACAGGTCAATCAGGAACTCCTTCTGTTCACTGAGCTTGTCAACATTATATCTGAGCCAAAAAAAAAGAGATTTCAAATAAGTGAACTTATTACAATGTTACTGTTCCTTCTGGATTTTCACGGATTGAAAAGGCCATTCTTATTTTCCTCCATGAAAGGGCATTTACACATTTTCCTGTCTTAACATTGTTTAACACTCTGAGAACTTGCATTCCAAGACAGTTTCTAAACAAGGCTTTTTTTGTGAAACGTGTTTTCAATTCTGGAATAGACCAAAATAATAAAAACGACAACTCTGTCCCAATTTTCTGTAATGCATGCTTAATTTTATGTAATTTTAAATTCCTACAATTTTTTAAGTCTTGCACCTGGAAAAATGAAAACAAACATGACAAAAGTCGTCGATTTCATCCGGTCAATTTAAAAAAAAAATTAAAAAATGTAAAGCTTTGTGATGTCATAACAAGGACTTAACTAGTTAAACCACTTAACTAGAACTCCTTGCTGTAGTGCCATTTGTCTTCCACCTCAAGCAACAACTATTCCTTAACCCTTGGGTAGTTTTACTAGAAAGTATTGTAACGTCTCTCTTGGGTGGGAGACATTATCAATAGAGAGTCAGATAAGAAAAAAAAACTTACACACACTATTCTCTACTTTATTCAGGAATATTTACATCTCAGCTCAATAGAGGGCACACTGTATACAATGTCTTGTCTAGGTTATGTGTGGGAGCTCTGTGTTTCAGTCAGAGCTCATCTCAACAATCTACGTGTACATGCTAGGAGCTCTATCGGGGTCTGAGTCCAGATCTAAATGCATTGTACGGAGGAGCCCTGTCTAGATTGGTCAGAGCGCGGCGCAACAAACTGCTGGGTCAGAGCCCAGTTCACCAATGACCAGAACTGCCATTTCTACGCGCTTTATAGAGAAATGGATGCGCGTCTTACCCAATGGGAGCACTGGATTCTGGTAGTCATGAATAATGCATATGTGTACAAAGTCAATGGGAGGAATCTCTATGGGAGATTTGTAAACCGGCTGATGAAGTAGGATCGCTCGTGGATGTGTAATGGGGAACTGATCCTCAAGGAAAAGGGAAAGGGAATAACTTCTCGGTACATAGGTTTGTGTACAAGACTCAGTCTCTAGACTGGATAAGAATCTACGCACTAATGCTATAGAGTAAAACTATGATATGAAGGACGTAACCCGACCTCTAGCTACTGTAGGTCTCGGACACACTCATTGGGGTGTCAAGGTCACTGAGGGGTTAATGCACGGCTAGGTTTTTTGCAGGCTACATTCGCTATTGCTTTGGGTCAATGTGGGTCAGATGCAGGGGTAAGGTGTGTGAGGGGAATTCGCACCGACTCTGGGGGAGGGAGGACAGAAAATGGCTAAGTCCTTAGTGCATGTCCCAGATTGGTACCGGTACATGTTCAATAGCAGTTGAGTGCTACATGCATTGCGCACTATACAATATTAGTGTACTGTACGACGTGCTGCACGCTTGGGCTAGTGTCATAAGACTTTGTGGTAAGCTTCGCGCTGTGTGAGGGCACACAAGATCGCTGCATTAGCATAACACTGTGCATGGATTGGAATGGATTGGTTGGGAAAGAAGTAAACTACGCAATTTGCGGGAACGCAACAGTATCCTGAATCCGCCAAAATCCATCAATTTTTTTCATGCAAAAAAAGTTGGTGTCCTGAGTCCATCAGAATCCACCAGGGAGTCCATCAAAGTCCAACAGTTGTGTACATATGTACCTCTTACACACCAAGCATATAGTCGAGGAGTAAAACTGTTGAGATCCTGAATCCATCAAAGTCCCCCATATGGAGGTAACGTGAATCCATCAAAATCCTGCAGTATCGCTAGGCTAACTGTCCTGAATCTATCAAAATCCCCCAGCTTTTTCAATATGGAGGTATCCTGAATCTGCCGAAATACTAAAAAACACGGGTGTGGATTTTGATGGATTCAGGATGGTTATGGTTAAACAAATTGAACAAGCGTAGCAGGATATGAAACAAAACAATCCTTTAATTATTAAGTTGTAATCGGTCTCAAGCTCGATATAACTTGACAGTGAGGCAGATGAGTTCCTGCAATAAGCAACCTCTTTAAATGAGTATGTTTAAAACTTTAATATAAACAGGGATGTTAAAGTTAGTGCGCTCTGTGCGTTTGGAGTTTCATCACTCCTTCAGCATAAAACAAAGAAAATCTCCAAGACTATGGTGTATCCAGTGGGGAAGGGGGGAGGGACTAGGACAAGGGACGTGAAAAGAAAGCACCAGCATCTTACAACTGATAACCATACCTTCCCCTAATTCTCACCAAATGAAAAATAAAAATTGGCAACTTTTTATCAAACAATTACCAATGTTGCCTCCCTCCCCTGCGATGCCAATACATGCATATGCCACTGTGAAATACTTATGATGAATTTCCCCATAAATCAAGTTAACACTGGTTGAATGTTATATCAAATCCTATTGTAAATTTTCTTCTAGGGACTTCAGGATTGTTATCCTCATAAATTATGCATATTTATACCAGTGCTGTTGTCAGGACCAGTCACAAGATCGACCAGCCACAAGTAACGGATACAAAGAATGACAAAGGAATGCCTTTATTGCAGTTCATCTGAATAGTATGCGACTTGAATTGAGACTGGAGGTTTCGTGGTGGTCCTGTTATGATGTAGTGATGGATTTGTGGGGACTCGACTACAACACTGATATGTGACAACAAGCCATAATCCCCTGAAGAAGGTGCACCGCACCGAAAGCTCGGGAGTAATTTTCCAGTGAGCACTGTAAATATTTTTTACTTCTTGTCATATATGCTCCACAGTGCTACGCAGCATCTCCACTTTTATATATATTGTGGCGTTCTTCCTCCCACAAAATATTTTATTGAGTTTCACGTGGGAGCGGCTCCGCATGCGGTGGGGATTCTATATGGGCGGCAGGTTCTCAACAGCCCAGGGGGTGCGTCTGTTTGGAAAAATATATCCCCACTTGCAGGCAAACCCTATTGGACAAGCAAGTAATTGACAATCAGAAACAAAATATAACTTGTACTACTCAATGCATCATTTAATTGGCACCAAATGTACCTGAGGTACATGTACCTCCAAGCACTCTTACCTCCAGTTACCTCCGGAGGTGATCGGACCTCCAAATGGTTTCCAAATAAATTATTCACAAGATTTCTGGCTTAATTTCTTTCCTAAATTTCACCTAAAAATATGCGGACTTTGGATAACTGTGCGCTAAATTACCCCAAGCTAGACTTGCCCTAAATTAAATAGCTGGGAAAAGTGTCACGATATAAATAACATTATTTTCTACTCACGATCTTAGTTGTAGAGATCAGCACACGTCCGCTCAAAGTGACAGCAAAATGGCAAGAAAAGTGCGCCGCGCCTGCGGCGTACGCGTAACCAAGCTCCTTAGCAACTTTAAAATACGCGCTATAAATTTGGCTTCAGTAAGCGCCCAACTGTGCAGTTTGTGCATGCAGTGCAATACCAATGCGCGCAATTACGGGCCGCACACTAAAAGAGCCCAACGCGCAACAGCGCTTTCGCTGGTACCCTGTACCGCCAAGCACTCATGCTTGCGCGCTATGTACATTTTATGTGCGCAACTAAAAATGCCCAATTTCTCATTTCTATCGCCCAATGAAGACCAGCTGCCAGAATCAGAGATAATCGCCGCACGAGAAGTAAGTCATGAAAATATTTACCAATTTGCACTACAATATATATATATGTACTTACTCTATGTGCACAGAGTCACTGATATCCAGCACTTTATCCACTCCCCAGTCGTATTCAAAGAGCGTCAGATTCTTGGACCAGGACCCTAGCCCGACAGACAGCTGGAATTCACAGGGGTCTAGGCGGGCGTAAGCGGTGGTGGACAGCTGAGTGAAGACCAGGTCAAGAGAGGCACAGCATGTCAGGCCCAAGCAACGGTCATCCACTATACAGGTCAACAGGCTGGATGGAGGTGGCAGCCTTAACAGCGGACATTCTGAGGACAAAGGTTTTGGAATTTTTGTAAATTTCTGGCCTTGGTAAAGGCGTTGGACGGTAGAGTCCAATGATTGATGGTTGACTGCGAACAATGCACGTCACACGTACTGCGCGAAAACGTGAACAATGACCTCAAGTGGCTGAGCTACTTGATGCAAATCAGGCCAGGTGAGGGTGAATGAACGTCATGGAACACCAATACAAATGGCAATTTCTGCACAATATTCTTTATTTTGTCACTGGATTTATGTGAGTTATATTTGGTCAGTGGACTCCAAACTTGTTTGAGAATGTAGCCACACTATCAAGCTGTATGTCCATGTAAAATATGAGCCTCCACGACCAAGCAACTAAATAATAATCTCATCTTTATTCGCAGATGAGGTCGTTGCTGGAAATCCAGCGACAAAATAAAAAAAAAACAGAATCCAAAGCCCACGGACGTTCCAAGGTGATCATTCAGCACCACCTGATTTGCATAAAAGCCACAAGAAGTCGCTGTTTGCGCTTCATACAGGACAAAATAACTATGTGAATGCAAAGCGCGCGGCTGCTGTGTATGTTAGCGGCTGACCATCAATCATCGGACACTACCGCCGAATGCTTTGACCAAGGCTACCAAATTACATTTCTGCTAATGCATTGGCAATGTCAAAGATTACTGTACATTATTTCTGACAGCTGCAAGTACTCAACTACTGAAAGAAATCAAGCAGTTTAAGTTTCCCAAACTAGTAATATTTGATGTAAGTGTGTGACAATTTGCAAATTACAAATAGTATTATTAACTGCATATAAAACTAATAAAACAGGAGTGATTATTATTTTACAACATACAACGTAATGGACAGGCCACTTACTGTTTTCACTTGGTGCAAGTATCTCCATGTCACATTGCTGGTTGCTAACATATTGCTGTAAAATTAGTAAAAATTACTTTTCTGAAACATGACATAACACATCCGATCAATTGACATTAGTCAATACCTGCAACAGAATATTTGATAATTTTCTACAATTTCACAAGAAATAACTTGTTTCGTTGCTGCGTTTAAACAGCACAAGCTTGTACAACTCACAAAATCTAGCACTTAAGAATGGACAGAGATGTCTGTCCATGTAGAACATATGTAGCGAGTCATTCATATGTACCAAGTCATGCATACTTCTAATAAAGTCATTTCATTTACACCTTTGTTAGAAAACAAGCTTCGAAATTTTCTTTAACTCACCTGGATTCCAAGTTTTCGCAGTCCAGCCTGAATGGCCAACTCCCCTACGTTCCCTGATAGATTCCTGACAAGACCTGCAAAGCTGCCATCCCCAGGCAGCTCAAAGGAAGCATTGAGATTACAGAATGGGATAGGGACCAGGGAATCCTGAAGGACTGGTGTGGTTGTACAGTCACTGTCGATGCAGATGGAGATGTCCAAGTTGATCTGGAAGGATTCCTCTGCATCTAACTTGTCAATGGTCAGACTGTGAAAAATAGACAAGAAAAACCAACTGAATTTATTATTTTCACTTTCTGAATCTTGCAGCCCATAATGAGAGGAGTTATAAAACATATATTGACTGCTTTATCTCGTGGTGTAGTAAACTAGCCTCCCTCTGTGATCTGTGGAGCATTCTATTTCCCTCGGCTTTGCCTCGAGCAAAATAGAGTGCTTCATGGATCTTGGGACGTATAGTTTTACTGCACCATTCAAAGCAGTCACATTGACCAATATAACAAACTTGTCCATATGCATGAGGCATATCACAGTCAGTATTCCCTTTATCAGACCATATGAGGCATGAGGTACACCATGCACCACCAGTGTTGCCTCTCACATACCTTATAATTACTGCCTTGCCAATGTCAACCTCTTCCTGCTGACCCCACTGATAGGACAAGATTTGCAGATCCAGACTCCAGCTGCCTAGACTGACTGACAGCTGATAGTTACAAGGATCAAAGATGAAGGAGACCTGGGTGCTGATGGGACTGATCCCTGGGATGGGAAGCTCCAGACAGCAATCGAACCCTAGACACTTCTCTGGGAGGGTGCAGATCAGGTTTCTTGGAAGGTGGGGAAGTCTGACATCCCTGGGGCAAACTAGACACGTAAGTGGGAAAAATGCTTTTAGTGCAACCTTCTACAGAAAACAGAGCTTCCTGGTTTACACAAATTGAGAAATTAACTCAAACAGCAATTGAACCCGAGACACCATCCTGAAAGAGTCCTACTACTGTATGTTTTAGGTGAATTTGATCGTGGATGAAGAACTCAGGATATGAAGCCACTAACAGGGTGCACATTAAATTTCTGGTTTGGTAATTTAGAGTAATAATGATGCGCTTTAAAAAAAAAAACAGGTCTGGAGATACAATAAAATTTATATTTTGGGGGAAAAATGAGGAAACATATAAAAAAGCATCTACCGTAAGGAGTTATACAAAATAATGCCATTAACTAACGAATTCAGACAACGTTGCAGGAATTTTGTTATTAAGATAACGCAGAAATATGAATGAGTGTCTTTGGTCTCTAAATTGTTCTCATTACAATATTTAGTGAACGTACATTTGCAAACACCAAAAAACAAAACTACCAAATTATTTTGAAATACCTTACTAGACTGTTTGTGAATGACAGTCTAAAGCATCCTGTAAAATCATGGCACCTGGTGTGCTGTCATATTCAAGAAAAGTGGTATTTTTGTGTGAATTTCCAACTCTGGTCGGCCTGGCTTTTTTAAATACTGCCCCCAAATTACCATATATTTAATTTGTCCGCAGTTTGTTTGCAATTGATTACACACCTATGAATGGATACGTCTATATTGCTCCGTTTCATCTTACGAGGGGTCAGGGAACCAGACTACCGCAAAAATGATTGTTTTTCTTGATTTTCAAAGTCAGTGTAACAATATTTGCTATAAAACACTAACCCCCTAAATCCATCCATTTCTGAAAATTACAGCAAAAGCAAATGCTGTATATTTCCTTTAACATCAAAAATAATATTTAAGTAATACAGCAGACAAAAAGAAGAATTTCACAACAACAAAAACCGGTGGAAATACGACATAGAAGAATTAATTTGAACTTACTTCTGTGCCAACCATTTTCCCTGACTTGTGGACGGACACATGGCGTGCGACTGATGAATTCCTGCATAACAACAGGTGTTGATTGAACAGGTCAATGATTCAAATGGCAATTCTAGGACAACTCAAAGAGGATGAGACTTTTTATCACAAACTTTCAAACAAATAATGAAAGGCACCTAATCAATTTTCCATTGCAGTATACTTGATTCGACCCTTAAAATAAATAGAACCCTTAAAGTAAATAGAACCCTAAAAGTAAATATGGGGAGTCAGGTTGGTGTAGTGGTGCTTTCCTCGCCTTCCACCAGGGTGTGACCAGGGTTCGAATCCAGCCTGGGCAAATATGTGGATTGGGTTTTCACTAGAATATCATTCTGGGGTTTTCCTCCCACCTTTAAAATTGTAATAGCTTCACAATGTCTTCTCTACAGCATGTCCCCCAAAAAGTGTCCGTCTGACTATTTTTTAAATAACTACAGAACCATCAGGTCCATTTCGAAAATCTTTGGTTGTGCAGATACTCCTAAGCATTACATAAAACAGCACTGAAATTGTCTAAGGCAAGGAACTTGGTCACAGTGTCCTAAAAATGCTGTTGTGATCAATTGACAATTGTGCAGTGATGCATGAATGAAATGGAATGACACTCACAGGAATTACAGCCAATGCTCAGGAGTATCTGCACAACCAAACATTTTCGAAGTTGACCTCATTGTACACGTACCTTAGTTATTTTAAAAACAGTCAGACATACGGTCACTTTTGTGGGTATGTACTGTCTATGTTTCTTCAGGTTTACCATCTACAGTGTATAGAGCGCTTTTGGTTTCATTACCAAAAATAATAAATAATAATAACAACAATAATGGATTTTTTAAACAAAGTTGATTAAGATGTCAATTCGGCACAGGGATACTTTAGTAGTGTAGGGGGACTGTCTGGCACAGTTTGACCTTGGGCATAGAAATATGTAAAGGTCACATAAATATGTAAATATGTAGATACAGATATAAATATGAATTAATGGGGTTAGGAATTTCTGGTACAGTTTGACCCCTAATGAATGGATGGGATGAATAGGAAATAGGTGTGGGTAAGGAACCGAGTACAGTTTGACCTATTCTATGGGAAAGATTGCATATATGTATGGGGGTGAAATATAAAAATGTATAGTACATTTTGACCTTAGCCCTAACAATACAGTATACATGTAGTTATGTATTTACACGTGTATTACATGCGGTTACGCAACCCGAACACGACCAGCTGTGGTCGCAGTAGTTAATCCTAGTCTCGGATCAAAAGACTGTTGACGTAGGTGGCCGGAAGTGAGCATCGATCCCAGATAATTGTTTCGGACAATGGACTGTTGACGCACGTGCGCTCGTGTGTGGTAAGTGGGTATTCTGTCGGACAGTGGGACTGTAAGTGGCCGGAAGTAATTATTGATCACTCCGTGGGGGTTAGCCGGAACAGATCGATATTTTTCGAAAGGGGTCACCGTAGGCCATGGTGTGAGGCATAGTTTAGAGATGCGTTTCGAGATGCGTTTCGTACGTGAAACTGTCGGACTACCGATCATGCGGTCATTTATAAATTGTAGAGCAATAGTATGATGACATCATTGAGCTACAGCACGTACTGCGTAACACTACCTAAAAATGGATATCTACAGAGAAATACAAAATTGTCAAACGTACGAAGAGCTCGGTTTCATCTTGGATGCCGTTGCTATAGCCATGGGGGTATTTGATAAATCGAAGATCCAAGATAGCTAATAATCCATGCGTATGTACGGAGACTGGTCGTCGTTTCGCGATTCATTATCTCCGTGCACCTATATTCCTCGTTATTCAATACAATATCGATGGCACTCTTCTACACTGCCACCAGAATCATCCAAGTAAAATATACATCTATGCGCGGTGATTGTAGAAAATGGAAGGTTTTGGCGTCAGCCAGAGCGAATGCTAGTACACATGCACCTGTGATATTCTACTGTATACATTACACTCGTCCGATCAGATGGCGCTTAATCCATGAAGGCTAATTTATCGATTAGAAATTCCTAACCCCATTAATTCATATTTATATCTGTGTCTACATATTTACATATTTATGTGACCTTTACATATTTCTATGCCCAAGGTCAAACTGTGCCAGACAGTCCCCCTACACTACTTACTTTCAATGCATTACATCTCTACATTCATGACATTCAAGGTTTCCCACTTATTAAGTTAAAATATGCACTGAGGTTCAGTTCTTCCTCCAAGATAAATAACTTTATCACAGTTACTTAATTTAAATCTCAAACTGCTGCTAAAAGACTTACAGATAGCCCTAGATGTTTAAGAATAGCATTAATTGCTGATTCAGCAGCGTTCTGCCCAAGCATCTGCAAGAAGCCTTTAATAGTCCCATCCCCTACGGAATGAAACAAACACATGTGAACATTCAATTATTTGGAAGGTTTCAATGTGTGGTGATTTCAGTGTACAAGTGTCTGTATTTCTTATTATGGTGCAAATCTTTTTGGCTGTTTTTATTCAGTTCCCAAGCAATGCTTTACACATAATCTAAGGAAGATTCCACTACTAAATATTTAAAACTGTACTCATTCGAGCAATACATTTTATTGCAGGATTAGGTTAGACAGATTGTTTATTTTTGCAATTCACAAATAGATTTTCTCAAGATCTGCCAAACTGCTGCTGTTGTTAAAATATGATAAGACTATAGATGTACAGGGACGGCACCTTGCAGCCTACTAATTTAAGCCAATGAGGGGCACATTGTATCTGTGAATTGGTTCACACGCACTTACAGTATTAAAGGAGGAGGTACATGCAACAATGGGCTCCGTGCACAAATACCCCCTCAACGGTAAGAAAGGGAGAGTTGAGGACACCACAATGTGGGACTTTTGAACCCACTGCCGACGACGCCCGATGCTTGTAAAGACACTGCTGCTTTGTGAACATTCAGAGTATAAGTAGTTGTGCATAAGCCTACTTCATGCTATAAGCACACAACCTCGTATACTGAAATTTGCATTCTTGTGGAGACATTTCTTTGTTCTTGTGTAGTAAAGTTCGGAGTTTGAAAGTGAAGTTTCAAAATGCTCGTATTTTAACCAGAATTAATTTCCTTCATTACTGGACCAAGCCCAGTCTAATGTGGCTTTCGCGAACCCGGGAATCCCCAGGTTCGTATTCATGAGCCCCCTACTAAGATAATGGCTATTTAATCAGTTGAGGACCATAAATATGTTCACACATACTAATAAAAAAAGGTGGGAGTGCAGTGGTTTGTCCTTGATAAGCAGTCAGGCTATCCCCAATGTATGTGCGGCTGTTATTTAGAGCCAGCCTGCCTCCCATCAGAATTTGAGTGACGAGTGATGAGCCAGTTAAGTGCTGGAAAGCTACCTACAGCTAAGAAAGCCACATTAGACTGGGCTTGGTCCAGTAATGTGGCCAAAATTTGGACTTAATATCCCTTTTCTAAAACTCTTCCATTTGCGACACATCAACCCACCTTGGAAATTCCTAGTTTTTGAGTAAAATCCATATATCTATTTCATGAAAACCTTGTGGAGACCAATTCATCTATAGAAATTGCCCTGTGGAGACGTATACAATCTTTTGTTCCCTATTGTGTGCACGTCTCCAGAGGGCACAGTGAATCAGATCCAGGACTAACACGCGGTGTGTCCCATCAACAGGGCTCTCAAAAGTGGTAAAAAAGTGCCCTCTCTTGTTCATGCATGGTGCCCATAGATGCCCACACATCTGTTGTGTCTGGTACCTGACTGCCAGCACATGACAATGGCCCTAAAGCGCCCTTCAATACAAGCACTCGGTGTTATTTTCACCAAGGACCCCATGCACAAGTACCCCCTCAATGGTTAGAAAGAAACAATTGGGAGGGCCGGACCTCATCTAATGTTCCTACATGGTGTCCAGGGAAGGGGTGCTTGAACATATCAAATGTCAAATTAAACCTGTAATGCAAATTCGTTCTGAATACCGAAAAACCTTTGCGGGTATACACGTCATCCTGCGATAAAAGTGTAATTAAGCATTACCTGGAAGTGCGAACGTGAAATTCTCATTGCAGAGTGGTATTGGCACTCGAGTTTTCTTGAGAATATCAATAGAGGGCGTGTTACAGTCTGAGTCTGGGAGGCACAGGGACAGTGCTAGGTCCAATACAAACACCTTGTCCTCGGTCAGCTTGTCAATGGTGTAGATAAGAGTCAAGGCTTTGCCAATCTTCAGCTCTTCCTGGGTACCTGGTAAAAATACGAAACAGTCCATCTTTCCAACTAATTATATATAAAGCGGGCCTCAAGTAAACGTGCGAATTGCTTGTACCGTGATAAAACAGTCAGCATCAAAAGTCATGGACAGGTCACAAAACTGACAAATTTGTGTGATTACCGTGGAACAAGCAGCATCTCGACACAGAATAATCCCAATCATGCTTATGTCACCCATGACAAGATGACGATTCACAATCAAATGAGATGATCCGGATGCGCGCACGACGTCATAACTTCACACAGGTCAACTATGATTGATTCCCATCTGTTGGAATGGCATTAACTTGCGGCGCCGAAGTTGAAATGTTTCTACTGTGCGACTGTTGATATTTTTGAGCGCCGACTGATGTCAATCGTCTTAATGTTGTTAAATAACAGTTACACTCAGATCGCACAGAATTGGTGATTTAAATGTTCCCCAGGGTCGTAGCTAAGGCACAGCTTGATGCTTGATCCTGAAAAGTCAGTCACACAAGGTCGACCTGAGGGCGGCTGTACAGAATCCGTTTACAAGTGATTCTAGTTGAAGTTTGTTTGGGGTTTTATTGGGAGGGGGGATGTAAATTGGTCATATTAAAGGCTGGAAGTAACACACATGTACATGGACAGTGGCTTTAGAGTTGTGTTGAGAATTTGTATTTGAAGAGGTCCGTCAATAAATTTGGAAAAGTACATTTTCTCTCAGATTTTTAAACTGTAGGCCTATTTATAACTTTCTCAAAATTGAGTCCAGAGAAGATTTGAGGGAATGGTAAAGCACTCTTTAATCAAAGATTTTGCACTAAATTATAGTTTCATCCGGTTCGTTAGTAAAAATGTCATACACGCACGCGCACCACTGATTACTAGCGCCCATTGGATAAACACTCGAGTTGCATTAGCTTCTGATTCCATTCGTGCTATGCTACACCGTGTGAAGTACGCATGGTTGAATTGAGATAATGTCATACTAACGAACTGGACTGCACCTAATAAAGAGGTACATTCAAACTGGAACTGAATTTACATGCACATACAGTAAACGTATACAGGCACTCACCCCAATGGTAGTCAAATATGGTGAATGTCAAGGACCACTTTCCCAATCCCATGGACAGCGTGAACTCACAGGGGTCTAGAATCAGCCACATGTTGACTGATAATACAGTGATTTCTAGATCCAGTTCAGTGCAGCATCGTATGCCAAGGCAGCGGTCTGAAAACGCACAAGTCACTCCACTGGGTAGTGGTGGTAGGCTCACATCGGTGCATACTGGATAGCAAACAAATAATAAACAAAGATTTATAGAGTAATGAGTTAAAAGGAATTTAAAACCTGGAATAAAGAAGGCACTCTAATAAATCTAGATTACTTTGGCACACTCACTGTACTACATTTAAAAATTTTAACCACAGGATCTTTGCTACAAAGCTTCCTAAATCCTCCACTCTGTAGATAACCAAGAACATATTCTTTATAATTACACTTTTATCGCCAGATGACATGTATACCCACAAAGGTTTTGTGGTATTTAGAATGGACGACGGATAAACACGCTGGGAGCGAGGCCAAAAATATCTGTCAGCGACCCGCTCGCAGCGAGCAAGGCCGGAAATATGAGTGTGCTGCCCGAGGGTGGTGGCTTCAACCTGCCTGGCTTGAGGTTGAGTGAATTATAATCCCCCGCCTTGTTCCGTTTTCGTCAAAATAGTCCTGGCGCTAACTGTTTAAGGTATATAAAATCCAATAAAAAGTCCCGATGATTGTTGGGTTCTACCTTCCTCAATCGTTTGCAATCCGTTAGCCCAATCCAGGATCTGCGTGGGTAAGGGTTAGTTTCCTATTTTAATTTTGTTTAGACATCAAAAACAAACGTTTTTGGTGGAGACCAAACCTCACCTTCTTCATGAGGTCTTATCAGTGCTGTCGTGTCACATGGTCCATCATTAATCTTATCTCTAAGCCCGATGAACTCCAGGAGAATATTGACAGCTTGCTGCCCAGCACTCCGGCCAACTTGATTTATAAACTCAGTCAAGTTATTCCCTCCTGGGAAAAAAGGTAAGGTTTGTAGGGCATGATCAGAACCACAATACTGAGGAAATGACATTTACACGGCATTTAAGCCACGACCTCGTGCACAAAGAGATTTAGGAAAGGTTTGAACGCATCTCATTGCCGCCTTATGTCTGGCGCATTCGCCATCTAATATTCACGAATGGATCCACTAGGTCATAAAAGGATTGTTCAGGACTTTATTTCTTTTTAATACCACTAAGATACTAATAATACCACATTTATTTAGCACCTTAATCGCTAACCCTCTCAATGAAACACTGAAATTAATTTTTAAATGATACAAGTTCAAATTTATCTCTGTAAAAAGGTAATTAATAAAATACATTTAATCCACTGAATCCAGAGATACACATGAATGATTTATAAAAAACCATCTCAAAAATGTTTATATCATTTAGTAAGCATCCTTTCACACCACCCTCTAAAACAAAATGCTTTGTCTGGAGTTACAACCTTCAATGACCCTGCAACATATCCTGATTCAGGAAAGCATCATAAAGGATTTTATTCATGAGCAGTCCTGAGGAATACTTGCTGTCATTACTACAAAGAATCCAATTGAACTCCTATTCCTACCTGGAAGGGCGAATGAGAAGTTGGAATTGCAGATTGGAATGGGAACTCGGTAGTCCTGGATGATGTCCACATCAAAGACGCAATCATCGGCGCTCTTACAAATAGATGCTCCAAAGTCAATCTCAAACATCTTCTCAGCATCCAGTTTGTTGATGGAGTATTTCAGGGCGATGGGACCAATGGTTTGCTGCTCTGGTTTTCCTGTGTGATTTAATGGACTCCATTTGTGAAATGCTGACTAAAGAATCTTACAATTAAATGTCATAGGAACAGCCAGGCTTTTCAACCACATAAAGCTGGTAAGATACTGAACCGAGTCAATATATAAAAATGCAGAGCAAGCTTATGTACAAATAATAACCTTCCCAGCTTCTTCTCTTCACATTTCACTTCAGTTTGCGATACTCACCAGTGCCACACTAGATCATACAATAGGTATGCTCCATTCACCCACACATCATATTCCCTAAACACCTTACGTTTCTACGGCCTCGTTTGTGGAATGGACTTGATCAGACTATAAAATCACAGTTCTCTGTAGGCCAATTTAAAGTCAGTTTCAACAACCATCTTTTTACCCATTATTTAGCATAGTATATTTTTCTTTCTACATCCCGACAACTATTTTGCTCCCTATTTACTCAGTATTGAATTAGTCTCATGATGAGTTAAGGTCTCTGACCCCTGTTGTCTGTATGTTCATCAGTCAGTCCATGGCTATTTTTTGTGTTTCATTTGCACATGTCTATTTGTTTGTCTGTTTTTTCATTGAATTCTTTGAAATTGTTTTTACAGTTTTGCAAGCTTCAGCTTTCTAAAATCATGCCTCCATCTTAATATTCTCATGGTGCTTTTACTTTGCTGTTGATGGAAACAAATGCACTTGATACTGAAATTCAAGGTATGCATTTCCTATTGCAAAATTGTCCTTGAGACTCTTTTTCAGGATTGGGTCACAACTGGCAATCACTTCAAACTGCTCTACTTCACAATGCTAATGGAATCTAGCCAAGCCCTACCCGTGTAAGTGAACAATTATAAGCAACCTATTTATAGAACATATTGTAGCGGAAAGTGTTTGGTGACTTGTAGCCAGTTTATTTCCTACGTCATTCCTATTGCAATAACGTTAATTCGCGGTGTGTTAGTGACTGGGCGGAGCGTAAGATCCCTGTGACTGAATTCACGTACGTGATTGGTTGCCAAAGGCCCATAGGTTTAGAACAAGCATAAGTGTTTGTACAGCGTATGCATGTTCACGTGAGGGCTATTCACGTGATCGTGCGGAGCAGTTGTGCTGTGGACAGCGGACGGTAAGGTCATTGCTCGCGCTGTGTTTTGGGTAATGCTGATGCGCACTTTGTAAAGGCGCTGGCCATAACTGTGCTGAAGTTGCGCTGTGTAATGCTGACGCGCAGCCGTACAAGTGAATGTACTGTACGATGCTGACGCTAGCTTGCATGGGTAAAGCGTAAATCAGCTTAAGGCTGAACAGCGTGTATTATTTACATTGGCGTATATACACTACTTACATTGGTGTGCACTAGTACATTGACGTGTGTTATTTACATTGGTGTGTGTTACTTACATTGGTGTGTATGGTTTACATTGGTGTATGTTGTTCACATTAGCGTACATTGTTGACTTTGCAGTGCATTGTTTACATAGGTGTACATTGTTGACTTAGTGTGCATTGTTGACTTAGTGTGCATTGTTTACATTAGTGTACATTGTTGACTAAGTAGTGCATTGTTAAAGAGGTTGTGGAATGCTCGAAGACATTTCCGTCATTTTTCGGGTATATGTAGCCTAAGGTGTGATGAAATAAAAACGACTATTGTTTCTGTCATAAAATGAGTACAAAAGGTACTTTTGAGAGCTGTTTTTCAAGTCCTGTCATGCCTGTTTCGACCCGAACGTGCAATTTGTGTAAAAGTCGTCGTTGCGGGCAGCAAACAAAACACAGTAAATCGTGACGTAATAAACAGAACCCCCGATGCAGAGTAGCATAAACGAGTCCTGTTTATTACGTCACAATTTACTGTGTTTTTTTTGCTGCCCGCAACGACGGCTTTTACACAAATTGCACGTTCGGGTCGAAACAGGACCTGAAAAATAGCTCTCAAAAGTACCCTATGTACTCATTTCATGACAGAAGCAATAGTCGTTTTTATTTCGTCACACCTTAGGCTACATATACCCAAAAAATGACGGAAATATCTTCGAGCATTCCACAACCTCTTTAACATTGGGCGCATTGTTCAAGCTGTGCACGTTGCTGCTTAGGTGAGCTGTTAGCCGACTCCCAAGTGTAATTAAGTGACCCTGATAATTAACAACCTCATTATTAGACTCAATCACTACTGCATATCTTGATTATTGTATAATAAATTACGATTACATTTGTGGTGCCGACATTCTTGTTGTCCAGGTATATTTGTTGTTGGTTTATCGTGCAATTAACAGAGGGTAATCACAATCATCATAATCGGCGGTATATTTCTTCCAAAACAGACCTGCTCCCTAAAGCCCTGTCCGCACTGGACTTTTTTTGGTAAAACTAACCGAGACTATAGGAACTTTTCCCATTTTAAGTCCAGTGCGGACAGCCTGGTACGTTTTCCTCTCAGTTACTTTTCCTGAGTCCAGCGGTTACGTCTACTGGCCAAATGCTGCCCAGGAAAATTGACCGGGTGCCCAGAAAAACTGACCAGGTCACTTTTTCCGAGACGATAAGTCCAGTGCGCCGCGGACAGCGCGAAAGGAAAGCGTTCATCCGGCCCTAGCGCGAGGTCATGCATACAGAGACCACACGAACCTGCACTTACAGTGGCGGAAAATTTTGTAGAAACACGCTGCGGTGTATCATCAAGTCCAAGTGGTAAAATGTCGTTATAAATATTTTTCAACGGAAAAATACATACACAGATTCTGAAAAAGAGATTACGTTCTGGGAATTAATTTGCAGAATTTATCTTTCTCCACCGACGTTTGTTTGGTATTTTCTACGATCCAAATTCGTCCTGTTCTACTGTAGTCATGCATAGTACATCATGGTCCGGTACCGTACCGTACGTACGTAGGCCGTAGTCACTGGTTCCGGTCCTACATCATAGCTTTGATTCTGTTAGCATGCGATGGGAACCAACGAATACCGATGGCACTGCTGCCGCAACATCGTACAGCGGCATGGCTTCGATGTCGTGCATCACAAATGCGTCAGAAATATAGGCTTTTTCGTCAAGATTTAGCGTGTCAAGATGAAATAATATCGTGTTAACGATTATGTTGTGCATGCAAATGGCGTGTGTAATATAACTGTGCGTATCGGCGGCTGAAAATGTGATCAGCATTTTTGTTTTCTGCGTACGGTGAGTCATTATACTGACACTGTGACAGCTCGGTTACTTCTCCCACGCAGTCTGGATAAAATTTCCCATGTCGAAAGTCCAAGTGCGGACAGTGGTCACATTTGACCATTTCTCATTTTACCATCGTCTCGGTAAAACCTTTAAAAAAAAAGTCCAGTGCGGACACGGCTTAAGCCTTGAGGTCGCTCTGAGTGGTCTCTCGTCTTGGGAAAGCTTGGGATTGGGAATATCAGCTTCACTGTAATAGGTGTCAGACTTGGTCCCAATGAACTTAGGTTTGGCCCGGGGAGATCCCCGCCACACTATTTATAGAGCCTATTTCAGGAGCGCGCGCTAGCCAGACCCATAGCCAACAATGCGCCGTCAGAGCCCTCTGGTGGTGGTTAGGAACCAAAGCAACAACAAAGCACTAAACAAACTGTCCGTTACCATTACGTTACTTGGTTCACAGCCATTCACAAATTATATTAGAGAATATCTGTATTTTGAAAATAATAGACTCACCCCATTCATAGCTCAGCAGCAACTTCTTGTACTGCAAGTGCTGAAAGGCAAAGTAGAATGTGAAATCACAGGCATCTACCTCCACAAAGGCTTTGAAGGAGCGGCGGAATTGCCAGTCCTCATGCTTAAGGTCGAGTTGCAGACAGCAGTCCAGACGGAGGCAGTTCTCAGTCAGGGAGCAGTAGGCCACTTTTGCCAGCTCTGAGGGGAACTCCGGCAACGTGAAGAACCGACACGCTGTACAAATCAGAACAAGATTTTAGAACTTTAATAAGTCTAATTTTGTCTTTGGCCATCATAGGGTCAATTTCAAAAAGGCTGCTAAGCATTACCATTTCTCTTGGTACCGAGAGGTTTTACACAAAGACTATTTAACAGTTACCTGGTACAACTGGTTTTATCAGAGACTTGCAGCAAATTTGCTCAGCACTTTAACTAGTTCGCGCTGGAGGCTGTTTATACAAGCAAAACATTTGCAGTATTCGGAACTGACTACTTATAAATACGCAGGGAGCGAGGCTGGAAATATCTGTCAGTGTGCAGGGCAAGAAATATGAGTGTGCTGCCCAAGAGTGATGGCTTCTATCCACCTGGCTTGAGGTCGAGTGAAAAGTAATCCCGCGCCTCGTTCCGTTCTTGTCAAAACAATCCTGGTGTTAACTGGTTAAGATCTATATTTCTGAGGATTACACCCCCCCCCTCTCAGCTCTAAAACAAAATATTTAATATTCACTCTATTCCCTTAGCCTTTATTTAAAGCTTCATACACAAACAGCATCGGGTGTTTAATAACAATTGATTTTATAAATTTCTGCATGATGCAAAATGCCAAACTACTTGGCTACTACATGTGCCTATTGTAGCGGCCGCAGCCATTTCCCATAGACACTTTCGTAACTGCCAGCTTTGCCACATGATTTGTATACAGCCTAGCTTCCTTAAGTTATTCTACTTACTTCTATCATCCTGCGACAGCCTGTCTTCCATCTCCATCCTCGTTCCTGTGGTTGCAAGTTGCCTCTCCTCCAGTGTGGCTATCAGCTGCACCTTACTCAAACTGGATGGCGTTGGGCATGGCTCTTTACCATCCAATAATTCCTTAAGAGGAATATATTAAGGGTATAATTGTTGTACAACTTGAAATAATAAACTGTTCATCTGAATTATTTAATCTAATGAAATTGATCAAAAACTAATGTTTTTTGTGTGGTTTATTTCATGATGAAGCTCCTAGACCAAAGAAACTAAAATAACAAGAGACTCTTGTTCTAGTTATTTCGTTTTAGTGGTCATACCATTACTTCAGATAGCTGTTTTGAGTCTTTATTTGGAAAGACATAATTTCTTCCTTTTGACACCCCCATGCATTTCTCTTTCAGAAGTACAATGCTATAACCATTGATATGCACATCAACATTACAGTGCATAGGTTAGTGTTGACACACGCACGATCCAGGGTACATTGCTTTCCTTGTGCGTTGGGTGGTTTCTAGCAGTGTACAACAAAAACATAGCAAGGTCATTGAGAACATCCGTCATCAAATGAACTTCTGGTATACGTCACGTGAATCTAATACCATGGTAATAACAATCATTAATAAATGCCTTGTAGATTATTAACAGCTTCTGATTGGTCGTGTCTCAATCACACGGGGATGTATTAAAATTTAATACAAAGACCGGCTTCCAGAACAAGGCAATCAATGGCCCCTGACTCAAGTGCACGTATGATATATACAAAACACCCCTGCTGTGTGTGGGTGGGAGTTTTTTAAGAGGAGTATTTCAAATGAGGAGTATTTCAAATGCCATGTTCATACAGCAGTACTAAGGATGTTTACAATGAAAGCATTATTTACTTTTTCTAAATCGACCATCTTTGTAATTCTGGACACAAGGAATATGTAAAGAAATTTCAGCTTCCTCCATCAGGTAAAAAAAATGAAGAAAAAAAATAGTTTTGCTATACAGCAGAAGTTCACACCCTGGATGTCAGTGGTCGTAATGCAATGAATACATCGTCCAGCACAGCCTGGGCCCGGCTAAGGTGGTATACAACAACATATATTAAAGAGACAGGGTACCATGCATTTATAAGCCAAAATATGGCCCCTGAATATGCACACAAAAAAGTCTGGAAATATCACCGCAAGAAATTCACAAAATTTGATCATTTTAAATGTTTAATTCGGTACAAGGTATTTATTAACAGCAGTCACCCCCAAACTGGATCCTCACACTGTTATTCCCTAATTATTGATGTCTGAGCTTACCTTGGGTATGCCCAGCGTTTCCAGGACATACTTCAATGCCTCCTCAGTGGCTACCTTCAGTAGCTCCTCACCCGTCTCCTTGAGTAGATTCTTCAAGGCAGCGCGAGAGAAATACTCCTCCAGGTCAACTAGAATCAGATAAGATTGTTTTGAACTACTGTCTATTTCAGCGTTTTAGCTTTCGGTTCTCGTTTTTGGACTTTTGTTATTTAAATTAACCCCTACTGTATTTTACTAAGTACTGGAAACAAGTCCGCCTAATTCCATCAATCACACTGCTTCCAATGCATGCTTTACTTTAGGCATCCAGGCCCGAGTCCATCACACTCCATCAACAGTAAGTCAAACAAGGCCTGCCAAACCAAGTCCACAAAAATCCACCAAAGTGGGGGGAAGAATTTTGATGGAGTTGGGGAGGTTAGGGTTAATGAGTTTTAGTTTTGGCACTGTCACTAGCTTGTACCTTGTTTTCCCTATTTTTAGTTAGTTTATGAGAAAAATTATGTAGGGATAGACACAGCTAGTTTTTAATATGAATCAATATAAATGAACATGTAACTTCTTCTCTTTGTGCAGAGTCAGTCCCTTCAATTTATTTTCAGCCTTTCAACAGGATTTTTGCTCAATCAAATTAGGTTTTGCCCTTCACCTACACTGTATACTCAGTGTGTTACCTCCCGAGTGAAAGTTGGAAAAAATCACTCGGGTGGGACTCGAACACACGACCTCCTGCTTTCTAGTGCAGATGTCTTACCACTCGACCACCAAGCTAACAGGATCAGTTGGCTGGTTCGAATTTGATGTACATAGCAGCGGGTAGGATTTTTGCTTGCATCATCAACAATCCGCATAACAATCTTTACATTATAACCATTATTCATAAATACCGGTACCTACAGTTTACCCATTCCCATTGGTAGGGAGCCTGTCACTTGGCCAGTCTTAAACAGATGATAAAGACATAGCTGTTAAGTCTTAAACACTTTTCCAGTGTAACATGAAATTTGGACTCCTATGGGATCTAGTGACTTTTACCCTTGTATTGGTTGAACGTTCACAATTCTCATGTAGGCATGCGCAATACTACTAGTGAGTCAGTATTTCATTGTTCTTTATTGAACGCTCTCACCACAGCTGCACCTGCGCATCATCGCGCAGTACGCGTGTCACGTGCGCCAATCTCCATAAAAGGAGATGTTTGCGTCGTACTTGCAAGCTGGACACTCCATTATATAGCTAGTGTTTCGAAAAACAGAAAGTAAACTTGTTGAACAAAATTGCTAGAAATTAAAAAATTTTGACTTGTTTTGACTTTTGGACCGAAAGGTTTTGATTTTTTGACCAAAAAGGTATTTATGAATTAGCCTCGGATAATTATCACCATTCCAGACTCCAACCAGTCTTAAACATAGTGTATAACACCTCCCAAACACACATTTATTCCCTTATTTTTACACACTTTTTAAGACAATTACAATGATGGTTTGAATGCATCAATACTGTTTTGTTTTAATTTTCCCTCCTGCTTACTGTTTGGCCATGTGATGGTTCCATTGGGATGACAGATAGGTAAAGGAATAGCAGATTCCTTCAACACCTTGATGAATTGCAAACAATCTGCATCACTAGTCGTTGGGCAGAAACCAACAGACATGCTAACCAGTAGCTGAGTCGGGTTCTTCTCAATGACGTACCTGTGAGAGAAGCCAGAATATAGACATGGTCAAAAATGTTCACCTGTGCATTGTCTTGTGAACTCTGTAAGCAGGAACTGGCTCAGAGGTTGCAAAGGGAGACTTGGCTGTGACCAATGGCAGAGACACTGGGACGGAGATGAGAGACAAAGATGCTATAGGTTTGTGCACATGCGGAATAAAATTAGTTGTACGTACTCTGCACCATATGTGCGCAAACCAGTATGGGATGTGGAGTGACCCTCAGAACCACATCCCCCTCCCCCCTCACTCCCCCCCGGAGCTCTTCAAAGTGGTCACAAAATACCATCTATTGATCATGCAAGAAGGCGATAGTATGTGTACTTCCTCTTTCTATACAGTTATACAAAGTTATACCAAGTTCTCAAATTCAAAAGATCTTCTTTCAGTCAGGTCTCAAATATCTTGTGCTTCTTGTAGACATTGTAAAATGAACCTTAATGCATATTGGCACTTTGATCACATCCTTCTTATATGAAATTCATGAGGCTTGGACATAAAAGTTTCCAAACAATATGGTATCCTTATACTGCAACAAAATGCAACAAAAGACAACAAAAGATATGGCAAAGAAACCTTTATAGGCTCACATGGGTGATATGGAAAATATTGTAACACCAGCAGCATTAAAAAAAAAAAAAAAAGGCCAAAGGGAAAATAATAATTTAAGGTTAAACGAAGAAATTGATTGGAGGAGGTTTTTAACCTATGTGTTAATGGCTTCTGACACATCTGACTAGTGCACCTTGAACAAAGACAATGACAAATTGGGGAATTACCAACATATGGCTAGAGAGCTCTGTTGATAGATTGCAGGAACGGTAATCCAGAGGGTGCAAGTTCAAATCCCGGACCGCTCCACATTATTTCTTTGTTCAACTTGACTACTTTCATATTACAAGTGAAAAAGGGTTACTACCTAAGATGCAGCTCCATATCATCAAAAAATGGAATGTCAAAGGGCACTGGCACGTCCCATTCTTTGTCTGGGGAGAAAATAACAGTGTTTGTTAATAACTCAACAGTGTTTGTTAATAACTCTCTCTCAAAGTGTTTGTAAATAACTAGCTTTCACAAAACAAGATTAATTCCAAAACCAGCAGTTTCATGTTTTCCTTAACCTTAAACACGTCTCATTTTTCGAATTTCTAATGTATAAAAATCAGTAGTTCATAATTTAAATTGAACAAAAGTAGTGGACTTACTAAATTCGGCATCCAGGATCTGAATGGTGTAGTTCCAAGAGTTGACCCCGAGTACAAACTGGAACTCGCAAGGATCAAAGCGCATGAATGCCTTGAAGGCCAGAGACACCATGAAGAGTTTGACGTTCATACAGCACTCCACGCCCAGGCAGCTTTCATCTATCTTACAGTAGACATTCTTGGGTAGGGAGACTTGTAGCAGGGGGCAGCCTAAAAAATAGGAACAATCACAGTTTTTCCATTACTAGGTTGAATTTGCAACAAACTGTCTTGTACAATACAAAGACACATCATTTATAAACACTGCATTAGCACCTGGCATAAAGAGTTTTCAAAGATGCTAAAAGATCCCATGCAGGTCAATCAACACAACAACAATCCTCAGGTCGTTTGTATCACTAGAGTTGTACATGAGAGTTGGATTGCTGATGGAAAATTGAAAGGGGAGGATCGAGGGCTTGACATTTTTCATAACAGAAATACAAATAGTACAGTATACACATAAAGTAGACAACATTTTACACCTATTACATCCATTTCTGAAATTTCACTGTTTATTCTAAATTATACACCCCGCATAACGCAGTGTAGGCCAGGGCACGCATACTTGTGTAACTAAGAAGTTTGACAAAGTGCCATCGGGGCTTCATCATTATGATTCATAGATACATGTACTAAGGGCCCGTTCATACCTGGGCAAAAAGCATACAAGTTCACAAATTTATGACATCATAGCAAGTGACTGCCTGCCGTTTGCAAATGTTGAATACAATTATAAGGTAATGAGAATCATTTAAATTTTGTGCAAATTTTTTTTATTTGTTTGAAACAACAAAATTGTCCGAAATCTTGAGTAGGGTACATCTCCCTCTCTTCAGTCCATGGCGCAATTCCACGCCAACAATCTTGATCCGCGGCTAATCTTGAATTGATGCAGCTGCAAGTCCCTCTCCAGTCCACTGCTTTTTATGTCGTTTTTCCATGATGTTGTTGGGCGACCTCTGCCGTCTCTTCCCATCGACCAACCCCTGGATTATTTCTTTATCAAATCCGCCACGTCGCATGACGTGGCCAAAGAAATGCATCTTCCACACAGCCATCTGTTTTCTCAGCATCAACTCGCTCCCTATGGTATCCAATACAAAGCGGTTTGTCCTCCTCTCCATCCACGACACTCGGAGAAAGCGTCTGTATGCACAGATCTCAAAGGCATCCACTCACTACGCTGGTCGGCCCTTGTCATGGCCCAGGACTCACAACCATTGGAAGCTAAAGCAAATGCTGTGGCACAGAGAAGTCAGACTTTGAGGTTGGTGCTGACACCCATGCTCTACCATATGGGGGCAACTTTTGTGTGTTCGTTCGTGCTATGGCCATGCGCGTCTTAATCTCCTTGGAGCTGCTGCCTGTGGTAGCAATCATCGATCCTAGATAGATGAACTCGACCACCTCGTCTATTTTTATGGCCATGGAGTGCAAAGTCAGACCAGTCTTGTCTATCCAGATCGATAACCATTATCTTTGTATTCTTGGTATTCACAGATAGGCTCCTTGGTGTACTGGAGCGTTCCACGTGGCTAAGCAAATCAATCAGATCTTCTCTGGTCATGGCCATCAGGGTCATGTCGTCGGCAAAGCCCAGGTTACTAATTCTCACACTGCCAACTATAACTCCCCCGCCGAACTCGGGCAGGGCTTCCCACATGATGTCTTCAGAATAGATGTTATATAGCTTGGGAAACAGGATGACAACTAACGAGGTGAAGTAATGGCTTGATGGATGCCATACATGTTGAGAAGACATAGAAAATGCTATTTTGTGGTCTCGTTAATGGTTTACAATGTACGTTGCCACTGCTTTCGATTAAAAAATAGGGAGTTTCATTTTATTAATAGCACCACAGGCACACTCTTTTTGAAAGCACATTCGATGATTTGTTTCTTCCGAACGACACCATATCAGGAGAAATGACCAGTCTTTTCTTCACTTTAAGCATGTTTTTTTTCTCATCATATCGTTAGGTTTGTGTCCGGACTATTACCAAATTTGTGCCCATTAACTCCCAATATATTTTGCTACAAATGTTTAGGACATAAAACTTGCTTTGCACCCTCAAGAGGTATGAAATAGGCTGAAGTAAAACACACATAGTCGACAAACAAACCTTAAGTACACAGACGAGCAACTTGTACTTACGATCTTCGGGTTGTTTGTATCGCTGGAGTAGAGTCTTTCTCTCTCCCTGTGAACTGAGACCGCGTTGCTGGAGCTCAATCCTCAACATATCATTGGACAAAGACTCCGGTAGAACGCACGGCTTGTCACTCACTAGTTTCTGCAGGTTTACAACAGAGAAAGATTTGGGAATTCCATGTTATACGTTGTGCTACTCTGTTAAATTCTTCAATGTACTTCCATTACAAGACAAGACATTTGATAATGAGAGGAAAATTAAGTAAATCTACATGTATGCTTAACAAGTTCTCATCGTGGAATTATGCAGGGTGTCCCCCCCCCCCCCCAAAAGGAAAGTAACCCACAACCAAAGTGATAATATGAATTATGTCTATCAATCAACAGGTGTTCTGTTTTGTTCATGTTTTCATAAAGTTAAATGTGCCTTGAACTTACATGGAGTTTTCTTTATGTCTTGACGTGCTCTTCATAGTTTACCCAAAACTGTCCCAAGAAGGTTTTCAAGTACCATTTCCAAGACAATGTTGCTCATTGGTACATGACCAGAGGAATATTGATGCATCCAAGACAACAATGAAAAGCTTACTGCCCCTAGCTAATTTATGATGACACCATAATAATGGTGAAGTTAACAGTTTACAATATTGGGTGTATTAGCAATGGGAAAATAATCAATTAGGCAAAAAAAGGCTCCGGTTTCTGGTCTACGCGAGTGTCGCCGTAGCCATGCACATCGGCAAAATTAAAACATATTTTCCAATGTAAGATGATGTCTCAAAACCCGCTAAACTCACTGGTTTGATTGGAATCCTGCTGCTGCACAAGTTTAACGTGTTTTAGATGGGGTTATGATTGAGTATAAGCTTTATGTGGCCTCTCTGTGCTCCCATATATTTTGCTCTAAATTTAGTCGGGCACCATTTGCAGACGGTGTTGTAATGTTGTAATTGTGCGTCTGGAAGCCAGAATGAGAGAGCGAAGGTCGTGTATCTTGAACATTAAAATGCTTTTTAATTAGCGCAATATGTAAGGGAGCAGACTAATGACGAGCCTGACAGCTCATGTACAATGTCGATGTCATTGTATGGTCGAGGTCCGACGTTACTGTTTTCTCTGATTTCTGTATTTGCCTATCCAAATTTAAAGTTCGAGTCGGTCAAGATCATACAAGGTAAGTGGGTGCAGCATTCTCAAGCCTTATGGCCTTACTGAGGTCACCTCAAGCTCCACTCTGAAGGATATTTTTGAGAGTTTTAAGGGGATAGAAGCGTCATCCGCACCAACAACTGACATTTGAAGAAAAAAAAAAGTTGGGAGAAAAAAAACAACGCGTTGCCGCACCACTTTTGGGGCAAGCTCCATACCAGAAACCAGATATTTTTTTGTTTGGCCTTAACCTTTTCAATGGTATTTGCATTACCTTTGTTACTAGTGTGTCAATATTAGAATTCAGGTACAAAAATACTTTTTAATGAAAAATACAAAATTTACATTTTGAACAGGTTCGCAGTGTCAGTGCATAAGAAAGTGCTCCGCTTTGCATTAGGGCCTATATCTGAAAATTATTTTTAAAAATTGTGAACCAATGAATCTTTTGTTACTCAACAATCCTCAAAGAATGAATGCTTTAGACCGGTGTACTCACAACAATGGTCTTGACAACTGTCAGTAAGTCATCTGCTGTTTTCTCCAGTCCAATCGTACGGGCAAATGCCAGAATGGAGCTAATCTTCAAGTTCCTCAGAGAGAAGTTCTTGAAAGGAGAGCCTGAGCCTATTTTTGGCTCTGGAAGGCCAAGTGTTTCCTGGGTCTGCTGTCTGTTGCCTTGAAAACAATTGTGAAGAGATTGTAAATAACAACAACAACAACAGAAAAAATCATGTATTCATCAAAACATAGATCTACTGGTATACAAAGGGAAATTATGAGATTCATGTTTTTCACACACAAATGAAGTGCTACACAATAGCATGCCGAGTCAATGGAGTACCAGTATGTAAATGATTTATACACATTTCCCTACAGGTCCTATATTAAAAGATCCTATGCTGTCTATCTGATGTCTGTGTGTCACGGTTTTTTGTAAAAGGCCTAGGGAGTGTTTGTGCAGGAGAAAAGGGGTTAATGGAAAGATAGCCAGTGTATGCAGGTCCAATTTCGCTGTCCAGTCACAGCCAGTCAAACCTGCTGGGAGCTCTGAACTGTTGAAAACAGTCACCTGATTGATTTTGACATCTTTGCACAGAATGTACGTCTGCAAAGGAGGGTTAATTATTCAGGCATGCAACTGGGACGTAGTAAAAAGGAGGAAATTCCAATCTTTACAAGACTTTTTACAGTGCTTTCAATATGTAATGGCATAAGTGTGAATCGAAACACAAGGAAAGTCGGTTGATGCAAGGAAAAGTTGAAAACCTGATTATTGTAAAGCACCTTGAAACAAGGAATACATAAACACATATAAATGGGACTTGAAGCTAGAAAGGACATAATTATTACAGAGGAGCAGCGCTAAACCAACTACCGCTATACCGAACATTCGGCTACATCGGACATATTGTTCTATTTGGCTCCCAATGTTTGTGTACAAAACGTGCCGAACATTGTTGTTGAAAAATGTAAACGGAATAGTGACAAGAAAAGTGGCTGTTCTTTCCCCACAGACATGACAGAATAGAAGGGGAAAAGCACCACTTGCTGTAGGTAGTAAGCTAAAAAACTGTGTAATTACAGAATTCAATAGTCGGCATGTGTTCAAAGTCATCTTTTAGTGACTACCAGGGCGTGCAGGGTGAAAAGTGAGTACCGGAGCACCAGCAACTTATAATCAATTTATCGAAAGATCACTATTATGAACAATGTTGGTTATAGCGGCTTTCCACTGTATAAATATAATATATACATATAGCATGACTTATTCACAAGCTGTTTTGTTTACCTGGTGATATTGCTTGATCAAGTGAAGATGTTCGCTGTGGTGGTCTCTTGCTAGGGTCAGGTCTATCGGTGGTTGTGTCAGGGGGAGGTTGGCGCTTTGGGCTGGTGTCATTTGTCTCTCCAGTCTTATTACCGCGTCCAAACAAAGAACCTTCCAACACTGTCTTTCCCTGTGAAACAAGATTCAAGTACAGGTTCTTATTATGCAGTCTTTCTTAGATGGTCGAAAATAAACAGGAACCCACATTCAAAGCCACCAAAACAATGAATGCTGGTTTTTCCATGGATTTCTGAACATGGATGTAAATAATACTCTGTCCAGATGGTGCAGTCACTAAATTTCCACAGATTCCCACTTCAGGTGGATTATAAGGCCACTCAGCAAGTTTCAGACTGTTATTATATGCGATGCGATCAAGCTGCATGAGACGTTTGTCGACCCTGGTCATTTTTGTTTTGCACATTTGAAAAAAGCACAATCTCAGCATTACTGCTGTGAAAACCACATGCTGATACCACCTTCAGTTCAACAATTATGGAAGTCAGAACACCAAGAGATGTGATAAAGTGGCCCTATTTTGGCCTGAATCACCAAATGAAAATTCCCTACAAACAACTCATTAATAGCTTGATCGCATCACATATGTTGACTTAGCTGCGTCGCAATGGCCTAAGTTATTTCAAAAGTTGCGCAACATCGACACTGCGCAACATTTCAGCTATGACAATTTCACAAAAGTTTCATATTGCGCAGTACGCGACTTGTACAACAAATTGCAGCTTTACTAGCGCAATTATTTTAGGTGGCATAAGTTGTGTCATAGCCACTAAAAATGACCTATTTTACCAGCAAATCGTGATCATCATGGTGCCAGTAATAGCAAAACATATCAAGGTTCATACACGACACTCAGAACTTTGTTTTTGAAGAAAATTAATTGCTATTTACTTGTTAGGCCAAAAAAAAAAATAAGTCGGTCTCTGGTCAGCGCGCGCGTCGATTTTAATCATGCGCGTCGATCTTTTTTTTTCCAAAATGTTCCGCGGTAGCTCCAACAGCGCCCTCTATTTCCGCACCTCCTCATTTTTTTTTTACCAAAGAGCACCAAGGAATGGGAAATTGCACCAAGGCAAATGATCGAAAGCACCAAGGCAAATTATGGAGGACACCAATGTACATGAGGACACCAAAAAAGCAAAATAGTACCCCACCTTGTCTGTACAATCCAAGCTTGAAGAAAAAAAAAAAAAAAAGGAAAAAAAAAAAAAAAAACCGCGTGGCCGCGTCAATTCCGGAACTTTGGTCTGACCAGAGACCGAATATTTTTTTTTTTTGGCCTTACAGAGCTTTTCGAGTTGCCGCATGATTCTGAAGGAAGTCGGACAAAAACCAACAAAATCGTACACAAACAGCCATCGTAAATGCTGTTATAATCCTCATCCAAATGTTTTTGATTATTTAACATGTTGCCCAGCTACGCCATGCTTCGTGAAATCGTTTGTAAGTTTATTGCCTTTATTGTGTTTATTGCGTAGCTGCGCAATAAATGTGTTGTGTAAGTCCTATGCAACGCAAAATTTACACACTGTTTTGTGAGATCAGCTGCAGGATGAACTCACATTTGGGATTAAAGGTCATAGTGTTATTATTGATTTATGTATTTAGCCCGGTTCATACTTCATGCGAAAGCGGAAGCGAACCCGAATCTGTGACGTCATAGCAAGTATTCACGCTGCGAATTCGCAAAAGTTGAACACAATTCAACTCGGGCGAATTTTGCAGCGAATGTTTCATGACGTCAAATTCACTTCGCATTCGCATGAAGTATGAAACGGCTTTTAGATTAGAGGGTTTCAATACTAGGACCTACCAGCCACACCAGCTTAAAATCATTACAGACTTGAGTCCATATTGGTAGCGTCAGGGGCCTCTTGGCAAGGTAGTTACTAGGGTCCACATAGCCCTCCTTAGCAGCTTCATCAGAAGCTGAAGGATCGTCATCCAGGACACTGTCTAGAATGGCTGCCAGGGGGTTAGGTTTAGAGTTCTTCATGGACATGTGGATGTAGTTGGGTGGTGTGCAGATTGAAGACCTGCCGACTGTACCCATGACGGTACCAGCTATCACCTTGTGGATGGACAGATTATAGACCAGAATGAACAGAGTACGGAGAGATCATACACAAAACGTGTTGTTAGTAACAATCATCAGTTTAATGTCGGATTAGTGAGATATTTGTAATTCTGAGGAACAACCACCATCCAGTGGTATATAACATTTTGGGGAACTAAGTTTTGTAACAGAAATACAGACTACAAACTTTGAAGTGCAAAAACTACTATTTCGCAAAAGAAAGTTGATTACATTTAGAATCCCACTTTTGTATTACTACAAGTGAATGAGCAGTCCAGATTCAGGTTGCTCAAATACATGGTATGTCTTAGTTAACACCCAAATTGTCCAGGAACATAGCGTTGGACAGGCAGAGGATGAAAAAATGCTGTAAATCCAGAGGCATTACCGTAAGTCCATTTTTCTGCAAATTGTTATGGACCAGAGAAACGCAACCAATACAAGCAGTCTGCAGATCGCACGTTGCCTTATTTCACGGTCAATCCCTGTATGCTTTGTGTTCTTTAAAAAGTCAAATTTTGTGCATTTTTAAACAATCTCAACCGACCCCTAGACCTTTAACCTCCAATTTCGGAAGAGTTGTCATGAACCTCACCCAAGGATGACTCCATCCAAATAACATTAAAATCTATCAAATCAAATTCTGTAGCCAAGGACACATTTGAAGCACATTTGAACAATGACCTCTTATGAAACCTACATGACCTTTGACCTAAGTAATCCGATGAAGAATGTGTCTTCCCACCCAAGGGTCACTGCAACCAAATTTCAGTCATACAGTCATGCAGTCATGAGGTCATACAGAGATACAGAATTTAGGACTGGTAAGTGTCCCCCAAAATTTTGCTTAGGCGACACAAAAATGAGTTTAAAAAGGGGGTTTGTATAATAGAACTACCAAAATAGGGAATGGTACAGGAGGAATCTTGGATAAAGGTTCACCTAAAAATGAAGCAAAATAGGCCAAACCATTGAATACGCCAGTTCGGTATTTCATTGACCCGAGGTCATTCAGGATTTAACATCGCTGACGTGATGTTACGCTATGTTACGCACACCCCGATTCTGCTGGTAATTTACACGCAAGTGGCTTGTGCCCACATCCATACGCCTTCGAAACGTCTTTATCCAAATGACCCGTAACCCATATCATTGTGCACATGCGCAGTTGATACTGAACTGGCTCATTGTGGCTTTGTCCCTTTGCACTGCGTAGTTACAACTTGCAACTTAAAGCTCATTTCATGGTGACCTGTCACTGAAATTCCATCCAAAATGAGAGCCCACCAACGACAAACCGTGTACCAAATCAAGTCTCTTTTCTACTTACATTCACTCCCTCAGTTTCGGAGATGGTGCGATTGGGCTCGATGTTGTCAATGAAGATCTTGATGTTTCTGAAGGCCCCACCACCAGCTACCAGAGTAACCTGGTTGGGTTTACCAGCACTCTTGAATAGAACGCCTGAAAATGGTGCCACCAACTAAAACAAAAACCAACAAAGTATTTTGGACATCAAAAAAATTGAGATAACTCTGGGAATGGAAAATGAAAGCAGCAGTTTTCCAAGAATATTTTTTTAACTGGCGATACCTAGTAATTTTCTTAACATGTTTTCTTGATTACTATTTTTAAAAATAATTTTAAGGGTGCTAGGATACTTGCTTTTGCAATTACTATGAAGTTTGATTGCATAAAGGTCTTTTGAAAGACAAGACAATGAATAGAAACAAGTAACTAATGAAAACTAGACAATGCACAAAGCTGATAATTATTCTGTGAAGCAATGTCGCCAACTGGGTTTGAATAGGTCTCTCTCAAATAACGTCACTTCCTACAGATTGTCACATGCATCAGCATTTCAGGTGTGAAATTTTCTTGACGAGCATCGGCTGCACCATATATTGAAGAGATGTTTACGCACGTGTTTAGAACATGCACCGGATGGCACATGCACCTGATGGCATTGAATATGCAGTTGTAATTTTCCTACGAAGATGGAGTACTAATGAGAGACATCTATAATAAGGTAATAAATGTGTGCTTGGCCCGTTTTAAACACTATGTTTAATACTGGTTTGGAGGCTGGACCCTGGATAATGAACCGAGCCGAAGGTCATCAACAGCGTCCAGACTCCCAAATGGTCTTAAAAATAGTGTTTAATACATGCAAAGCACATATTTATTCCAATTCATAAACACCCTTTTGGTAAAAACAGTTGAAGTAAAAAAATATAATTTCCAACGACTTTGTTCAACAAGTTTACCTCATGTTTTTTTAGCTGTGTTATGGTATTTACCTCTCACGAGTAGTCGTATAAACAACTCCTTATATGGAGATTGGCGTGGGCATTGCATGTACATGTATTGCGCGATGTGGTGCAAAATCTAGCTAAAACGGTGTAGTGTGAATTTAGGACTATGAAATACTGACTCACTGGTTGCATTGCGCATGCCTAACCGAGGATACACTTGGCCGAAGTCTCGGTTGCGCTCAGTCTGTGGCTATAGTAAATCAACGCATAGCGCATACGTACATCCGTACAGTACAACGCAAGCATGCTAAAAAAAAAGTACATGTACGGTACATGTTATTTTCAGGTGATGCAGCAACCCATAATTAGTCAATCTGCCAATCGTACACGCACGTTTGTTCCACGTTTGTACACAATCTATGGAGATTAATAATTTTCGCAGTGATTGGCTTCTACCCATTTAGGTAGAAGCCAATCACAGCACAGTGTTTCAGGTAATAAGCATTTTCATCCCTAAATATACGCGCAGATTGTTTTGATATTATTCCTAAAATGCAATCAGCGCTGTCTGCTTGTTCGCGCAGCCAAAGTTTCGCAAAGAACGCACACGCATCCCATGGTGAGGAGTAGAAACAGATAGGCGCATGCGTACGCATGCGCATGTGAGGGCTAGTCACGTGATCGTGCGGAGCAGTTGTGCCGTGGACAGCGGACGGTAAGGTCGTGTATTGCTCGCGCTGTGTTTTGGGTAATGCTGATGCGCACTGTGTAAAGGCGCTGGCCATAACTGTGCTGAAGTTGCGCTGTGTAATGCTGATGCACAGCCGTACAAGTGAATTTACTGACGATACTGACGCTAGCTTGCATGGGTAAAGCGTAAATCAGGTTAAGGCTGAACAGCATGTATTACTTACATTGGCATACACTACTTACATTGGCGTGTGTTATTTACATTGGCGTACACTACTTACATTGGCGTGTGTTATTTACATTGGCGTACACTACTTACATTGGCATGTGTTATTTACATTGGCGTACACTACTTACATTGGCATGAGTTACTTACAGTGACGTGTGTTATTTACATTGGTGTGTATTACTTACATTAGTAACGTTGTTGACTTAGTGTGCATTGTTTACATTAGTGAACGTTGTTGACTTAGCCGTGCACTGTTTACAGTAGTGGGTAAGTCAACAATCATCATAATCACAATCATCATAATCGGCGGTATATTTCCTCCAAAATGGACCTGTTCCCTAAGCCTTGAGGTCGCTCTGAGTGGTCTCTCGTCTTGGGAAAGCTTGGGTACGGGAAGATCAGCTACACTCTAATAGGTGTCAGACTTGGTCCCAACGAACTTAGGTTTGGCGCGGGGAGATCCCCGCCACAATATCCATCAAAGAGTACGTGTGCGTACATGCCAGGGGGGTGCTTATGGCAGATGATCAAGTCGGCATTGCTAACTTTTGCACCTCATGTACATGCACATGCTCTGCACATGAACACACACACACACACATGTACTGGTAAGTATAATATGCGTGTTGTATAATGTGCCGGTACATACAGTGTGCACGCGCATTGTTATGCAGCACTGAAGAGGAATGCATGCTGAAGTGGTAACCTGTGGTAACCTGTCTGTGCTTCTGGAAAGATGTAAACTAAGTGATTTTTGTGAATTTTGTTTTACTTCTTTTCAAGATAACGACTTCAAGCAATTCCGACTTGAGTCAAGTCTAAACCAAGTATTGTATTCTTTCAACCAATAAACGGGTGAAGTGTCCTGATTTCAAAAAAGTCAAAATTTTATGTGACACACACTTAAAAAGTGTTTAAGACTAGCCAGCCAGTGTTTAATCAACTGTTTAAGACCGGTCACGTGACAGGCTCTCAACAACAGGAATGGGTAAACTGTCTTAGGTATTTATGAATTAAATCTTAATCATTGTTAATAATGATTTACTGGATTCTGTTTCTCAGTGTAACATTGTGTTAGACGCTGATGACACTGTTATTCTATGTGGTTCTGAACACATTTCCGATATTGAAAGCACCCTCAAGCATGAACTCATAACAATCTCTGACTGGATGTATCTACATAAGTTAACCCTGAATATCGCAAAATCTAAGACCATGCTCTTTGGATCATCCCAAACCAAAACCAATTCCTCTCATGGTTTCAATATTAGACTTAACAATGAATTTGTAGAGACTGTCTCTGAATTTAAATACCTTGGTTTGTGGTATGATTGTAATCTTAAGTGGAACAAACACATAGAGGCCGTGTGTTACAAACTAGCCCCAAAACTTGGAGTACTCAAACGATTATTTTATTTTGTCAATCAATCAATGCTTCATATTCTCTACAAATCACTTGTTCTTCCTTATATAGATTATTGCCTCCCAGTTTGGTTTAACACCTGTGAAAAATATCTCAATAAGATTCAGATTCTTCAAAACCGTGCTGCTAGATTAGTTTTTGGTTGCCAAATAAGAGACCTTTATGTCAATAATATGTTTAACGGATTTGAATGGATGAAAATCAACCAACGTAACATGTACTTTAATGCCACTTTGATGTACAATTGTATTAATCGATTAGCTCTTCTGTACTTGTCCTCAAGATCCATTCTCATTTAAATGTTCATTCCTACAATACATGCTCTAATGCCAACAATAACATTGCCTTTAACTCTGTCAACTCCAACTTTGGCTGTTTGGCAAACATATGTTTACATTTTCTGGTGGCCAAATCTGAAAAAAATGTGTAACTCTTTTGTTTACATGTGGTTTTGGTTAGGTTTACATGCATTGTGTGTTAGTGGTTTACCACAGGGTGGTGTAATGCGACTAGTGCAGTAGTGTAGTTGTAGTTAGTATTGCACACCCCACTTTCTACCTTCAGCTGCTGCCGCTGGCTAGCCCCATTTTGGGGCAAAAAGGGGAGCCGAGTGCGTAAGTCTCCCCTGCCAGTACATAGCCTCTCCCTCACCAAGACTCCTACAGTGCCTCCTCATGGCAACACATGGTAACTGGGCATCTTGCGACCCCAGGCTGAACTGTAGGGGATCTCGGAGCAGCAGTGGGCCCCAGAGACATGGTGTGCAGGCCCACCGGCGTGTGGACATGCCCTGGCGCCATGTCAACCACTGCCCCAGTTAAGGCAGTTCATCTAAAAAAATCCAGAGCCGGAGTCCCGAAGGCAGTCTGATGTTGACTCAACACCTTACTGGCAACTCCTGCGGCGTCTCTGATCCCAAATTGTACTGGCCTCTGCCTTTCCTTTGGACCCATCACTGACGCAAAGAGGGGGGATCCGCTGAATGGGCTACAGCCTTTCATCCATAGAAATCAGCCCAGGCCTGCTGCTCCCTGGAGAGGACACTCCAGCCTCGCCAAATGGTGTGGATAAAACACGGGAAGCAACAGTCTACCAGTTATAAGTCTAACTCAATTGGTGTAGAGTAAGGCGCTAGGGGTTGCTTCCGATGGTGGGAGAGATCATCGCGTCTCAATGGACAGCTACCGCCCGCCTTAAGCTGGGCAGCCCCTGGCCAGTTGAATGCTGTCCCGCCACAGTTCGCCTGCCTCACTGGGTGCGTGGGGCTCAGGGTTTTAACTAGCCTGACAAGCGGACTGAAAAACCCATGTACCAGACAACAACAAAAGAAAACCAAGGAAAAAGCCGGCACTCAAGATTGGGTGCTGGAATGTACGGACAATGACCACTGGACTGACTGAAAACCTGCAGGAGATCAGTGACTCACGCAAGACAGCGGTGATCAACAATGAGCTACTGAGACTGCAGGTCGACATTGCTGCACTTCAAGAAACTCGCCTATTGGGCTCAGGCACCCTGCGCGAGAGGGATTTTACTTTCTTCTGGCAGGGAAAGGGGCCAGAGGAGATCAGAGAGCATGGTGTCGGCTTCGCTGTCCGAAACACACTTATAGGGATGACCGAACCATGCGAGCAAGGAACAGAGAGAATTCTCACACTACGCTTACATACAACTGATGGACCAGTCAACCTCGTTAGTGCCTACGCTCCTACCCTCTACTCTTCGCAAGAAGCCAAGGATGAGTTTTACGACCAGTTGCAGACCGTCATACAGGGGATCCCCAGTCGGAAACAACTGCTGCTGCTCGGCGACTTCAATGCCAGAGTGGGTGCTGATCGTGACTTCTGGCCCACCTGCTTGGGAAGGCACGGAATTGGGAAAATAAATGAGAACGGGCAATGTCTACTGGAGCTGTGTACATTGCAAAACCTTTGCATCACCAACTCTTTTTTTTTCAGACCAAGCCACAACACAAGGTATCTTGGAGACATCCCAGATCTAAACACTGGCACCAACTGGACCTAATCATTACCAGGCGAGACCATCTGAGGAACGTGCTCACCACCTGTTCCTGTCAGAGCGCCGACTGCCACACTGATCATTCCCTTGTGTGCTGCAAGATCAGGCTCCAGCCAAAGAAGATGCACAAAGCCAAACCTCTTGGCAAACCACGCATAGACGTCAGCAAGACCTCACTTTCGAAGAGGGTGGAATCCTTTAGCAAGAATCTGAAAGAAAGCTCTCTTCGCAGACCCCCAAGGGAGGGAAGACGCTCAACAGAGATGGAGCCAGTTGAGGCAAATCGTCTATAACAGTGCTTTAAGCCTTCGAGAAGAAGCAAAAGAAGACTCACCTGGACTGGTTTGAAGCAAATTCCAGTGAGCTCAACCCCGTCATTGAAGAAAAACATGATGCACTACTAGAACACAAACGCAACCCCAGCCAAGCAACACAGCAAGCTCTGAAGTCAGCTCAAACCAAAGTCCAGAAAAGAGCCAGAAGATGCGCCAATGACTATTGGTTGCAGCTCTGTAAAGATATTCAGACATCAGCCGACACGGGCAACATCCGAGGGGCCGGTCTATGATGGGATAAAGAGAGCCATGGGACCCACACAAACCAAGGCGCCTCTTAAATCCTCAACAGGTGAAGTCATCAAGGATTAAGCCAAGCAAATGGACAGATGGGTTGAGCATTACTCGGAGCTGTACTCCAGAGAAAACATCGTCTCCGATGATGCCTTTGACGTTATTGAGAGCTTGCCTTGTATGATGGAGCTGGGCGGCACGACCACGGTGATGGAGTTGAGAAAAGCAATAGACAACCTGCCCACTGGAAAGGCTCCTGGACTTGATGGCATTCCACCTGAGGAACATCAAGTGTGCGAAAGGAGTCTTACTGAGCCACCTGTTTGAATTAATCTGCCAGTGCTGGACGGAGGGACAAGTACCTCAGGATATGAGAGATAGCAACATCGTCACCCTTTACAAGAATAAAGGGGACAGGAGTGATTGTAATAATTACAGGGGCATCTCTCTACTGAATATCGTTGGCAAGGTCTATGCAGGTGTCATCCTGAACAGATTGCAAAAACTGGCCGACAGAGTCTATCCCGAGTCTCAGTGTGGCTTCAGGTCAAGGCGCTCAACAATAGACATGGTCTTCTCCCTACGCCAGCTACAGGAGAGGTGCAGAGAGCAGAGACAGCCACTGAACACTGCCTTCATTGACCTCACAAAGGCCTTCGACCTTGGGAGTCGCGATGGCCTGTTCCGGATCCTAGCCAAGATCGGATGCCCACCCAAGCTACTCAGTGTGATCCAGGCGTTCCACACTGACATGAAAGGTGTTGTGCAGTTCGACAGCGCTTCCTCCAAGGCTTTCAGCATCTGCAATGGTGTTAAGCAGGGGTGTGTGCTTGCTCCAACCCTGTTTGGCATCTTCCTTGCTGTCATGCTGAAGCATGCCTTTGGCTCATCTACAGAGGGCGTGTACCTCCACACCCGATCGGATGGTTGCCAGCTAAAAGCGAAGACCAAAGTTCGTGAGGCGGTCATCAGGGATATGCTCTTTGCAGACGATGCAGCTTTAGCCACCCATACAGAGCAGCAGCTACAAAGTCTCATGGACAGTTTCTCATGTGCCGGCATGACCATCAGCATAAAAAAGACTAAAGTGTTGGGCCAGGGCGTTGAACAGCCACTGGTCATCTCAGTCAATAACAGCAAGCTGGAGGTTGTGCACGAACTCACCTATCTAGGCTCAACAGTGTCAGACGACCTCCCTCTTTACACTGAGATAAATAGGCGCATTGGGCAAGCGGCCTCTACCTACCTTTGCCAGGCTTACCAAAAGGGTCTGGGAAAACGGCAAGTTGACCATCCACACCAAGACGGCCATCTACAGAACCTGCCTTCTCAGTACCCTCCTTTATGGCAGTGAGTCCTGGGCCCTATACTCAACACAGGAAAAGAGGCTCAACACATTCCATCGGTGAAATCTGCGGCGCATTCTTGGCATCAAGTGGTCTGACCATGTGACAAACACCGAGGTCCTTGCCCAGGCTGGCATTCAGAGCCTGGTCACCCTTCTCCAACAATGCAGACTCCGCTGGCTTGGACATGTCTACTGCATACCAGAAGGGAGGATCCCAAAGGTCCTGCTGTATGGTGAACTGGCTACTGGCAAGAGAGCATGTGGACGTCCACTTCTATGCTTCAGAGATGTCTGCAAAAGAGACCTGAAGTCAGTGGACATTGATGTCGAAAGGTGGGAGGAGCTGGCCACTGACCGAGTCAGGTGGAGACAGGAGGTACGAGGTGGACTTGCGAGATCGGAGACTAAGAAGACTCAGGCTGCCAAGGACAAGCACGCTCGCAGAAAAAACAGCCGGCAGGCTGCCCCTCAGGACACCCCCTTCAGGTGCACCGTGTGCTGCAGAGACTGTCACTCACGTATCGGCCTTTATAGCCACAGTAGGCGATGTTCCAGCACAAGCAGATGATGTAGTCTCTACCTTCCAGGCGCAGATCCATGATCTCACGAGATCGAAGGATGCCGACGACATGCACTGGGTGGGACTTAATGCAAATTTTTGCAGGAATGACATGACATTTATTTTATGGCCTCATTTTTTTTCTTAGTATTAAATGTTTGACATGCGTAAATCGGGAGTACTGTAAGGTTTAGCTTTTTTACTTGCACTGTTTTTTGTGTCTTTTTTTGTGTACAATTTTTTTTTCACAACCTGCTTTTTTAAGGTCTGCTGGGGGACTCCATGTAATACCAATTTTGGGGGTCTTTTTCATCAAGAATACATACATTCATATAATTTTTTTTACTTAGCAGATTTTTTTGGTAGGAATGTGCAATAAGTGTTTTTAATGCTCTCTGTTAGTTTTTTTTTACTCATACTGTATGTTTTGTGTAAAGTTTTTTGTAAAGTCTTGTATATTTTGTTGGTTTATTTTATTTCTATGTAATTTTAATGTGAGGGCTCCTTTGGAAAGCAGTTTTTTTAAACTGAAATAAAATAAAAATTGTGTGCAGAGAACACGCAATCATTTTTCTACCGAATGAGTACCAGAAACACTTACAGTTTATCACACATAAATTTCAACATGCAATACTGGGTCATATTCACTCCTGCCTTGACGGAACAACAGTGTAAAGGGGTTTGCTCAAGGACAGCAAGGTTCAAATTTGCAAATGTTGGTGATAAACAATGAAGTACACACCATTGTTCCTGCTGAAATCTCCAGATCTACACCTTGATCCTCATAATGTCCAGCCGAGTCAGTCGGGTAGAAACCTCCTGATGCACACTCCCCAGAGCCAGGCTCTCGGTATTTCCTAGGAAATCTCTCGTGGGCCTTAGGCCCAAACAGTTTCATGACAAGAGCTTGAGACTCTTGGAATCTAGAAGAAAAAAAATATCACGGATTTGTTTGGCAAAGGGCTTTTACACGAGAGCCAAGCTATGGAAATTGTTTTCCACTAATGGAAGACATGTATACCACTGAACATCTTAATAAAACCTATGTACAAATGACATACAGTGAATGCATTTATACTTCGCACGATGAACACAAAAACATTTCCTGCATAGAGTGCATCTTTTATTGGTGTTTGTGTGGCAGGAATGCACCCAATCATAGGCACACTCAGGAGTTTGTAGTCAAATCCTCATAATCACAAGCTATCCACTCTTCAGTCAAGTCACAAGCTACTCAAATGACCTGTTTACTTTAGACACTATTTATCTGACTCGTTAGTGACATCCAATTGTCCTGTGATTGATGAGACTACAACCCAGTACATGTGGCATAACATCGCAGTGAGCGTATTATGTTGACTGAATGATCTGGGCCTAATTTCATGGCTCTATCAAGCGAAAATCAAGTCGGTAATAAATTGGCTGGTTTTACATGTACATGTAGTTCGCCCACCGCGCACCACCCAGCTACCGGCGTAGAAAGATAGGCCTACAGCATACCGTCTCCGGGTCGTTTAGCGTGCAGAATGGCACTAACATACGGTGCGGTTCGTGCCATAGATATAGAATAAAAAGACTAGATCGGCAGTGCAGACATGGGCGGTGCCATTTTTTAGCGTGTGGGGCAAAAGTTGCGTTACGCGCACCTTTTTTCCCGTAGGTTTGTTTGGAAAGATATATTTTTATGTCCGTAAAAGTAACAATTTTGACCTGTAGTAGTTATTTCGCCAACAAAATTTAAAATGGGTTATCAAGCTGCATGTTCATTTCGAAGTTTGGTCCATTTCATTTCTCGTATTTATTTCCCGTTTGCTGGTGCGCGTTGCTTAAAAACCCTTGCATCCAGTTGTTTGAGTGCTATTTTCTTCATCAACAAACAGAATATTCCCGCAATTGTTGCGCTGTCCTTTAATTTAAATTCACGGCAGCTTTTAAGGGACAACACCCAGAATATGTTTTTCTCCGTTGTCCCTTCTCAGGGTATGACATATGCCGTATATCAGATGCAGTTTTGTACTGTTGGATACTGGGGGGCCGGGGATGAACACCCCTCCCCCAGCCCTTCACTAACATTAAAAAAATAGAACAAATAAATTTGTGTTATTTTGCTCTGGACCTCTTGTGACGTATCCAGCATCTGAAAATCTTCAAGAAGGCGCAAGAATCTCACAATGTTGAACAAAATGGGTACTAAAAGTAGAGCATAATGTAAATAAACTTGAAGAGTTAATTAGGTTATTCAGAAGTCCGGAACATTATGGGAAAGTAATTTCATTTCATTCTGAAAACAGTTTTCAGGGGCAATATTATTGTTATTAAAAGTCACACATATAAAATGCAATCCAAGTAAATTGTTCTCATCCCAAAAAGAATAATAATTGTAACACAAATCTCTAAAATCATCCATTGCAACATTTCACAATTTCCTAAACTAATTCAACGGTAATGTAAAGCAGTTTTTACATTCTACTTTTTCCTTTTCACATTGTTTATATACACATTTTATCAGATAAGCTGATTTTATTTGGAGATTTTTTAGCAACGCACACCACCATTTTGAATAGAACAGTAATTACGAGGGGGAAAATGGAGCAAACTTCGAGGTGACTACCCGGCTTGAAAATGCATATTGAAATTTGTTGGATATATAATAACAACTGGTAAAAAATGTTACTGTTACGGACATAAAAATACAAGTTTGTGTACAAACCTACGAAAAGTAGGTGCGAGTAACACACGTTTGCCCCATGCACTACAGCATGTAGAGCGTCCATGCCGGAACAGGAAAATTTGTGCACACTCTATGGCGAGTATACACACGCTGCCGATCTATTTTTTTAAATTCTATATCTATGGTTCGTGCATCCTCAGCACAAGCGTGCAGGTCAATACCAATTACAGACTTGAATAATCTGTTCAAGGCTTTGTACACATTGCATGGGACTCGCCACCAGATTTGGACGAAGCAGTCTGATTGGTTAAAAGAATAAGGAGACTCATAAAAGCATTACAACAAGTACGCACGGGCGAGGTGACAAACTTTAATGAGCTCTGATATCATCATTTCATTTAAATACAGCAATTACCATGCGCACTGGTTTGGGAAGAAATGAATACACATTTAGCGAATACGCGGTGACCTGATTTAACTGCATGCATGCGCAGTAAACAAATGACGATTACCCAATCAGCATGCAGTACCGTGCGTGAAAAGCTAGCTGAACGCGCACGCGCACCCGGTGCACACACAAGCCAAAATGGGGTTATCGGTTGATTATATAGTTGATCAACTTCAGATTGATTAATGGTTTATGAATATTGCAAAGAACGTACATGTTTTGTGAATTTCATTCAAATTTGGTTTGAATATTCACTAGAGTTGACAGCAACTAGCTGTGCAGTTACTTTATGAATAAACTTCGTGAGTGACAGGCAAATACACCGCCCCCAATGCCATCTCGCCGAGCGACCCGGCCACCTAAAACGCATGTATTGTTAATGGATGTCTGACATAGTGAGTGTGCCCTAAGTGCAATTGCTGTCGTTTTGAATTCGATAAGTACGTACATAAAATTTTTCCACAAGCAGAAATATTTGGTTTCTACAGCAAGCAGAAAAACTAAATTTACACTGGGTACAGTTACTATGTTCAGTACATGTTTCTTTTAGGAGTTATGGTTTCAGTAAGTCAAGGGTGTATGCATCAGCCTATACCATCTGTGTGGGAATAACAGCGCACATTTCAATGCTAATCGTTTGTATGGAGGATGGCTATTCACTTAAATGATTCATATTACTCCACACATCTAGCATGTCTTGTGTATAGTCATGCACGTGTTAAAACTTAAGCATGTGCAGAAACGTGTCAGTGCGTGGGGAATGCAATACAACATGGAACGAATCCCATTCCCGACCATTGGTCAAAAGCTAATTCCTGGGTTGTTTGGTATTCCATCATATTATTTACTTACTCGGAAAACAATAATTTGGCTTCTTATATTTTCTAATTTATTATAATTATACCACTGAGTGTAAAATTAAATAGAAATCTTTAGAAAAAAAAAAGACAAAAGATATCCCGCCCCCCAATAATGGATGCTTCTTCAGCGGTGTACAGGTGAGCTATCATTGGAAATGTAAGGCACATGCAGTTTGCTGGGTGCATAAATGAATATCCGTCTGAAATTATGTTAGTCAAGATGCTAGACAACAATAAACTTGATACGAAGCACCGTGCTAGTAAATACTGGGGTTGCCGACTGACAAAACAAGACTGTCTAATGACTTGTCCTCAAGTCTAGCTTATGATTAATTAATAGTTTTGGTGCTTAGCAATCTTGAGTGCTGAGCAGTCCTTCCACACACACACTCACCCTTTCTTCAGTGTTTGATAGGCTTCTTTGACAGCATCAATAGTACTGAACACAATGTCATACAGATCAAAGAATGGTTGTAAGAGATTCACGATGGGCTGTATGGGTTCCATCAAATCTTGGAAGATGGACTCAATCTCATCTTGGACTCGCCTCCTCAATGTGCGCTATAGTTGTGAGAGAAAAATAAAATGTGAAACAGAAGACTGAAATGACAGAGATTGGATCGGCCAGGAAGACAATTGTGGAGCTTGTGTAAACTGTTAGAAATTGGAGTTCAAACCCAGCCAAGGGATCTTAGTTCTTGTGTCCTTCAGCAGGACACCTTGCTACAATTGTATCTCTTCATCACTCAGGAACAAACTGTTGCTCTTGTGGCAGAATTGATTGTCATTACCTTAGTTTTGACCAAACATAAAACATGGTTGTTGAATAATCCAACACACAAGTCCTTGCTTGTAGAATTGAAGCAACTTTAAAAATACTGCGGAATTCGGAGAAAAACATGAGAGTATTGATCATCTGACAAATTATTTAATGGTACATACATTTTTGTAAAATGCTTTTACTATTTGGGATGCAAATTGAATGTCAACTGTAGCCAAATGTCTGTCATGGCAGTACTTGTGACATCATCATTTGATTGGACTATTACAAAAAAAAACAAGGATATTTCACAGTTAGAAATATGAGAGTGTTTATGATTTACTTTAATATTTTAAATTTTGCAATTTTATTCAATTTTGCAATTTTAATTATTAAAAATATACAGGATGGAATTCTCTCTGTAAAAAAAAAAATATTGTTCTTGCTGAAAAGTAAATTATTCTTCATTTCGTGCATCCTGAGAGTTACTACCCTTACCGAATCCACTGCTCCCCCTGTCAGCTTCTTGACGGGATCTGAGGAACCCTCAATCTCATCCACCCAAACACTAAGATCTCGTCTGATGTTGCCGAGATGCTCCTTTAATTCTTTCAGCATATCACCGACGACCTTGGGCAGATCAAACCAGTAGGGTCTCTGACCTGGCAAGCAGATAGAATGCATCCATGGTATGATTCTGGTCCTTGCTTGTGCATCAGGCTTTTGCAGGTTTTCATAGGTAATAACCAGATTTCACAAAATAAGTCTGGTTGCACTGATGACATCCGACTCCTTTTGTTAGGTAAGGTTACATAAATTTGTTTCTGACACAAGATGCATATCAAGGATTTGTCTTTCTAGAGGGTTTAATTACCAGTTATTTTGTTGCCATTATTTGAAAAGCAGCTAGGGTGGGTGGATCTTATCTGATACTACATGTAGGAGGCACTGTTCATAATGTCCACAACAATGTTTTAGCTTCCATTTCTTTACACCTGTATACATGTAGTTGTTCTGGGTTTTTGCGCATGGCTCAAGCCACCAGAGCAAACCCTTGGGTGCACCAATCACACAATTCATGAACCCTTCCACCACTTTTCCAATCATCCTAAATGCATCATTATTATTAAAGGGAAGATACAACATTTGCAAACATCAAAAACCAAAATAATCAAATTATCTACCGCACACACCGCGCGTGCCGTGCCGAGACGACCTCAACGACCCTTGTGTGTGCTTTGTGTGCATGTACTTGCGCCTCACACACACTTCCGCAAACAGCCGTAAAGACGAGGCGGAGGATAGTCTTGACGCAACCGTGGCGAATTCCTTATGTGTTTCTTTATATTTTCGGCCAAACTCGGCCGAGAATTTCTGATGCGCTTACACGATATCAAATCAAAGCCCGTAAACTTTGAACCGTGACATACATATTCATGAAGCCCGCAAATTACCGTAAAAACCACAAAGGTCCACTCAAAAATAAATGTCCAAGTATTCCAATCCCATTTTTAAACAATTTTCCAGTTTTATTCCAAACAAATGAAATATGCCGCTATTATATGAATGAACACTTGTTCAAAATGATGATACTATCTCCAATGTATTGCGAATTGGACAGTTCAAGACAGTTCATATCGGCCAACGTTTATTGCCCAGTGCAACAGCGTACATCACGCCGCTACCCGTACCTGCCCGTGACATTCTGACCGTAGTGAATGTAGGGAACAGGTCAACTCGGACCCAGGTCAAATCGTACACATTTTATCGAATGCAGGTTAACTCGTATATATAAAGTCATGTCGCACCGAGCCGTGTGAATTAACTGCAAGAAACAAGCTATTGACTTTGGGTTGGAAATATACGAAACTGTCATATGGGACTTGGTGAATAAAATCTCTCCCTGAATTTGTACCATGTGCAACATATATCTCATACGTACGACATATATGTATTTTAATGCATACGTACGAATTGTATGTCATACATACCCTGTCGACATATTATGTCGTACCCTGTCAGTATATTAGTCGTACTCTGTCAACATATACGTGCCTACAGTGGACGGCCCTGACGTGGTCTCTGTGCACGGTGACATCATTTTTGCCGGCGTGCAGTTTGTACCGTTCGCTGTTATGTGAAAGCCTAATTTTCATCCTTTTTCATTTCATTTTCGACCCAAACTATTTATAACTATATGAATATTATTCTACTATTATTTACGATTTCAAGGGGATGTTTTACAATAATTATTGTTACCACAGGGCCATCTGGTTTATAAACCTTTGGTCGCATTATGCAATTTAATAAATATTCATTTTTTTGTCAGCCATTATTCAATGAGAGAAGACTGTTTACCATAGCGCGTACTAATTATCATATTGGGCCTACACGGTTGCGTCAAGGCTATCCTCCGCCTCGACTTACTGTACGGCTGTTTACGGAAGTGTGTGTGAGGCGTACTATGCACACAAAGCACACGCAAGGGTCGTTGAGGCTAACGGTATACCTGTAGTATGTACAACTATAGTGTGTCGCGGCACGCGCTGTGTGCGGTAGCTGGAACAAGCTCGTATGGGAACAAGCTGATAGCCTTGGTCAAGGCTAACCTAGACCGGTATGTGTTACAGATGAAATTGATGTGATGTCATGATGATGTCCTCACCTGACATGTGACGTAATAATTCAAAGCCCTATGAGAATGTAGTCACATATTACATGCCAACATTTATTAACAGAACTACACATCCATCCTGGATGGAAATCATACTTGAAACTTTATATGTCATGTCACAAAAAAGTCGCCAAAAACAGCCCCGTGTTTGTCCACAAACAGAAGTCTAGCTTTGCATTTGCAGCTGCAGAATGGGAACCAGACAATGGAACTTTCATGGACAGAGCACCATTAAAAATTTATGTTAAAATATAGCCGATACCTTTAGTAGACAAGGTGAGAGAAAATTTGCAAATTTTGGAAAGCAAAAGTATTTATTAAAAATCATTAAAAGTCCAGAAAGACACGTTTCTTTTATCATACTCGTTTTACAAGGGAGAAAGTCCTTAATGCCTGGTGAACTGGATAAATCAAATTGCCACGTGAAGGTGTTTTGGCAACACAAAAAGAGAAATTTCCAGTACAATTTTTTTTTACAAATTTTCAAAGGAAAAGAGGTCTTTTCATTTTAACTTTCGGTCTGATGACGTCATCATTTTTTTCATGCACAGGTGTTGTCTGCATTAAGGTCAACATATACACTAATTTTGAAGCGATTGCCGCACACTTCACCACACACTTCACACACATCAACTAAATGTTCAATTCTTGACTTTTTCAATCTGCCGCTAGAGGGCACTCCAACATTTTATGACGTCACCGGTAATTTTTTTTGTCAAGTACAACCTAGCCAGAGACTTACATCATTGAAAGCAAGTTCACATCATTTTCCAATTTTAAATTATAAGTCACTTACGGTTTGGACTGGAAGGAAGGGTCGCATTATTCGGCCCACGTGAAATAAAATGAAGATCCAGAATTATATAATGAATTCCCGCAAATATCAAGCTCAGGTCTCTTACAGTTGATTTTATATGGAATTTCAAAGAATAAATCTAGAAATCTTTAATAAGACGAAACGTGACCCATAATCTTCGCGGCACATCTATACTATGAGGACTGTGCTTAGCTGACTTTGAATGATGTACATGTATGAAAAGATGAATGGTAGAAGTGAAGGGCGGAAAAGACATGTATAATGTCTATGAGATTTTTCAGAGACAAAAAAAGAAGGAAAAACTGAGAAAAAAAGAAAGGCTTTTCCGCACTATGCGGAAAAGCCAAAAATTTAGTCATCAGTTTGTCAGAATAGGACCAAGTGCAAGAAGTTCAACGAACCTTTTCTAATCCCCAATTCATCACAGCACTGCCACATGATTTAGTAAGAAAATAACGCCAGTAATAAGAGTGCCTTACCTTCCTTGATAAAGTTGGCTTCTTCCACCCTTTTCTTGGCATCTATGAGATCAGTAATTGCAGTCTTGATGCTATTAAATAAGAGTAAGAACTTTCAACATTGTATGATCTACCCATAGTTTTAGATATCAATAAAGATGCCTGTTTATTTAATGGCAGGAATGTTAATGTCTGCCTCTATGGGCATGAGTTTAGCCAAAATATGTTGAAGTAGTCTGTAGCTACACCAAGTGACCTAGGCTACTCTGCAAAGTGAAGAGGAATCACAGGTGTATCCTAGCCCTAAACAGAAATATATATTAAATAATGGACATTTACATCGGGCTCATGTACAGTTTAATATTAGGCGTTTACCCTTCATTAAATATTTTTACTTGATACTCATTGTGGTACTGTCTATGATATAACTGACCAGATGACCCCAGCAAGCCTGGTGGTCAGATGTTAGATGTTAAGATATTTCCAACAGCGAGTCAGAAATTGTTGGTACGTGCCCCCATGATAAAACTCTATAATTTTTTTCTTAAAAGCTCTCTAACAGCAAAGATTCAATCAATATTAAAATCACTTTTACCCCTAATGGGAACCCCAAATCCTTGCAATCTCATTTATAAACTCTGCACACTCACTTGATGACTCCTTTAAAGATGTCTCCGATGGCTTTCAGTGGTGACTTGAGTAGATTGGCAATGGAATCTCCAATTGTAGTAATAGCCTTCCAGATCTGCTCTGCTGCCTTGGGCAAGGTGACTGTGATGGCATTACTGATGGCCTGTACAGATACAAATCCATGTCAAAATCCATTACCCAGGGTTCCACCTTAACTTTTTTGTTCACTAGCCAGCCGGCTACTGAAACAGACTCTTAAATAGCCCACAGGCATATGTTCACCGCTAGCCCACATGTTTTTGAGTGGTCGGGCACAACCCGACCACTGTCTATGAACTTGTAACTTTCAACATATATCAACCCTCATCCCGAGTTACCCTGACGTCATGATGACGTCATCGGGTGTCAAGTTACAAGCGATTTTAGCTGGAAAAAATTGACGATCTTCTTTCACCTGTAACTCTTGAACAAAATGATTAATTATTTTCCACCTTGTAATCAGATAAACCATTAATTGATCAACATTTTTTGTTTGGTACGTGAACTCGCTTGACCTTTACTTTTGGATCTACTGGAAGGTCAAAGTTAGGTGAATTCAAAATGAATATATTAGCCTGAAATCAAAACAAAGCACAATTTCTTCTGAACTGTTCACGGGATGATCATAAAACCTAGTGTGAATTTGAATCATGTTACAAAGATGTTATAAATTTTGTTATGTCATCATGACATCATCGGGTATCAAATTACAAGCAATTTGAGAGCACAATTTGACAAAAAAAATGTTAGCTATATCTCTTAAACTAATTAGAGTAACGTGTTCATTTTTTCATGAGATTGTAGACATTTCTTATTCCCTGGCACAAAACTGCTTGACCTTAACTTCCGGTGTTACCGGAAGTGCAATAGAAATTGAATCTAACTCTAAAATGTAAGTATTTTACTACAAATATATTATGGAAGTGTTAAGAGAGGAAAGCCAAATACAAATACATAATTTTGACGTCATCCTTGAAAAGGCGTCCTCTAGCGATACATCAAAAAGAATTTAATCTTTTCAAATTTAAAGGCCCTCAAATCAAAATTTTACCACATTTTCCCTTCATATTCTGTTAGCAACCACGAATGAATTTGCAAGGTTTCACAATCATGACGTCATCAAACTGGAAGTTACTGTAGGGAGAATTTAACAATGATCTTTTTATTTATTTTACATCCATTATTTGATCCCCGTCTCATGAGTTTGTTCCTAGGCCAATTTATGACATCTGTTACACTTAGTGTTGACCTGACCTATTGCTTTCAAATACTATGACGTCATCTAACCGGAAGTTGGGTGCTATTATTACATACACTTAAAATGTCAATATTTCTATGGGTTATTTTTACTTAATGATAAAGGTATCCTCCTTGAACTAAATCAGTATTCCCTTCCCTTTTTTGACTGATGATGTCATCAAACCGGAAATAACTTGTTCATGTACCTCAAATGTATACGGAAATTAATCATCCCCAAACAGATGCATTATTTTTACAAAATAATTGGTTGTTCTGGAAAGATTAAAGTTGGAGAATTTTTGTTCTGACATAAACATATTCATAACTTAACTGGACAATGTATAATGAAATAGTTGTCTACCCGACCACTCTGCGTTTGTAATATTTAACAAATGCAAACCTCTAGTTTTCTTTTATATTGTCTCATAAACAACAATGTGCATACATGTAACATGTATAGGGCCTGAAAGTTGACCCCTGGTAGCGCTTCAGGGCCCCTCAAAAAGTAAAATTAATGTGTAAAAGTCAGAGTTTTTAAAATTAGTTTGGTAATAGTATACTGATTTCTTTAAAAAATCACCCTTGGAATTTTATGGAAACTGAAAAATCGCATGAAATATCCGGCCAAAATTGACCTGTCACTTCCGAAAACTTCCGTGTGGACTCATGGAATTCGATCACTCGTTTAAGCATGAACATTCATGGAATAATTTTGTGCGAGACAATTTTATTTTGAAAAAAAAAACTTGTTGAAGGATTTATTTTCATTTATAAACAAATCTAAAATGACCATTGATAAGAACTGTATTAAAACATGATCCAAACGAAATCTAGAATCCATCAGATGTAAATAGGTATTAGAATCCATCAGATGTAAATAGGTATTAGAATATACTCGTTCTCACGCAAGTACACGATGTGAAAACTGACATGATCGAACAAGGAGACCTAGGTACGAAAATAGGTCGTAAGTCAAATTTGCTTTTACGCATTTCCAACTGATTTCTAGGTTTGATTTTTGAATTAATTTTAATTATTCACTGTATCAAACTTCAAAAAAACTGCCACAGTTGGTTCGGTGAAATGAAATAAAATTGTAAGCAGGTACACACTAACGGATGAACTGGTATTTACATTACATTGCACCATGGAGCCAAAGCTCCATGATTGCACGTACTCACGTACGTAGCATCTTCTTCTGGAACCAGTTTTGACTGGTTCCTATTCTACCACTCGACCCATGAACTGTTACTATTTGTGTTACATTGCAGGTAGTCAGGTCGCATCTTCTTCTTAGAGACCCAGTCTACCCCTGCTACAGACTGGTTCCTGGTCCACCACTCGGCCCTGAACAAGTGAACGTCACAACTGGGCATTGGCCAAAGTGATAATGGAACAGGGAACCAAGCGTCAGAGGTTGTGGCCTTGACTACAACAATGCTGGGTACCATATACCACTCAGCCTTTGGCCTTGTGGCAAATTGAACGCAAATGCACTACATTATGCACTTGCACTCTTGCAATATCTTCAAGCAAATTCAGACGCAGAAAAGATCCGGGCACGCTTTAGACAGTAGTCATTGTATTACACATGTGTGCAGCATGAATAGCACGATTTGAGTTGGCTTGAAGATAATTATTATTATTATCTGAGTTTAGGTCAAGTCCACACAATCCATCAAAAGTTCATCACAAGTCATCTAACCTGCAGTGTCAAGTGTTCAGCTATTCCACTGAACAGTGGCCAAGACATTCCTTTGCCACTTGTTACCTTACTTGTGAATGACTTGTGATTTGGTTTGTGATCGACATTTGATCTGACTTGAGACAAGACTTGTGAGGGACTTTTGTGATGGACACAACTACAACTTTCAATAATGACCTGGTAGAATTCCATGACATCTGTCTTGATATCACTGAATAACTGAGTAGCCTTGTTGACCACATTAATGACACCTCTGAAGGACCGTGGTAGCTGATCAGGATCAAACTGAGACAGTCTGGATACAGCCTTGGTAGCCACAGATCTCACGTTCTATGTACAGGAAATAAACAATTCAAAACGTTACAAGACAATGCTAAGAAGCAGTGCATAAGCCAATCAACACCTGTTTCAGACTGGCATTCAAGAGTTCTGCTGACCCCGATTATTCGGAAGATTTGTACTAAAGCCTATAGCACACCTTTCAGGTTTTACAGCTTCCCTGGGCCACATAAGAGAGGTGTGCGAAGAACTATTGGACCAATCTGACCGTACACTGGGCGTTAGGATGAAATCAAACTGTTCGATCTTTTCGCATTCGATTTCACCAGATCCGATGTCACCAGAAAGGTGTGCGGGCAGCAGCCTAATTTCACTGGCCGTAATATTTATGTTAACCAATCAGATTCACGAAGGAAGTCACATGATTAAAAATTGACAGCTGCCATTTTGTCATCATGTGACTGGTCACCAAGTGATAGATCATCATTTGAGCGATTATACAACAGAATCGGGCACGTATGTGGGTTAACAATGCTTTCGCCACAATGGTAAAAAAATAACATACTGGTGAACAGGTGAACCTGTAAAATTGGAAAGCTTTGCAGCAGGTTTTAGTATATGACTTTGACAATAAATTTTGTATCTGGTCAGGGTTGGCATTTTATTTTTGTTCTTTTAAATTAAAAAAAAAATCGGATTTACTGGTATTTGATTTAAATCAGATTTCAAAACATTGGTATGTCTAAAAATGTTTACAAATCTCCCAATGCATCCTTACACCATCACCAAGGAGTTTACAGGTTCCTATAATAACCATCTTCCACAAAACTCAACAAATTGATAAATGCTTTTGAACACAATTGTACTGAATCAGTGATTATAGAAAAATCACTTGATTTCATCTACATGTACGTGCGGTCTACATCACTGGTTCAATGGTACGATGTACATTAATACTGAAGACACTTAAGGGTGCCTGGCTTGATTGAAATACATTGTACAGCTGAGATACGGTGTTTGAAGCAACAAAAGTGCTCAAAATCTAAAGAAGAGTGCTTAACAACTAACGTGATGAAGTTTTAGCTCAGTGAATGCTATACATTCCGAGGAAACAATATTCTTGAATCTCTATTTCAATTTACAAGTTGCCGAATCATATTTTGAATTACGACCAAAATCAGTATCTGGGACATGTTCTCAATCAGCCGATTGCAGCTACGCGATATATGTCACCCACTGAACCGACGAATTATAGCAACCGGCCGCATGTGCATTGTGTCAATGCTTGCGTGACCCAATCGCCGAATTAAAACAATTACTGACTGAAATTTCCAAAAATGTATCTTTAGCCGCATCATTGGAATGACCTTCTTTTATTATTTTCTTCAAAATGACAGCATGCCAGAAAAAATAATTTCACAAACCAAATAAGAGTTTCAACAATAACTTTGTCAGTTACTTTTTGGATAGCTGCAAATAATGTTCTTTAACTTTAAGTCAATCGAAAATCTATTTTGGTGAACCTTAGTCGCTCATCAATAATACTATGATTGGTTGGACACGAATCTTGAACCTCAATCTGAAACAGGTGTCAGGAATAAGCAGCTGCATGCCTAGCTAGAGTACCTGCGTAGCCAATGAGCTGAGAACATGTCACAAGTGATGTCAGATCAGGACGCACTCTCCTGCTGAGCAGATTTATACACTGCCAAAAATAAATTTCTTAAGCAAGAAAAATATTCTTGAATAAAGAATATAATTCTTGTTCAAAGAAATTTCATAAGAAAATCTTGTTTTGGAAAGTTTTTAAAACATTAAGAAAATTGTTTTAACACAAGTTTTTTTTCTGAGGCAATTTCTAATTTTAAGAATATTTTCCTTATTTTAAGAATATTTTTTTCTTCAGAGAGAAACATGATTTCTGGAAAATGGTATTCTTGAGCAGGAAAGTTTTTCTTAGCACAAGAAAACTTTTCCTATTTCAAAAGCACAAAACAATTATTTTTCTTAAAATAGTACAATTTGTAAATGTTAAAAGACACCTATATGCTAAGCAAGAATCAGCTAACAACCCATAATATGCACTGAACTTTGCATGGTATTTTGGTTGGTAACTCTTTTTGCAAAGCAAAATATGTAACAAGCTTATTAGCAGCCCCGTGAAACTTCCTTGGGGTGGTATCAAAGAAAACTGAAATACAGCCTGCCAACTATGTCTTGCATGTACATACTTACAGTAATGCTACTGGGGATGTTCTCCAGAGCTTGAACAAAGTCGTCAAATAGCTGAGAGATGCTTATGTCACCGTTGAAGAGACCAACAACAATGTCCACTGCCCTACGGATGTTTCCAATTACTTGCCCAACGATGAGATCGTATGCTTTGACAAAGTCACTAATGCGCTCCACGCCAAACTCCTGATTGAAACAATACATAGCATCAGATGACATAACAGCCAATTTACACACACCCTACTTTTTTTTATTAAGAAAGCACAAATCGATTTGCATGTGTACATTTAAAGCGGCAAAGTCCTACGTCTTATTGCCCACTGATTTGAGTGTATTTATGAAAATGTGCAACAGTCGCGCAACCATAAAACACTATATTTGAAATTACACAATTTTGAACTTTCCAATACAAATTTCTTCATAAAGGCCCTGTCACACTGTCTGCGATCTTATATGCGCTCTCACTGCGTCCTTGAAAAATAGTTGGGGCGCAACAACAACTACTAGATCGCAGCGACAACTACATAGGTCGTCAGATGGGCGCCAGAGGGTCTTAATGGTCTCCGATGAGCGCAAAGGTCTTTGAACATGCTCAAAAAAATCGCAACACCTCTGCGCTCTGGCCAGGTCGCCGTAATGACGCAACTCGGGCGCTGTGCGAGCGTGAATCGTGCGACATTGAAGTGGCATTGAGGCAGCTTAGGCGCAAGGCAGTCGACGTAGTCTCCATGAGAAAGTAACTCGACTGCGATGAACTTGTAGAATAATTTTTGAAACTGGACTGTGTATTGACCGTTTTGTCGTGGTATTTATACAGCGCAAGTGACGTCACGTGAGCGTATTTTAGTCGGATAGAGAGCGCGATGCGAGCTACTAGGACGTATCAACAGCGAGCAGAGCGTAGTGTGGGCGCAGTGACAGCGCAGTGGCAGCGACCAGATTGAGTAATTGGGCTTGACAGGGGCGCATAGAGAGCAAGTTGAACGCATCGTAAACGCGGGAAGAGCACAGTATGAGCGTAGCTTGAGCTTCTTTGAGACAGAAAGTTGTCATTTTCTTGCGTCCTCGCTGCGATTATTAAATTTATTTTAAAAAATTGGTCGCCGTAAGGTCTCCTATGAGAGCGCATATAATGTGACAGGCCCTTAAGAATGCACTGAGAATGCAATAAAGCACCAAAACTTGACTAGGTTTACCCATTTTTGTTCGGATAAATAAATTTATGGTGTATGGGCGGAAATTGGCTGATGAAAAAATGCAACTTCACCCTCTGATCATGAGAATGTGAACCAGTGTTGTAGTCGAAATCAGATAGTCCGAGACTGAGACCAAGACGGAGACCTGAAGTTTCGAGACCGAGACCGAGACCAGCCCCTTCAAGGCGGACCGAGACCGAGACCGAAATGATCCGAGACCGAGACCGAGACGGAGACCGCTGATAATAGATAACAATAACCTAAATAAAATACAAGACACATAATTAGCTGTTTCGCTGACACACCGAAACAGCTCTTGTTTTCATTAAGATTTTTGTTCTTCTTTATTCTTCTTCAGACTCCTCTCCATAGGTTTTGTACACGTTTTTCTTTTACCCATACACTTTTGCACTTTCATATGTCTGATTGACTTTACACTTGGCAGACACTTAGACCAGCAGCCGAAGATGGACCCGATGATTTTCGTAATGATGACGTCATCATGTGTCACGTGACGTCATATTAAATGTGTATTTTTCAAAACGCTATTTCTGAAGTACAAGTCCGATTGGGTGGAAATACACAGGGATGTGTTAGAGATGAAAATTGAAGTGATGTCATCATATGTCATGTGACGTCCATTAAAGGGGCATATTTTATAAAGGTCTATATCTATATGTTTGATTTTGCTCTACGTTACTTGATATGAACGTATGTGCTGTGTTCTAGATCACATTTAAAGTGTTCATCACGTGCACAGAGTATTTCAAATATCCGAAACAGCTTGTGTTTGTCCACAAACACAATTCTGGTTGTAACCTTTCTATTCACGAAGATTACAGACAAAATTTTGACAAGTGGCAAATTGATACATAGCATCTTCCTCGAGCAAGAAGTACCTGTAGTTACACTTGAGAAACATGGGCTTTGATATGTTGTCTGCACCCAATCTTGACAAAAGTAAAAAGTTAAAGGTAGATGTTTCATCTGTTATAGGAAACTCGGATCCTAAACTCCACAGACACCCCTTGGTTTCAGCTATGACTTCTAAGGGATACTAAAGATGCAATTTGTATTTTACATTGGGCCTCTTTTTTTTTTCTAATATAAATATAGGACTCAACTTCTACCAAGACTTGTGCACTAGAAAATGTTGAACTACTTTTTAAATGTCCGTCATGGAGTATGGACTTGTACATGTAGACCCACAACTGGGGACTTTCCAACATGCGGTCCAAATCAACCACGATATATAACGATACGTCAACAAGCTGGGCAACATGAACTACTGGCTATAGCAATTTTTTTAAATATCAACGGTACTGAACGAAGTGAACACAAAGTAATCGATCGAGCTGTAAATGCTACATATTGCCGGTCTCGACCCGAGACCAGCCAAAATATCGAGACCAAAGGGGACCTAGACCGAGACCAAGACCGAGACCACAGCTCCCGAGACCAAGACCGAGACCGAGACCAGCAAAAACTAGTCACAAGACCGGTCTCGAGACCGAGACCGGTCTCGAGACCTGCAACACTGATGTGAACAATTATCCTTGTTTCTGTAATCAGTTTGGATTTTTTTTTGCACCGAGGACAGTTACTTGCATACTATACGTGCATCTCAAATTCTATAAACAATAAGCCTCTGTACTAATGACGTCTCACTTTGTTGATGTGTATGCTTTCCTATGGTGTTCAGTGGACTGTGGGCCCGCACTGGCTCCATAGGAAAGTGCACATGTAAACAAAGTGTGACATCATTAGTACAGAGGCTTACTTTCTTCGTGTGAGGGTATTAGGGTATTAGTACATGTAGGTACTCTTTACTCAAATTCATGAATTACCTCCTGCAAAGGTAATAACTTCGGGCCACCACACAGCCAAGCCCGGGTGTAATCCTCTAATACATGCGTAACCCAAAATGGAGTAATAATATCATCGAAAACCTGTAACTGGTTACAATGTGCCTGATGTCAAAATGGTGGCGTCCTGTATTCCAATCCTCAAAGTGTCACTGTTTGGATAGCAGCTTTTGTTAAAATCCTCAAAAATTATTTGTGACCGAAAAGGAAATTTTGCCAGTGATACAATATCTTTATGCACAGAATGGAAAAGTTCAGCCCCTGTAGAATCTTTATTTTCATTGTTTGTGTCGGACATTTTTTTAAAAATATAGCGAACAACTAAGGAAAACCGGTCGCCTTGCTTGCAAACATTAATCGACATTGATGGCCAACAATCGGTCCTACGTGTACTTGGGCAAACGTTGCCAACATTGGCAAAAGTAAGCATTGTCGCGTAAGTGGAACACACCCTCGGTTTGCGCACATTCAGATAAAAATTGTAAGCGCTCATTCATGCTTTGTGATAAAGGTAGTAAGACTCTATATTATCGCAGCAACTTTATTATCACGGCATCGGAAAGTACTCTTATTTTGCATTGCCAGTACACTCTCTAGTGGTGATTTTATCCAGTTCATCGGTAACTGCCTTTCTGCGGAGTTGCATAATTGTTTTTTAAAAATGTCACGTCTTTTCGCGATTTTTATCAGCGAAAAGTAGACTTGAAATCAGTAGACTTGTCTCAGGGATACTTTGTTTTCCTTCTTGAGGCCGGGTGTTCAAAAATCATTATGCAGACCAAATTGTCTTTAATAAATCTAAGTTGAAATTCTTTTCAGGGGATGTGTTGGTCCATCAACAATTAGGAATAAACAAGTTCAGGTCATCGTAGAAACCATTTTCCCCCTCCCGCGATAATAGAGAGTCCACCTCCGCTCGCATACTATGCGCACACGTCTTTTACACAGGCATCGTACAGGAATTAAATCAAACCACTGCCAGTATTGTTTTGTATCAACGTGAAATGTAAGATTTCAACAACACAAACGGTGGGACAATTCGGGAAGGTAAGCAATCTGTATTCTGATCGGGAAACATGACAATATAGCATCCCTTCCTCCATGCAAAATCAGTGCATGCATACAACGTGTCCATACACACGCTCCCCTGAGTAGGTTACACAATGCAACCCATGATTTCTACAGAGTCCATACAGTGAATTCATTCATTGCAGTGCTTTAATCTCCCAATTAAACAAGACTTGTAAAGTTGAAGTTTGAGGGGGATTCTATGTAGTCATCAGGACACGAAAGGGATCACATGAGATTGCACCACATACCGTGTAGCTTCAGTCTTTAACTTTTCGAACGAGTACATCTTACAATATTTCAAGAACACCAAAAAAGGGCAGGGCCTTAGTGGGAGGGCATGTGATCCCTTTCGTGTCCTGATGACTACATAGAATCCCCCTCTAACTTCAACTTTACAAGTCTCGTTTAATTGGGAGATTCTATTACGTCATCAGTCACACTTCAGTGACCACATGAGATTGTAAAGCAAAAGATGTACGAGAGAAACAGAAAATACTTGTCAACCGCAACAGCATGGTTTAATCTGAAAGAGCTTTCATGCGGCCTGCATAAGCATATATGAACATACATGTTACACTTCTCTCTTGTACGGAATGTTTACGAATGACCTTCGCTTAATACACTTTCGGCAAATTGGCCATCATTACATATCGGTTTATCATAAAACCTTGCAAATGTACACTCTGAAGACCAGCCAGCTGTTCTTAAGATCTGCTCAATAGGAACAAATCGGTCTTTAGCCTTAGAGGTAGCTGCTGCTCTCACACTGTGAGGCTTGAACTGATTAGTGTCAATACCTGACTTGTCCATTACATTACGTATCCACCTGCTTATTGTTGCTTTAGACACTGCTTTGTGTGGTTTAACACAACTTATAAATAATTGACCTTCAGAGGGGTCACGAATATTATCAGTTCAAGACAAATACTCTGTCAATGCATCACATACACAAAGTTTCTTGTCTGGTGTATATGGAACCAATCTAACAATAGGATTGACATAGCCTGGTCTGCTCTGCTTGAGCACTTCGCTATAAGTGAAAACAAAGGAGTCATCAACGATGGCTAAATTATTCAAAATAAGTAATTTAAGCGACTGTCCTCTTGACACTGTCACCAACGCAATTAACATAACAAGTTTCTGCGTAAGTGTCTTCAAAGTTAGTTCAGTTACTGGTGAGCAAGTTTTCAGGAACTCAAGTACTTTATTTACATCCCAGATGTGGCTGTACCTGGACCGTGACCGTGTGGGTCTTATGTTGAAAACACCCTTCATAAATCTCACCACCAATGGATGGGCACCGACGGTTGTTTTATTGTCTGTAAAACATAATGCTGAAAGTGCTGATCTGGCGGTATTGAGGGCGCTGTATCCGATTCCGGAATGAAATAATTCAGTTAGGAAGTCCAATACTTGAGTTATATTTGGACGCATGATATTTGTCTTGATTTTACGACAAAACTGTATCCACTTTCTTGTGTAGACTCTGTACTGTTTCTTTGTGTCAGTCCACCATGATGCCATGATGATGGTGGCTGCTGCTGGCGAAATGTTTTGCTCTTCGAGTGATCTCCTGACACAAGGCAGGCCATCAATCTCAGCTTCTTTCTGAGAGGATGTTGTTGCGTTGATGTCGGCAGGTGTAACAGTGAGTCTTTCTTTGGGAGCAAGATCGGCTGTTTGATCACCATGTGCAACATAAGAGCAAACCACGGTTGTGTTGTCCACAGGGGAACCACAAGAATGCCGGTTGCCTTGTCCATGCTGATCTTCTGTATGGATCTTCCCAGTACACTGAATGGAGGAAAGGCATAAAAATAATATGAATGCCAGTCGATAGTAAATGCATCAACATGTAGCACATCTGGATCAGGTCACCAGGACACAAATTTTGCAACTTGTTTATTAAGTCTGGAAGCAAACAAATCAATGTCTGGAGAGCCCCAGTGATTTGTAATCATTGTGAATACACAAGGATCTAGCTGCCATTCTGTCTTGTCAAAAAAACTGTCTTGATTCAAAATCAGCTTCTACATTAAGTCTTCCTGGAATATAGGTTGCTGTTTTCCAAATACCTCTGTCCTTAGCCCACAGACATAAAGACCTGGCAATCTCATTGCAGTGTTTGGATTTTACTCCTCCCATATTATTTAAGTAAGCCACAGCTGTACTATTGTCCAACATAATCTTCACATGTTTCTGTGCTACTCGATCAGAGAATGATCTTAATGTCAAAAAAGCTGCCAATATTTCCAAATAGTTAATGTGATAAGCAGCTTTAATGGCTGTCCATCTGCCACCGCACTTGTTTCCCTCACATGTGCCTCCCCAACCACTATTAGATGCATCAGAAGTAATTGTGATTTCAGGGTTTCTTCTACCAATATGTCGTTTCTGACTGGGCAACTGTTCAATCCACCAAGTAAGATCATGTCTTATACTCTGAGTAATTGGCATGTATGCATCAAAGTTTCCTTTATGTAAAGCCAAAGCTTCAATCTTAGCCACTTCTAAGGATCTGTAAAATAGAGATCCAAATTCTACTGATGGGAGACATGAAATCATTAAACCAATAACCTTGGCAACAGATCATATGCACACAACATTTGCATGAAGTAGTTTTTTGCATTCGTCGGTTAAACTGCTTACTTTTTGTGCGGGCAGTGTAACAACCATGGACAGAGAGTCAATGTCAAACCCAAGATATTTGAGTTTTTGTGTTGGCTCAAGGATAGATTTTACTGGGTGATGTATAAATCCCAGCTTATGAAGTAAAGCCAAAGTATTGTCTATATTATCTTTACATTCTTCTACTGTAGTTCCTATCAATAAGGAATCATCAATATAGCCCACAGTCATATGGCCTAATTTTCGTAGAGTAGCATAGACTGGCTTCATGAGTTTGGTAAACATGCGGGATGCTGATGCCAACCCATTCGGAAGACAGGTATATTGAAACAAGGATTGTTTCCACTCAAATTTGAGATATTTCTGATGCTCATCTGCTATCGGAACTGAGTAATATGCATCTTTAAGGTCAATAGATGCCAAGTAACAGCCAGGTGTAACAAGCTGAAGGGCTGTTTCAAAAGAATCCATTTTAAAATGGTGGTATTCAACATGCTCGTTCAGACCTTTCAGATTAAGGATCATTCTAAACGTACCATCCTTTTTAGGACGCACAAAGATGGGTGACAAAAATTCACCGCTACCATGTTGTGATTTCTTAATCACCTTTTTAGTGAGCATATTATTAATTTCCGATTCTATGGCAGTTTGCTCTGTATTACTACAAATACAAATTTTTGGCAAATTGTATTGCAAGGGTGGTTTGTTCCCAACAAACTCAATATGTGCATGTAATGCCATATCTATTATTCTCTCATCTGACGTTGTTTTCCGCCATTCGAGCTCAAATTGCTTCAATCTACCTGCTTCAAACGTGGCTACGTCACTATCGGTAACTTTTGGACCACGTTTACAACCCGGACTGGTACTTACATTGCTTACTTGGAGTGTTTGACCTGAGCAGGCTGGCCCTTGGGGTTTCGGTATGAGTTTTTTTAATTGTCTGTTGAGGGGACGTACTGTCGACGGAATTGGCCTCTGCCTCGTCCTCTGAACCTCATTCCCCGACCCCTTGCTCTAGCACGGCTTGCACCTCTGTGTTGCCATGTTCCAATTGAGTGTCCTGCTTTGTTCACCTCTTGGATGTCTTTCACCCTCTTGGTGATGTCATCACCAAACAAATTATCTGTGAATGGCACCGTTGTAGAGCACAGTTGAATCACCAGAACTTTCTCTTCGTCTTTTCTCTGGAAGTTTGTCCTTCCCTGTGGAGGTTTTCGGTGAAGGCGATGTTGAGGCCATTTCTCTCAGATAGGCCTAAATCACACCACGTGTGATTTTTCACCAAACAACTTATAAAGCCAACGGCCTTACAACGTGTAATACTATGTACTAGCTACACAACACAGAGCTGTGAACACTAGGTGTTGCTCTGTTTGGGTATTACGGTACACTGAAGCTACACGGTATGTGGTGCAATCTCATGTGGTCACTGAAGTGTGACTGATGACGTAATAGAATTAGGCGGGAATGTCTACAATTAGGGAATAACAGTGTGAGGAGCCAGTCTTCACTGCGTGATAAAAAACGGGTTGGGCATTGTTGTTAATGGACAGAGCCGAACAATAAACAGTTAAAATGCTCCAATTTGGTGACTTTTCTTTCGGTGATATTTCCAGACTTTTTTGTGTTAATGTTCAGTGGCCATATTTGAGCTTATGCGTGGTACCCTGTATCTTCAATATGCGTTGTTATATACCACCCTAGCCAGGCCCTGGTTGCGCTGGACGATGTCTTCATTGCATTACGACCATGACATGGCTGACGTCTAGGGTATGAACTTCTGCTGCCTTTAATAGCGAAACAAATGACAACTTTTTTTTCTCATATTTTTACCTTATGGAGGAAGCTGAAATTTTGTTTACATATTCCTTGTGTCCAGAATTACAAAGATGCTCGGTTAAGAAAAAATAAAAATGTCTGTGGGTGAAGTGTTTATAGAGAAAATATATCACAGATCGATCCACGCATTTGTTGTAAACATCCTCAGAACTGCAGTATGAACATGTCGATTGAAAACTTCCTCACGTGAGCGCACCCACACATAGCAACTGTGTTGCATACGCATGCGTAAGTCGTCACACGATGGTGGTTGTGCGCATGTGTACTGCTGTTTTGTTACAAGCTACCGTAGGACTAACATGATGCTGGATCAATGCTGGTTCGGGGGCCATTTATTCGCTTGTTCTTGAAGCCAGTCTTTATATCACATATTACAACACCCCTGAGTGATCGCGTGGCGACCAATCAGGAGCTATCAGTTCTCCAAGGTATTTATTAATATTCATTATTATTTTTGGTAATACTATCATCAATGAGACTTGGAAGTTTGAATGGCAACGTCAGGAATATGAGTAAGTTGAATCACAAAATTAACAACCATAAATGCGTCCATTCCATCTAACATATGTGAAAACGCAACTCAAAAGATAAGACAGAGCTACATGTACCTGCAGTATGTTGAGGTTATATTCGATGAAGCCATTGAAGCAGAATCGGGCCCGGGCAATGTCCAATGAAAACCCAGTAAGCCCAACGACGACTGTGGCATAAGCCTCGTCTAATAGATCCAAACGAAGGTGACCACTCAGTGGAGCTGTCAGAAACACAAGAAAATGTCGGGTGTTCATTTGTTTTGTACAAGGTTTATCTAAAAGCACAATTGACGTCATGGATCTGTAACAAAATCAATTACAAGTCAAATAGCAAATTTTAATGACTTGTGACTGACTTTAGCACAACTCTGTACGTACTTTTTCTGTCATTATACATTGTCCCAAGGATCCTTTTTTATAAAACATTAGGTTAAACAATGCAGTTCTCGAACTGCGCATCTCGCCTGCTTTCACGATTATCTTTAAAGAGTGACCTTTGACCTTGGTGTGTGACCTTTGACATCGTTATCATGTGAAGGCTCCCATGTTGCATCTTTGACCCAAGTTTGGTTCTAACTAGACTTCAACTTTGCAAATGAGACCAATTTTACATGTACATGTTCAGCCCATTTTACAACTTGACCTCAGATGACCTTTGAACTTGGTATGTGACCTTTGACATCATCATCATACGAAGGTTCCCATGTTGCATCTATGATTCAAGTTTGGTTCCAATTGGACTTCAACTTTTTAAATGAGACCAATTTTACATTTTCAGCCTATTTTACAACTTGACCTCAGATGACATTTGACTTTATTACCATGTGACCTTAAAAATCAGTATGACATGGAGGCTTCCACAATAACTCTATAGCCTGAGTTTGATGAAAATCAAAGACAAACTTGAGGAATGAGAGTAATTCCTTGAAACTTTAACCAAAATACCACATACGCACAAACATACTAAATACATAAATACGTACAGACATAGTTATTGCATACTTTCCTGAACAAAGTCTAGACGAGACAAAAACTCTTTGCCTCCCCTTTTTCACAAATTAACACCAAAAGAATGTGAAAAAAAATGCTTGAAAAAGTCTGAAATATGTACCAATCTTCAAGTCGAGTTCATTCCTAATAGTCAAGCCAAACTCAGCTCCAGTCTTGGGGCTGCCAATGAGCTTATTCCAGTGGATGGAGGGACTGGCCAACTTGAATTCAATTCCTTCCCAGAATCCTCGTCTCACGCGATGTCTAGAGGGCACACTCACTGCAGTGGTTGCTACGTCTTGGGAAGAATTGACGGCAGCATATCTAGAATAGAAATAACAATGGTATTTACAAATATAATAAAGTATATCTGATAATTATATAATATTGGATGGCTTCAAGGTGGATACAAGAATATATTGCATGAGCTGTAACAATATTGCACGAGACAAAGACGAATGCGATATTGACATAGCGAGTGCAATATATTCTTGTATTCCCCCGAAAAAAAGCCATCCAATATTATTATTATTATTTATTTCAGGCTGACTTGATTCACAAGAAACACAATTCAAGACACGGTTTTCATTTCTCCTATTTCGTCAACTATTTGAAGCTGCCATTCTGATTATTGAAATCAGTGCGTGTATACCTGGCCTGCTGCGCACTGCACGGGCGTCCGTGTTCAACGGTACCACCTGCTACGCTCTGTTGACTGGTTGACAACTGTGAGGTTCTACGCTCTTGATCGTGAGGGAACCAGCAAAAATGCCTCTTGGTACAGTTTACTGACACTATTGCTGGCATCCGGATGATGAAGATGGAGTGAGTCATCGCTATCGACGGATCTTACTGGTGACGGTGACTTCGCTGGTGACTGATGAGGCCAATAGCTGATGCACAAGGCCGGCCACAGATGTTGCAAACATGGGCAGCATTTGGAGGAGTCTCTGGTCTTTGCTTCCTTTGCAGTCGGGTGCGTTTTACAAAAGCATACAATATGCTGATTTATTTTTACCGCTCGAAGCCTGATATATATAATAAAAACCATTATCCTTGACTGAAGGCATCTGATGTTCTGAAAGGAAGCCTTCATTTTTATTGTTCAAATGTGGGCATAACAGTATTCCTATACTCACTCTTCTGGGGTGACAAACTTGGAGAGATTTTGGTCACCGCCCATCGGGTGATTCTTGTAAAGCAAGGATGCCTCATATCTGACATGCTCATTCTCATCTTCATCTAAGGCTGACTTCAGCAGAATCCCTGCTGCCTGTAAGGATAGGACCAGGAGACAATTTCATTGCGCTACTTGAACACAGAAACTATAAGCACAGAAAATATTCGATTAGCTATAACAGGTCACCACCTTTAATGCCATACTGCTTTAACTGGTTCTTTGCCAAGCCCACAGTTTGCTAAGCAATATCTCCATAAAATTGGGCCCAGGTGACACAGAGACTACCCATTTTAGGAATGTATAGTGAAGCTATATATGTAAGGAGAAGAGAGAGATACGCATTGCTCATGGCATATGTATTTCCCTAACCAATACCTCACATCAAAAATCCACTCCAAATATTAACAGTATTCTTCTGTTTTTGGAAAAATCTGACCTTCATGTATGTTATTCCTCAAAGACTGCATGTCCCAATTATGTTGTGCATGAAATTGAGTATGATTATGATATGCCTGCAGGCTTCATCAAAATGTAACAGATTAAAAGTGTAATGCTAACTAAAATTACAATGCAAGTATACACAAACCTGAGTATAAAGGTGCACTTTCTTCTGGCAATTGCCAAAGTTGTGTGTTTCATATTGTTTACTAGACTTACTTCAAAGGTCTGGGTCATATAAAATATTCGCATTATGACAAACATTTACAGAGGACATGTTGAAAACCCTGTTTGTTTACATCTGGCCTGGCAGTGATTTTTGCCTTGCCCCTTCATATTTCCAGCAACCAATAAAACCATACATTTTTTAGCCAAATTGTCAACATCAGACAAATTCAATATTTGGTTTTGCTCTGCACTGACATATGTGCATCACCCCGATTCAAATTCCTTTTTATGAATAACATCATGTTGGTGCTGAATAAAATACATCTAGTTTCAGGCTTGGCGGGCCAACGAATTTGTATTCAAGCATGAGTCACATGATTGTACCATGAAATTTCTGGAAGTAGTGTCTGAGTAAAAGAAAATCAGCGTTTTGACCCCAGTGAACCCATAATGACCTTTGACCCCAGTTTTGTCATGTGACATGTTGGAGCTGGGCTACTGATACTTTTGACAAAGTTTGGTTGAAATGGGTCAAAATATGAAAGAGCAATAGACAATGTCAAACCATTAGACCAACTAACAGACTAACGGAGAGACATGATGATTTGGTGAGCTGCTACCCCCTGCTACCCGAGTGGAATGATGACTAGCATGGCAATAGCTCGATGTTTGATGATCAAAATTGTGTACCAAAACATTCATTCGCATGTTAATTACTCAGATAAAAGGTTTGTTTTTATTGTAAATCTGCGTGAACATTTATATTTCATTTTTCAATGATCTTTTTTAACTATTATCATTTCATGACAAACCAAAAGTGTGCAATATGTGCAACTGCATATATTATGGAAAAGTTGGCCCCCTCAGTAACTATTCTGGAAATAAAGCATCAGGTTAGACATAAATTGGCATAAACAGTCTGGTCATTCTACAGAATAAACATTTTGTTCACCTTATCATGATGGTAGTCTCTCATGGAGTGTAAGCCAGCCCTTTTCAGCAGTGGATGAGTAGCGCTGTGGTTGGTATAGCTCTGGATGTGGGGGAAGGAGCGATGCAGCCCAGCATTGCCCAGAGCTTCAATCAATGCCACAGTGTCATGGTGAAACTCTTCTTGGTCATCTTCAGTCAGAGACGTCAAGGTCTTCTCATAGGCCCAGGGATCTGAGGTCAGAAATGAAAGATGAGTAGAACCCTGAGGGTATTTTGTGAACATGTCGTGCCCAACACTACAACCTGCAACACTTGCCAAAATGAGAAGCCAGGCCGGTTTAACAAATTACTACAGGTCTAAATTTTCAAGCCAAACTGTAGTCTTATTTAGTCACTTAATGCATCAGGACACATAGAGATAATGTTGAGTGACTCACCATGTGATAATAGATCTCGTTTCAGTAATCTAAAAATTAAATTTTCCAGCATATTCTTGGTTTGACAGAACCCGTCATAAATTTTCATATCTTTTCCAAAGAAAATGTGGACCAGAGACAATGGGCACAATGTATGCTGACCTCAGCAGTGATGACTAGGACATGGGACTTTCCACAAGATGGGCATTGATATGTCGCGAGCCTTTGATACCATCAAGCAGAAACGCATCCTAGATGTCCGCAACGAAGATGAACTAAGACTAGTAACATCACTGTTAGCAGGGATTAAAGGGTCAGTCACCAGTCCTTTTCACCTGCTACCTTTCTGCTGCACACTCATCCGTTCGAGAAAGCTCCAACAGGCCCAACCCACCAGTCTCCAGCCTATGGTAGGTCTGCCGCTAGAAATGAAATATGCAGACCATGTTGACTTCCTGGACGAAGAAAAGAAACCCCTGGACCATCTCCAGCCAGTAGCAGCAGAGAAACTGAAAGTCGACACTTTGTTCATGAATGAAACGAAGACAGAGCTTAAATTTACTCATTACCTTGCAGAAGCCAGGGAGACAGATTTGCATGGCAAGGCTCTCCGCGGCAATGAGAATTAGCACAAGAACAAGACCCTACGCTCCTTACTAAGCAGCACTTCATCAGACATCACAGCCCGCTGCATTCGACACAATGTAACATTCCACACGTTATGGGAACACTGGAGTCGGCAAACCAAGATCCCACTGAAGACAAGACTCCGTCTTTATAACGCATACTGCATATTGATCATGCTTTACACCTGCAACAGCTGGGCAGCACCCAAAGCCACACTTGACAAACTGGATGCGTGCCACTGCATACATGTACACCAAAGAGCCTTATCAGCAACCAGGCAGTATACGAACTGTGCAATGAAGAACCCCTCTCATCAAAGGTCACAAAGCAAAGATGGTCAGTGTTATTAGGCCATATCCTACGTATGGACCCTGACACACCCGCTCAGAGGGCCTTTGCCGTTGTTATCATTGAAAATATGGTTTCTGGTTTGGAACTGTTTGAATTACCTGCAGTTAATGTCAACTGGCCAACTGAACAACTCAAAATATTTTAAAATTCAAATATAAAGCAACTGCATGTTGACATTTCTCAACCACAATTTTAAGAGATTTTATTGTAACTGACCGTGCACACCAAGTTTATTCTCAATCTTGCGAACAATGAGCTCTGCTTCAAACTTGTATCCAGCCTTCCATCGGTGACCAGCCAAGGCACCGAGTACCAGCACAGCAACCCTCTGTATCTCAGGGCCTTTTAAGGATTCTGTAACAAAAAGATTTACAATTAATGGTTCTTCCAATGAGGATCAGCCAGCAGGGATCAAAGGACGTAACAGTCCACAAAAATTGTACATTAGGCCAAACAAAAAAAATACCTTTGGTTCGGGTCAGATGGTTAGGAAAAAAATGAGTTGGTCGGCATGACATTTTATTTTACTTTACTTTATTTCCAATACATGTGAGGAAGGCTACATGTTTAAGTGGTCCCCAATCAAAGTGTTTTGGGAGGATTTCTGAGACATGTTTTATTGTAAGAAGTTTGTAATTGCAACCATAGAGCACGGAACATGGTTCAACCACTGTCGTGTCGACGTTCTCAACATTTTTCCGTGGTTCGTCTGGTTGGCCTCTTGCAGAGATATAAATTGAAAAATCGTCTTCATCTTTCACATGGTTTTTCACACAGAATTCCTTGAAGGCCATTTTGAGATTTCACTGGAAAAAAAAAACTTTTTGTTTTTGGAAAATGTTAACATTCTGCGATGTCTAGAGCAAATTGCAGGCTTGCCTGCACATGAAAAACGAACAAAAGCCACAAAAGATTGAAGGGACGTGCGGCCGTCCAATCCAATGTGAAGTCTTCAATGCCCGTGGCCATTGGGAGATTCGGCAACCAGGCATGACATGAGCAGAATGACATGAGGCCTTTTTGACTGTGGGGTACACAGCACTAGTGAAATAAATATTTACCACTGATTTTGTAAAGCTCTGACAACCAGTACATTCTGCAAGTTACTTGGTGGTCGGTATGTCGGTCGGATGGTCGGTCTGTCTGTCCCCGAAAATTAACTGAAACTATTAGACCAAAAATTGACCAAATGCCATGCCATGGTCATGTAAATGCACTCTTACCAAAAGTTTTTGGAACATGCCCCTTTGTCTTGATCGCTGCGTATGTGTGTCTATTTTGCATATGGAGTGAGACATTCCCAAACCGGGCCAGAGCTTATTGTGCAGCTTGCACTTGTTTCTATGTAGCCAGCATATTGCATTCCACCAATTGTCACTTTGTAACCAAGTTTTAAAAAGCACACCCTTTTGATTTGCGCATTCTTTGAAAGAGAGAAACTGAAAATGGATTCAGAAATTTAGAAGCATCATGCCCAGTAGAGACAGGGCTACTGGGATTACAAACAAAATAACCACTGGATTATCTAGGTTAAGGAAATGCAGAACTTTTTATTTTGTTTGTCTTTCAAGAACAGAAAGATTCCAAAACTTACCAGGGAATGTTTGAGGATGAAAGGCGATGTCTTCTACAGTCTCCAGGTAATGCTGAAAAAATTACCCAAAAAGGTAATAGATAATGATTAAGTTTGGACACTATCATCAGTCCGAAATTTCAATGCCATATAGATAGACAGCAATTCAATCCTAAGTAACAACTTGAAAGGAGCCTATGAACTACCTCTGAAATGGTGTTTGTGAAGCCAACAGAGGCAATGAGTAGTCTCTCTACCAGCTCCTTGTTTGGTTTTGGAGACAGGAGGATGAGATCAGTAAGGAGAGACTGGGAGGCATCAGTGTGCATCTCAGCAACTGCATCCAGCATGTTCAGCCTGTCCTGCTTGTCACGAACTCGTCTGAGAAAAGAAATAGTTTCTCTCTGTGCTTAGCGTAACTCAGCTGACAACCAGTCACACGCAATACACAATCTACCATTTGTATTGCTAAACAAACATTTTCTGTACTAAGCAAATTTCTATGCTAAGCATAAATACGACTTCACAAAATATTAGAATAGTGCAAGAGTAATAAAAAAAAGAAATTTCCTTAGCCACTAATGGCGTGCAATGTTGTAAACCATGTGCATAAAACGACCTGCTGGTATCGGTATTTAAGACTGTTTTTGAGTTGTGCTTGAAAATGGCGTGTCCCTCTTCTTCCCACACAAGTTCAAACAGTTAATGAAAATGAGAACACTACCTAGACATGATGTATTGCATACCTGGACAGTGGCAGCTTGTACATTGGAGACACTATCTCTGCCAGTTTCTGAGCGTCAGGCACCGAGTGTAAAGTTTGAACTAGCTTCTGAAAACAATGGGTCTGTTCATGGGATCCTGTGTATGACAAAAGGTAAAGACAATCTCTTAAGCTTGGTAGAGATGTACCATTATATAGTCTATCTGGATAACTTTTGAAGCTTTCAATTCTTTTACTATATGAGAGGATAGGGTTTATAAGAGTTAGTGTATCATTTCTTTGATAATGCTAAAAGCACATAATGATGTGACCTGTGGTGGCTTAAAGATATAGTCCATCATTTATAATTTGTGCATTTTGTTCGTTTGAAGCAACAAAAGTGTTCCAAATCTAATGAACGATACTGAACAATGAACCTGATGAAGTTTCAGCTCAGCTTCAGCTGTATATTCCGAGAAAAACAGCATTCTAGGATCTCAATTTCAAATCAAAAGTTGCTGAATCATGTTTTGAATTGGGCTTGAATTCAGCGTCCGAGAAACGTTCTCACTGAGCCGGTTGCAGCTATACGCGATGTCGCGCACTGATCCGACGAATTATAGCAAACCGCACGTGCGTGTGCATCGTGCCAATGCTTGCGCGCGCTTCGCTGTATAACAAAACGAACTACTAATTTAAATGTTCCCGGTGCGTCTTAAGAAGCACCATTAGAAAGGCATTCTTTCTTTGATTACCTCAAAATGACAGCTTGCCAGAACGAATAATTTCACAGGGAGTTTAGTCCCCTTAGTATCTTTCTACCAAGTATGTTTTTCAACAATAATTACGCCAGTTACTTTTCGGATGGCTGCAAATGATGGACTCTAGCTTTAATATGTCTGTAAAATGTTTGCCATGTTCTGAGTGTACATGGAGCAACCTGGGGGTTACATGGACACTAGGCATTTAATTAGTCTTGGTTCAAAATGCTAGTAATCGATTGTGGATCACCTAACGCCGGCCAAGTTTTGCGCCCTCATATGCAATTTTTCGAACCAATTGCACTAGTGGCTTGGGAATCCAGCATATAAGTGTACCTTTTTAAAACATTTCCTATATGTAGGCTTTCCAAGGGAAACAATCAGCGACATACACATTTGGGTCACATGTGCATTACACTGCACAGTGCAGCAGCATTCCATTATCAATGACCCGACGTCTTGGATAAAGACTAACATCTACCAATCTTTGGACCAGTGTTGTAGTCGAGACCGGATGGTCCGAGACCGAGACCAAGACCGAGACCTGAGGATTCGAGACCGAGACCGAGACCGAGACCAGCCCCTTCAAGGCGGACCGAGACCGAGACCAATATGGTCCGAGACCGAGACCGAGACCGAGACCGAGACCGCTGATAATAAATAACAATAGTCGAAATAAAAAAAAACAAGACACGTTATTATAGTTGAAAGTTGTAACCTTTCTATTCACAAAGATTACAGACCAAAATTTTGACCAGTGGCAGTGTTGACAAATTGATACATGACACCTTACTTGAGCAAAAAGTAGTTACACTTAAGAAATATGGGCTTTGACATGTTGTCTGCACCCAATCGTGACAAAAGTAAAAAGTTAAAGGCAGATGTTTCATCTGTTATAGAAACTCGAATCCTAAACTCCACAGTCACCCCTTGGTTTCAGCTATGACTTCTAACAGATATTTAAAGATGCAATTTCAATTTTACATTGTGCCTTTTTTTCCCTAAAATAAATATAGGACTTAACTTCTTACAAGACTTGTGTACTTGATTTTAAAAAATGGGAGCTAGAAAATGTGGAATTAATTTTAAAATTTCTGTCATAGAATGTGGACTTGTACATGTAGGCCCACAAGTTGCGAGGTGGTAGCCAGAATGTGCCAGATATGGATTTTTAATTTTTTTCTGAATGGGATTTTAATTTTTGAGGAATAATGGGGTACTTCAAAATGAGCAGCCAGAAAATGGGGTCTCATCATACACTCTCATGGCAACAGTGAGTGGTAACTGGTAAGAGTGTGTGAGTTCAATGCTGAAAAATCAGGTAGAACAATTTACTTTTTCTTCAAGATACTGTCCCAAATTAAAGAGAACATTGTGTGAAGCACCTCATTTATTATCAGAATACAAAATGCAAGTGATTACGCCCACAGGGGTGGGCTAAACTACACAATCCCCGAAAATGGTTGACCCTTATTGCATAAATTGTTACAACTTTATACTTTGCTTTATGTGCCCGACACAACAGATAAATGCCGAACTTGTTCCAAATCGTTCAGTGACTGGTACTGCTGCAGCTTTACTTTTGGGACTTTCCAACGTGTAGTCGAGTCCAAACTGACCACGATATATAACAAGCTTAATCTACGGGCTAGCAAATGTTTTAACTATCAACGGTACTGAACGAAGTAAACACAAAGTAATCGATCTTGCTGTAAAAGCTACATATTGCCGGTCTCGACCCGAGACCAGCCAAAAAATCGAGACCAAAGGGGACCGAGACCGAGACCAAGACCGAGACCACAGCTTCCGAGACCGAGACCGAGACCGAGACCAGCAAAAAGTGGTCTCGAGACCGGTCTCGAGACCGAGACCGGTCTCGAGACCTACAACACTGCTTTGGACCATATTTGTCTCAATAAATATGCATTGTAATTGCAGGCTATATTGTGTAGCTTTCTAAGGGTTTTTTGCCCAACATTATTTGTGCCTCTGCATCATACCTTTCATAGGTGCTGTCCTCATACATGTCAAGTTGCCAGCAATCTCTTCCTTCAAGGATGTCATATCAAAGTTCAGATGGCCATCTTGCGGCTAGGATCAGAGTGGAAATGAAATATACAGCTCAGTAAGGTTTAACTCTTACAGAAGAAACAACAAATAGCCACCTCTCATCCATATCTCGTGTGTGTTTCAAAGGCTTGTACAGTAAGTGCTCATGTTTCTTCCCTCACACTACCTCATTGTGAAACATCTTGCAAAGATCATGCTTTTCCCCTTCTTACTTATCACAGTTTTAGCTTAACATCAACAGATTCCTTTTCTCAATTAAAACTCTTCCTATTATATTGTTACTGTTAGTATAGCCAGCATAATGTGGTAGCACTTGGCAGTGTGGTTGGATATTCCCATTACAAAAAAGCTTTTAACTAGATTTCATCAAATTTCAATTCTTAGTTAGTAGCTCTAATCAGTCACTATGTGGTGTACTGCTTACATCCGTGTGTACGCATCCATCAATACATCCCAGGTTTGTGACTGCAAAGTGTAATTGCTGATGCAACTAATTAAATACAGACTAGGCCTAAATGTACATGTAGCTTTAATAAGGGAATAAATGTGTGCTCGAGAGGTTTTAATCACTCTGTTTAAGACCGCTTAGAGTCTGGGTGCTGATAATTACCCGAGCCGGAGGCGAGGGTAATTATCAGCACCCAGACTCTAAGCGGTCTTAAACAGAGTGATTAATACCGACCGAGCACATATTTATTCCCATTCATAAATACCTTTTCGGTCAAAAAATAATATAATGTTTCGGTCAAAAAATCCCGATTTTGTTCAACAAGTTCACTTCATGCTTTTGAAACGTCCCTCTAGCTAAACAATGGAGTGGTCAGCTGGCGAGTAAGATGTAAACAACCCTTTTATGGAGATTGACGGGCGCGTGGCACGTTCTGTGCGTTGTCGCGCAGAACGCACCTGGGGCGTTGCGTTTTGAATTTAGAACTATAACATTCTGACTCACTGGTAGTGTTGCGCATGCCTACGTGAGGACTGTGAACATTCAACCAATAAAACGGTAAGAGGCACTGGATTTTTAGGAGTCCACATTTTATGTGACAATGGAAAAGTGTTTAAGACCAGCTAGCCATGTCTTTATCATCCGTTTAAGACCGGCCACGTGACGGGCTCTCGACCAATAGGAATGGCTAAACTGTCTGAGGTATTTATGAAATGTGTGCTTGGCCGGTTTACCCGAGCCAAAAAAAAATCAAAATATTTTGGTCCAAAAGTCAACATAAGTCAAAAATTATAAATTTCAAACAATTTTTTTTCAAAAAGTTTAAGTCATATTTTTAAAACACCCCTGTAGCTACATGTATATTATGTTAGTGTCCATATTGTTATTAACTCCTTATATGGAGATTGGCGTGCGCGTCACGCGTAACAAGCGATGTCGCGCAGAACGCAGCTGTGCCAGTGTACTGCAAATTTAGGACTATGAAATACTGACTCACTGGTAGTACTGCACATGCCTACAAATGCAATGTGAACGTTCAACCAATAAAATGGAAACTCAAAGGCACCGGACTTTTATCAACCCTTTAAACAGGGCAACGTGACCGGCTCTCGACCAATGTGAATGGATAAACTGTGTTGTATTTATGAATATTAATGAATAAGAGCATGTAAAAACGGTATAATTGATAAGCCAAATGAAAGAGTTCATAGTACCTTCCTGAAGTGAATGGAGTCAGTGACAATATCCTCATCATCAGGTGGTCCAGTAGGTGACTGGTAGTAGGACTCTCCAACAAAGGTCAGCTGTCCTTCAGAAACAGTCTGCATCTCAGGAAACTCTGAGTGTCATTCAAACAAAAGAAATCAATGAATACCCTGTGTGTGGTTTGAATTGCAGTGACAAGCCATATGAAATGTGTCAAAGACTAACCAACACACTTTCGCAAGCTCAAGTAGGAAATTGTACAAACCATGTTGCCAGAAATACCATAAGCTCAACAATGATACGTCATTGCAAATATGTCGTTGGGGGAACTAATTTTTGGACTGAGAAACATTTTTAACAATTTTGTTTAAAAGTTTATAGAAATTTTCACAACTCACCACAGGCTTTCTACACAAACAGCAAATTAATAGTGGTATCAAGATTTGTTCATGTTACACCACAAGACATGTCTAGCCATGGCCTAAAATAAAGTTGAAATGGTCTAAACTAACAGCCTGCAGTGGCGTCAGATTGCAACATTCTTTCCCAATTTAGGCCTAAAGTACAAATTTACCACAAATTATTCCAAACTTTATTTACCAATATCATCTCCTGCTTGTTCCTCCCCATGATGCCGATGCTGAAATCTGTGTCAGGGTCAGGAACAATAAAACATGGGAAAACAATCAGTGTCTTTGATTTTTGTTAATATGGATGAGTTTACATTGAGCCCCATAAATGTGCATGGGCGTCGCCAGGATTTTTTCTAGAGGGGGGCAAAAAATTTTTTTGCCAAAAAATGCTTGTATTTCTCAACACATTCTCGATTTATCAGTTTTAGAGGGGGGCAGGGACATTTTGCCCCCCCCCCCCCCAACTCATTAAACTTACACCACTTTGTCTTCGCGCCTCTTTTTCTTTCCTGTTTTTTTCTTCCTTTTTCTTCTTTTTTTTTTTTTTTTTGCTTTTCCGGGGGGGGGGGGGGGGGGGGGGCAAGTGCCCCCCCTTGCCCCCCCCTCGCGACGCCCATGTAAATGTGGCCAATTTACTGGACTAACTCTGCAAATAAAGGCCGCACTTTTGAAATGTACCCGAAAATGTAGAACTTTGTCAAGTTTTTGTTTTCACATTTGGAAAGATTTCCATATACGAAGTTCACTAATTTTCCTCTGTATTGATAGTTACAAGCCCCCAGATAACAATTTCATGTCATCAAAGTCAATTTGAGCAGTGAGAATTAAAATACAAGCATTTTCTTAGAAAACACTTAGAATTTTTCAGTCCAATATCATGGGGTTTGTACACAGGGTGTTGAGTGAACTTCGTATGGAAATCTTTCCTTCCCCCTTTTCAGATATCTATATTACGTGTAATTCCAGGTTGGTTTTCACACGTTTGCATATCTAAATTCCAACACAAAATTACACGAAAAGTAGATGTCTGAAAAAGGGGGGCTAATTTTGTATCCCTAGAGCAGAGGGTGAGTGTGATTCTAGGCCTAAAGAGAAAATAAACTACAAATAAAGCCCATGGGCTGGGCATGGCTATGCCATGGGGTATGATTTCGGTGGCATTGCTCTGCTTCACACCACAGCCATGACAGTGCAACACTGGACGATTTTTCTGAAGCAGAGCCACCGAAATTATCATTTTTTTTTTCATATTTTAGTAACTTTTGTTCTGTTTCAAGTCGATCATAAGCATCGTGAATGACTGAGTGCATGTTATGAGGTATGTTTAATGGAATCTGGGTTGGGATAGAGGGGAAAGGACCATTTCGTGGAGGGGGGGGGGGGAAAGACCACTGGAGGCCGGTTTTTTTTGTGTACTTTTACAACGTACATTTGTCTCCAGCGTTAATTTACTGAATACTCCAGCTAGGGAACACCATGGAGGTAGTTTTTGATGAGGGTGCCGGGTGAGAAAGAAAAATCTTTCCCGTTTACGCATGAATGAAACGCATTTCGGAGTAATTGCAGAATACCCCGCCACTCGGAAATACACCCCTAAAATCACTGGCTACGGGGTTGGAATCACTGCAAAAGAAACAGTTCAAGTCCATTGCCAGCTACGCGGATACTGAGTGGGGGTCCATTATTTGAGAACGAAGCAACACAAAATGAATGGGAGTTCCTGAAAAAATTCTAAGTCCAAACCAACCACCCTGTTGGCGGCTACGAGGCTACGGAGTGGGAGTCCCCTTGAATATGCTTGAGAACGAAGCAACACAAAAGGAATTGGGAGTTGCTGAAAAAAGTCTAAGTCCAAACCAACTACCCTGTTGGCGGCTACGCGGTCACGAAGTGGGAGTGCAATGGAGCTACTCCCAGAACTATGAGGCTCCACGTAGTGGAGTACAAGTAGCGCTGAGAATGTTTATTGAGGTCAATCAGCCGTGACCTCGTAGCCGGCTACGAGGTGGATAGATCGAGTGGCGGGGTATTCTGCAATTGTGCCCGCATGTCCAATCTAGTTAAATGAAGAGATAGTTTAATGTCACCGTGACCGATCATGTTTTATACCGTAACACAACGAAACGTCATGAACGTTGTTTTGATCAAATACCCCGATATGCAATATGCCGCCTAACTTCCAAAACTTCAAAGTTTTCCGCTATTAAGTTCTACACCTGGACGCTTAAGGATGATTCATTCACGTGGCGTATTAAGGAGCCAGACTAGACTAAAACATCTTTCTTTCTTTTCAAACAAAAGAGGGCGGCAAACTGTTTTATCGGTAGCTGCAATATTAACAGGAAACGGTATATCCAAGGTAAGATGTTTAATCTGGCCGTCTTTGAAATTACGAGAAAAAAAGTATATAAAAGACAGTTGCGCGAAATCTGCATGAACGCCAAAGTGATCGCAGACCAATAGCATCACAAGGCCCAACATTTCCTAAACAGTTGTTGGATAAAGTTAAACCTTCATAATGCAATAGAAATAGTAAAGAGTAGTACAAATGGAAGTTTGGTGACGCAGGAAGTAGTGAACATATCTTACCCTGGTGCTGATTCTTTCGGAGCATCAAAGTGGTCGAGTATCTTGACCATGGATGGGAGCTGCATAGCTGGGTGATAGTGAATCTCCTAGAGTATAAAATATTGACAAGCTTGATGTTAGTTCGGCTTCCAAAGAAATTGGGCCTTTTTTAAACTGAGACATTACGGGCACACTCTTGCAAAATGTGGTTCGGCAGCTCTCTATACAAAAACCTTGTTGGCTCGAGGTTTTTTGCGTAAACCATATCAGTCAGCCGATCACGCTCAATTGACTTCGGCCAAACCGCAAGTCCCATCATAAGGAATAAGTTAACCACGTTAAAGCCTAAAAAAAAAAAAATTGGTCTCTGGTCAGACCAAAGTTCCGGAATTGACGCGGCGATGCGGCTTTTTTTTGGCTTTTTTCTTTTCTTCAAGCTTGGATTGTACATACAAGGTGGGGTACTATTTTGCTTTTTTGGTGTCTTCATGTACATTGGTGTCCTCCATAATTTGCCTTGGTGCTCTCGATCATTTGCCTTGGTGCAATTTCCCATTCCTTGGTACTCTTTGGTAAAAAAAATTTGAGGAGGTGCGGCAATAGAGGGCGCTGTTGGAGCTACCGCGGAACATTTTGAAAAAAAAAAGATTGACGCGCATGATTAAAATCGACGCACGCGCTGACCAGAGACCGACTTATTATTTTTGGGGGGCCCAATCGGGCCATTTTTTCCAAGAGTGTGTCTCTAATGGTGTATGACGTTTTAGGCGAACCGGATTAATGGACCGATCCAGTAAACCCCGCCCACTGCGCGCGCACTGGGCAAATTAACACGTGCTCCTATCCAATGCCACACTGCATTTTCCTGCCGCGCGCATCATACGCGCGTGACTTTTGTGCGAGCACGTCGGACATAAAAGTCACGGCTGTGATTGGTCAGAACACCATGGGGCGGTGCTTACTGGATCGGTCAATCATAGTCCACCCACACACCGTATACCTTTATTAGAAAAACACTCCGTTTATTTCGTTGCATTCCCGATGATCATTATCGTACACCACCATACATTTATCGTGAATTTCATGTCGCGAAAAAAAAACGATGTTGTAGAACTTCAATGTCTAGAAAAAAAATTGCGATCATCGCCAGTCTCGTGAAATAAATTATTTAGTACGTCTTAGTTGTCCCTAGTTCGGGTCCAGGGGCAGCGAAACCGGGAAAACACTCCCCCCCCCCCCTCCTAGATTTTCCCAAGTGCCCCTCCTGCGGACATAGATGTGCCCCCCTTGAGCATGAAATGTGCCGGCCCCCTCGAGATAAAAACAAAACAGGCTCTAAAATTTCGGATAATTTGTTTTCACAAAATGGTATAGCCTGAGAGTTCTGATATGAGCGGGGAATATGAAAACCCGAGCCCTAAAACCTCTACAATGGGCCTTGAAAATGGGCACATTATAAATTTCAACCGGAAATACGTCAAGCACCAAGCATTGGAATTGCTGTCTCTTAACATAGATGACATCATCAGGGGGCCCACTTTGTTGGGGAATGGATAGGTCGATGATTTGGTTGAGGAATGTGTTTACCTTGAGTGTTTATTCCACAACAATATTTTAATACACATTGATTGATTGAACTGGTTACAGGGAACTGAGACAAAGAGAACTGGGTGAACTGAAATAGATTAGAATAGAAATGGAACAGAATTAGAATTGAAACAGAATTGAAACAGAATGAGATACTGCTGGTGGAGCAGCACGTATATACTGGTGGAAACATGTAGTCTTCAGAATAAGAAATACTTAAGAATGGGGAAACTTAGTCATATCGTGGTTTCCTTGAGTCTCAGAAAAATGACTAGGAATGAGTAATATAGTACCTCAAAACAATGATCTTGAAAATAACTTGGTTGTATAAGAAACTGACCAAAGACTTGTGTGTGGGCAGTGAAGGTCATTTGCTCCGTATAAAAGTATAGGGACTACACATTGCAAAGGTTCTGTGTGGGTGTATAGTATACAAGGAAAACAATGAGCGATGCATTCAAATGAATTAATCATTAATAAAGTTCAAAAGGAACATTGATAATTAAAGTGTGATATTTAACTAAAAATTAAGACGAATTGATAATTGAGAATTGATCATCTGAAACGTTACAACTTCATGTAAATATCTGCTCGGTCACCATGGCGTCTGCATATTACATCCCTACTGATGAGATTATGCATGCAGTACATCCACCAGATACAGAACCAGAATAAAATGGCCGGTTTCGAAGAGCGCTCCAATTTTTGTAAACTTGGTACCAGCCCAGCCCCCCCCCCCCCGGCCCCCATTTGATTTTACGGAGGCCAAGTGTCCGGTGAAAAAAAACATGTCGGCATCAAGTTCAGCACGGATGTGCCCCCCCCCCCCCCCCCCAAAAAGCTACACCAATGGAAGATGCCTTTTATTGAGCAAGTGCCCCGGTGATGCGACTGTAACCGGTTAGTCCAAAAATTCAAACCCCAAAAGTGGGTGCAGTACATTTTGTTTTCGTCCTTCACAAATGTATTTAAACAGGCAATTGTTTTCAACTCAGTATGAAACTGTGCCACCCCTCTAAGTAAGTCTCGTGACCAAAATGTAATCGCCCATCGGGATTACGCATTAGCATTCTATCCGATTCTCATTTCTAACCCAGGCTTGTGCTGAATGCACATTATGCAAATAACGTGTTTAGAAGATTTCCACTCAGACTCCAGCCCTATTGTTACATTCATGCCTCGCTGATCACCATGGTACAGCGACCTAGCGTGCACGGGCTTTATCTTAAGCTGTTGTTTCGGTGCTGGGCTAGGCCTTCATTACTGTCGTTGTGCTCCTCACGCTCACTGCATGCAACTCAGTACACTGTTCAAAATTATCATTTTGGCTCTTTATAAAATTGTTTATTCTAACTGAACGTGCACATTGTGTCCAATTTGTATTAACAAAGACATCGTCACCATTTACTCCAATATCAACACCAAGAGGGGCAATGTCTTCAAGAGTAGAAAGAGGTACGTTACATGTCTCTGATTAATGTACATGTGTATAAGGTGTATAAGCTCTGGTAAAAGTAGAGAGTTTTGTCACCTGAAACAGAGAACTCCTTTAATTTCATTGGATGTTAAAAAAAGGTTTACATGGAAGATAAATTACAGTAGAATTAAGGTTGAACGAAAATGATTATTTTATTCAATAATAATGCAATGCCAATAGGAATTTATCACGTGCAGTGACATTGTGTCGCACGTGGGGAGAAAATAAAATTTCGAAAGAATTCGTCAGACACGTGCAGTGACATTGTGTTCGCACGTGAGTTAATTTGCATAGGAATTTGATACGTGCAGTGACATTGCGTTCGCACGTGGAACAGTTGAAGGGTAGCATTCCAGTGGAAGTTTTTTTTTTCAAATTGTCCCTGAATAATTAAACTCGCTAATTTACACCAGTATTTTCAATGATAAACCTGTGACAGTGTCTCCTTCATTGTCACATTGACTTTCAGGTCTTATGTAACTCCCTTTCTGGAGAAGGTTAAAAGACGTTCCCCACCTCAGTCTCAGAAACTAAAAATAAATTGAAACCATATAAAACCTAATCAACATTCTGGGCAAAACGTTGGTGCAAGTGATGCAAACAATTAATTAGTTTTTTTTGTAGGTCAAGTTGGGAGGAGTGCAGACGCTGCAGGCGTGCATTATGCAGCATCCGCAAAGCAAAGCAAAGCAGCTGCTGGATCTGTAGGAGTGTTAGGATAATGTTATAGGCATTTAAATTCGGCGAAATATTCTCATACGCGTTAGAAACATCCGCACCGCGTTCTATCGCTTTTCCGTTCGATAATAAGGCATATTCATACGTAATGTTAGGCAAACTCGTGTTTTTTTTAATTTTTGTTTTGGCTAGACCGGAGACGGTTTGGTACGAAGACCGTGAAGGGACATGGGAGTTATTTAGTTTTTTTCATAATACTATTACGTAGGTGTTATTGTCACGTACATACGTAACTCGCGCACGTACTTGAATATTATCACGTACGTAGGTAATATTATCACGTAGGGCCCACGTGATAATTATTACGTACGTAGGGCCCACGTGATAATTATTAAGTACGTATACACAACGTATACTCGTTTAAGGATACACGTATTATCACTTTAATACATATGCAATACATGTACGTACGTAATATGTACTTATTTATCAGGTATGTACGCAAGAATAATACTAATATTGCGTTAGTACGTAATATTATATTATCACGTACGTATGTGATAAATTAGATGTATCACGAACGTACGTTGTGATTGTCATAATAGTAGTAGGCCCTAAATAAGAACAATATGTTCATCTCCTCTTGGTCTTCGTACCCACGTACCCGCGTATCCGCATATCCGCGTACCTGCGTAATCGCGCGATTTCGTGTACCATACTTCGAAGTGATAAAATCTAGGGAACTGTTTTAGCAAAGTGCAATGAACAGTGTTAGGGAAAACGAAGCAAACGAAAATTAGGGAGCAAGCACAGCCCGCTGCGAGCATGCGCACATTGAGCCTGCAGGCAGTGCGATGGGAAGTTTTAGAAGTTTTCTTAAAAAAAAATTAAAAAATAGGATGAAAATGCACACGAAAATTAGTCTAATAAATAACACTGTCCCCCTAAACTTGAAAGTACTGGTGTATTTTATTTCATTTTCGCTATTAAGAAACTTCACTCGCAAATTTAAAGTCGATTTTGTAATTGATTGAGAGTAATTTGTGATTTTTTATCGATCAACTGGAATGCTGCCCTCTATACGGACATTGGCTGGTACTTTGCCCTACTCAAAACAATAATTAAACAAAGTTAGTAAAACAACTACAGAAAGTGGCAATGCCTGGTGCGTTGTCCACCAACGACGATATAATTTCTTTATTGTATAAAATGTTTAAGACCAAACAAGATTCATAAAATCTAGGCCATCGGCAATTGACAGTGACCATGCCTGGTGCAGTGTCACTTGTAAGGGATACCCTCTTCGGTGCATATTAGTAGCGCCGATTTCCAAGAGGCCCCTTC